CAGGGCCGGCTGCGCGCTGCCCACGGGGCTGTGGTTGTGATGGGGGGCACGGAGCTCAGCCCAGGGACATCCGCTGTGCTGGGACATCTCGTGCCAAGTGGGAGGGAACAGCACTCCGGCTGCTTTGTGGTGTTTGTGGCAAAGCTGAGGATGTGCAGGGTTGGATATCTCTGAATGTGCAGTCGGGCTCTGGCACGGGCTGCCCGGGGTCCGGTGTCCCCAGCCTTGGTGGTGTTCAAGAACGGTGGGGATGTGGCATTTGAGGACATGGTTAGTGGGCATGGTAGGGATGGGTTGGGGTTGGGCTGGAGATCTGAGAGGTCTTTTCCAACCTGAATGATTCTAAGATTCCATCTTGTTGCTGCTCCTTAAGTGGCCCCGACAGTGGGGTGAGTGGGTGCTGAGGAAGGAGCAGGGCTGGCGCAGGATTTGGAAGTCAGAAAGTGGATCCTTGAGCTCACTGTCCCACCTGAGCCCACCTCAGGCATGTGCCTGAGCTGAGCTGTGCATTTCCACTCTCTGCCCCATTCTCTTTTTGCACAGCTTTAGAAATCCCCCCAGGCTATTCCCTGCTCTCCTGGAAGCAGATGTCCTTGGGCGCAGCACCCTGACTGCCTGGTGTGCTGACCTGGCTGAGCCACAGTGCCCAGCAGTCATCCCATCCCATCCCATCCCATCCCATCCTATCCCATCCCCGTCCCATCCTATGCCGTCCCTATCCCCATCCCCATCCCCATCCCCACCCCATCCCCATCCCCATCCCCATCCCCATCCCCATCCCCATCCCCATCCCCATCCCCATCCCCATCCCCATCCCCACCCCCATCCCCATCCCCATTCCCACCCCATCCCCATTCCCACCCCATCCCCATCCCCATCCCCATCCCCATCCCCATCCCCATCCCCACCCCCATCCCCACCCCATCCCCATCCCCATCCCCATCCCCATCCCCATCCCCATCCCCATCCCCATCCCCATCCCCACCCCATCCCCACCCCATCCCCATCCCCATCCCTATCCCTATCCCCACCCCATCCCCACCCCATCCCCATCCCCATCCCCATCCCCATCCCCATCCCCATCCCCATCCCCATCCCATCCCCATCCCATCCCCATCCCCACCCCATCCCCATCCCCATCCCCATCCCCATCCCCATCCCCATCCCCATCCCCATCCCCATCCCCATCCCCATCCCCACCCCATCCCCATCCCATCCCCTTGGTGTGTGACAGATTTTGAGGGAAACTTGGGGACTGAATGCAAAAGCCTTCACACGAAGATCATGTGACAGGGACAGACCTCAAAGGTGCTTCCTGCTGAAAGACAGAAATGAGAAGGACGGGGCGGGGGGGAGGTTGTCTGTCCACAGATCTGCTCCTTTGTGTTGATGCATGACAGCAAAGCAGGGGAAATGAGAGCCAGTGCTGGCTTGGTGTGTGATGGCTGAAGGTGAAAGCAAAGCAGCAGCTGCAGGTGGAGGCCACGCAGTGATGAAGGCGTTGTGGGAGCACTCAGGTTGTGGATCTGTGTCTACACCATGGATTGGGTCCTGCTAGGTGAGAAGCTAGACGTGAGCCATGGGATTCCATAGTTCTGTGATCTTGAAGGACCTTTCCAGCTCAACCATTCTGTGGTTCTATGGCTCTGTGATAGGAACTGTGCTGCTAGGGTGACTGGCCACCTGCACCGTGCACAGGGATGGGTTGAGCCTTGTGCTTTTGCAGCCTTGTTCTTCTCTCCTATGTGTGCCCCATCAGCAGGAGCTGGGAGCCCCATGCTGAGCCTGTCTTGTGGTGGGCTTGTGTGTGTAGGTAGGGTCAGTTCAGAGTTGTGCTGTTCTCTGCAGCCCTGCCTCATCCTCTGCTCTTTGCATCATTCCTAACTTCATCACAGCAGCTCAGCACTGTGGGCTTTTAATCTCAGACACCTTGTGCACTCTGGTACTGGCTGGCATTAAACACAGTCTGCTCTGAGGAACACCCAGTGCCAGTGGGCAGTGCCAGGTTGAGATGTCCTGGCATTTGGCAGCAGCCTCAGTTGATGCAATCACTTGCACTGCTTGCAGGGCGGTTGCCCAAGTGCTGCTTACATGGCCCCACGAGGATCCAGGATCACCAGGAGCAGCACAGAGGGCTTGGAGGTGGTGTTGGGTTTGAGCAGATCTGTGCAGAAGCCCCACGTCCCCTTCCAGATCATCCCAGGCCTTTGTGTCACGGGGGTTAATGCTGGTGTGCAGGAAACCACCTACATAACCATGCTCAGTGCTGTTGTGGACTGAAGTACCCCATGGTGCTTTCAGACAGCTGAACTTACTGACATGTCAGCTCTGAGGTGTGGGGAGCTCCTTGAATCCTATAATCACCAGTCGTAGAGCCACGCGATGGTTGGGTTGGAGGGGTCCTTAGAATCACAGAACTGTAGAGTGGTTGGGATGGAAAGGTCCTTAAGGATTGCAGAAGCACAGAATGGTTGGGTTGGAATGGTCCTTGAAGATGGCAGAAGCATAGAATGGTTGGGTTGGAAGGGTCCTTGAAGATGGCAGAAACATAGAATGGTTGGGTCGGAATGGTCCTTGAAGATCACAGATCTATTGAATGGTTGGGTTGGAAGAGTCGTTAAAGTTCACAGGAATGGTTGTGTTGAAAGGGACTTTGAAGGTCATAAGAGCCCTAGGATGTCTTGGGTTGGAAAAGTCCTGAAAGATCACAGAGCCATGGGATGGTTGGGTTGGAAGGGTCTTCAAAGGTCATACAGCCACAGGGTGGTTGTGTTGGAAGGGTCCTTAAAGATCACAGCAAAACAGAATGGCAACAGAGCTGCAGCTCCTTGCCTCCTGCTCTTACCTGCCCAGCACCTCTGTCTCCTCTGTGTTGGTGTAAAGCCATTCTGTGTCCCATTGCTCTCTGCCCATGTACAAAACCACTCTCCTGATGTGTGTCAGCCCCTTCAGGCACTGAGGGCTGCACTGAGGTCTCCCCAGTGCTGTCACTTCCCACTGTCCCCACTGTCCCCACTGTCCCCACTGTCCCCAACACGCCAGCGCTGCCTGCCTGGGGTTAAGGTCACTGCGTGTGGTGCGTCAGCCGAATGTTTAACTTTTTGCTTATTTAGAGTTTCCTGTATTGTGATAAGATCTCGTAAACTTTCCTGATATAGCCCGACTTTAACCCTGGCTGTCCAGACTGCCCCGGCAGCAGCGTCCAGGTGTCACCATCCAGCGCTGCTGGCCTCACCAAGGGGCAGGAAGGAAGGAGCAAAGCGTGGCAGCTGCGCCAGCACCGGGCACACATACATGCCATGGAAAGCACAGAGGTTTCTAAGTAAGGAGGCTGAGCTGCTGGCTAGGAGCTCTGCAGAGAAAGCCCTGGGTCTACTGGTGGCCCTGGAGACCAATGGGACCCTTGGCTGCACTGCACAGAGCGTGGCCAGCAGGGCAGGGAGGTGCTCCTGCCTTCTGCTCTGCACTGGGGGGCACAGCTGCAGCACTGTGCCCACTGTGGGGCTCCCCAGTTGCAGGCAGACTGGGAAGAGAGAGAGCCCAGCTGAGGGTGCAGAGATAGTGGGAGCCTGGAGCAGCTCCTGATGGGGACAGGCTGAGAGTCCCAGTGCTGTGCACATGGAGGAGAGAAGGCTGAGGGGGTCTGAGCAGTGCTGGTGGGTATCTGAAGGTTTGGAGGTGAGGAGGAAGGGGCTGGGCTGTGTTTGGTGGTGCCCAGCACCAGGACAAGGGGCAGCAGGCCCAGACTGGAGGCCAGGGAGTTGTGTGTGTGTGAGGAAGAGCTCTGTGCTCTTCCACGGATAAGAGGGGATGGCCTCACGTTGTGGTGGGTCAGGTTGGAGACTGGGTACAATTTCTTTTCCAAAGTGCAGTCAGCACTGGCACAGGCTGCCCAGGAAAGTGGGGGTGTCCTCATCTTTAGGGGTGTTCAAGAACTGCAAAGATGTGGCACTTAATGGGCACGGTGGGGATGGACAGGGGTTGGACTTGTTGCTCTTGGAGGTCTTTTCCATCCTGAATGATTCTATGGTTCTGTGACCAACAGCAAGCACCTGTCCCCACTGCACAGAGCTAGCTGCAGTGCATGGCAGCAGCAGCGTTGCACTGTGTCCCCAGTGTTGGCACACCTTCTCTGGGCTCCCTGCATGGCCACTGAAGCTGGCTTTGGGCGCAGGGTTCAGCTGACGTGATTCTCAGCACCGTTTTCCTCCTAATTTGGCACTGACCTTTCCGTTTTGGTCCTTTTGGACTAAAAGTGGCATCCCTCCCAACGCTGTGTCCTGCTAAATTCAGCTGTGGCCACGCAGTGGTGAGTGGGGGCGGTGGTGCTGGCGATGGGTGCCAAAAATATCTCTCCTGTAGCACCCCCACCACCACCCACCAGGCTCCTCCTGCAGAGGAGATGTCCATACCCCCAGGACAGGGCTGAGGCCGGGCCTTGCAGCAATGCAAATCCCTTAGCACGGCCATCCCCTCTGCAGGGTTAGTGCAGAAGCTGTGCAGGAGCAGAGCCCCCGTGGTTCTCATTGCCATCATCTGACTCCGTGCTGCAGCAGTGTGACCTTAAACAGTGCTGGCTTCATCCTCCACATCACCATCTCTGTGCTCAGAGGAATCATGGACAGGGAATGAGCTGAAGCTGCTCACTTTGCTGGGGTTTGGCCCAGCCAGGGGAAGTCGTGGGCAGTGCCCTTTGGCAGCGGTGTGGGTTTCAGGATGTGAAGCCATGGGGCAGCCACGAGCCCTAGGGGAGCTCAAAAAAACACCGAGCAGCTTGGTTCCATTGTTCAGGGAAATGTCCAGAGCTAAGTTGGAGATAAGGAGCAGAAGGAAGGAAACACTCACGTTACACTTGGCCAGAGCACCGCTGCACTTCTGCTTTGCTGGATGGGACACCTGCTGACAGCGAGCTGTGCCAGGGCGAGTGCAGGGGGCCGGGGTCAGTCCTGCTGTGGCCAGGCACGCAGCTTCAGCCCCTAATGCCCTTCTTGTTCCCACAGGGAGCGGGGACGGCCAGGGACAGATCCTGCAGCGCTTCCCCGAGAAGGACTGGGAGGACAACCCCTTTCCTCAAGGCATCGAGTTGGTGAGTCTGCCCCTCTGGGACCCCCTGGTGCCCATCACAGCCCCCTCTGTAAACCCCCTGCGTTGCTGCAGCTCCCCTATGGGAGCTCGCCCTGCTGCAGGCCTGGATGTGCTTTGCTAACATCTGTGTGCCAAGGGGGGTCCTTGACATCCTTTCCCCACCCTCCAGCCGTGTTCTCCTGCTGCTGCACGGCCCTTTGAGGCTGTACCCACTGCTGGGCCGTACACAGAAAGTGGCACACCCAGCTCAATTTGGCACTGCGTGGATTCTTTGCAAACCAGCTTTTAACTAATCAAGGCTAAGAGGATTGTTCTCCGTTTCTAAGTTTGAACAGAAGTTCTTGGAAAACCTTTCCCTGCTGCATCTCTCCCTGCTCTGAAGGACAGCAGCATGGACTCCAACCTGGCGAGGCTCTGCACTCCTCTTCCCCTTTGCAGATCTTCTTCGTTTCTGGCTGAAGCACGGCACAGAACACGAATACAAGTGGGGTTTCGGAGGGCTCTGTGCTGCCTTATGACCCTGATAATCCTGGGGCCCATCTGATTCGTGGTTCCCCTCATTCTGCTCCTCCTGCTTCCAGGGGTGCCCATTCCCACAGCAAAGCCTGTGCTGCAGCACTGAGAAGTGGTGCCACTGAGAGCCCCCCATGCTTGGAGGGGTGTGGAAATGCTATCCATAGCCCTTTCTGCTGCCCTTAGTGCCACAGAGGCACTTGCTGCTCCAATGGGGACATGGCAGGATGTGCTGAGAGTGATCTCCAAGCAGGTTTAGTGATGGCCAGGACAGTTGCAGAAATGTAGAATGATACAAAGGTTGGGTTGGAAGCAGCTCCCCAGGCCCCCTGCCGTGGGATGGGTGCCCTCCCCAAATTAAATCTGCCCAGGGCCCCATTTATGGCCTCGAGCACCTCCAGGAATGGGGCACCCACAGCTCTGGGCAGCAGTGTGAGGGCTGCATCACTCAGTTATGGGTTCCTGGTGCAGAAGTGGGGTGGTGCCCCCAGTCCCCATCCAGGTCTGCCCCTACTATTTTGCTGCACAGAAGGCTCGGCCTTGGCAGTGTGTTTCTTTAAAGCACAGAACCCCAGAACCATGGGGGCTGGAAAGGACCTGTGCAGCTCCCCCACTGCAACCCCCCAGCAGTTCCCTGCACAGAGAACGTCCCAGCAGGTTTGGATCTCTGCACAGATCCCCCACCTCTCTGGGCAGCTGTGCCAGGGCTCTGCCACCCTCACAGCACACAGCTCTTCCTCACACTCACACACGACTCCCTGGGCTCCAGTCTGGGCCCGCTGCCCCTTGTCCTGGTGCTGGGCACCACCAAACACAGCCCGGCCCCCTCCTCCTGACCCCTTGTGCTGTGGGTCTTTGGCAGCCTGACTTCTGTCCTTGGCCATTTACAGCCTTTCATGGCATCCTTCAGAGCTGGCCACCAACTCCATCATCCCGTGTGTGCTGGTGTTGGAGAACCTCCGTGCTGTCTGTGACCATGTGAGGCTGATAGGGCACCCCATGCACGCCTTTCCTCTTGGAATCATAGAACTGTGGAATCATCCAGATTGGAAAAGCCCTCCAAGATCATCCAGTCCAACCACTGATCCATCCCACCATGCCCATCTGTCCCCAAGTGCCACATCCCCATGTTCCTTGTAAACCCCAAGATACGTGGACTCCCCATTGCTCTGGGCAACCTGTGCCAGTGCTGACTGCTCTTTTGGAGAAGAAATGCTACTTAATATCTAACCTGACCCTTCCCTGGCACATCTTGAGGCCATCACCTCTCCTCAAGCTCACCTGGAAACGGCTGGGCACTGCTGGCATTTGCAAGAGACAGCTTCCATCCAGCGAGCTCCTGCTAGGAGCAAGCAGCTCATTGAGCAGAGAACATCAGAGCTGGACGTGTCTCTCAGTCCCTGTCCTCATCCCCTGCCTCATCCAGGTGTCGTGTGGCTGCTGCATTGCATCACAGCCAGCAGTGAGCGTGCTGCGCCGTCGGAGCAGATGTGGTGAACCCTTCTTCTGTCTCACACTCACCGCAGTTCCATCACAGTTCTGGACTTTGCTATTTACTTTGTCTGAGGCAAAAAAATAGGCATGGCTTTTCTGCTTCGTGCTTCCTTGTTGTCTGTAGGGCACTCGGGAATCGTTCCAAGGAAGAGGAAAGTTGTGCTTTTTTTTCCCAAGGGTCGAAAATCATCCAGCCAAAAAATCCGTGGAATCTAAACAGCGGCATTCTCGTCCTTCTGGGAGCTGCTGGGTGGCTCTGAGGCGTTCCTGAGTTGTCAGAAGCCCTTCAGCTTTTGGGCTGAAACTAAGGCAATTTGGGAAAATGGGGCCGACCTCACTGTGAGGGGCTTGTGTGGTGCCTTACGGTGTGGTCACATCAGCACTGAATGGCTCATGCAAGGAGAGCAGTTTCTGGTGTTGTAGCTTCTGTGCCTGCTTGCTGACAGCATTTCCAGACAGAAATCTTTGTGGTTTTTCAGTGGAAGCTCCTCCACAGACACAGGACGTGAGCACTTCTTGCTCTGAGAGCATTGCTCCTGCCCACTTGGTGAGGTCTCCAAACAGGGTGCGTGGTTTTTTGGGTGTCAGCGTAGCTTTGAGCTGGGAGCTTTGAGCTGCACCAGCGAGGTGTGTGTGGCAGCAGCGAGGGTTGCTGCTGATGCTGAAGGTTGTAGGGCTGTTGTAGGGCTGTGCCTGCTGGTTCTTCCTGCTCTGGTGTGCTGGTGCAATTCCTCCTCCGCAGCCTGTAGCCTTTGTCCATGCATCACCCTGCAGGAGGATTGTGCAGGTCTGCCTTGCATACATGGAATCACAGGATGGTTTAAGTAAGAAGGACCTTCATAGAATCACAGAATAATTTGGGTTGGAAGGGACCATAGGATAACAGAATGGTTTGGGTTGGAAGGGATACTTCCTAGAATCGTAGAATGATTTGGGTTGGAAGGAATGGTTGGAAGGTTCATGGAATCATAAAATGATTTCAGTTAGAAGGGACCATAGGTTTACAGAATGGTTTGGGTTGGAAGGGACCTTCATGGAATCATAAAATGATTCCAGTTAGAAGGGACCATAGGATTACAGAATGGTTTGGGTTGGAAGGGACCTTCATGGAATCATAAAATGATTTCAGTTAGAAGGGACCATAGGATTACAGGAAGGTTTGGGTTGGAAGGAACCTTCATGGAATCATAAAATGATTTCAGTTAGAAGGGACCATAGGATTACAGGAAGGTTTGGGTTGGAAGAAACCTTCATGGAATCATAAAATGATTTCAGTTAGAAGGGACCATAGGTTTACAGGAAGGTTTGGGTTGGAAGGGACCTTCATGGAATCATAAAATGATTTCAGTTAGAAGGGACCATAGGATTACAGAATGGTTTGGGTTGGAAGGAACCTTCATGGAATCATAAAATGATTTCAGTTAGAAGGGACCATAGGTTTACAGGAAGGTTTGGGTTGGAAGGGACCTTCATGGAATCATAGAATGTTCTGAATTGGAAGGGAAACGATGGAATGATTTGAGTTGGAAGGGACCTTGATGGAATCATAGAATGATTTGCGTTGGAAAGGATCTTCATAGGATCACAGAACGTGTGTTGAGTTGAAAGGGACCTTTATAGGATCACAGGATGGGTTGAGTTGGAAGGGACCTTCATGGAGTCACAAAATGGTTTGGGTTCTGTAGTGTTGGTTCTGGGAATGCTGCTCTTGTCTTCCACAGAGTTGTGCCCATCTTCCAGGGAGAGCACTGAACCATCACTTATCTTTCCTGAAGGCTTGGAGCCGTGTCAGGAGAGGACCAGGTGGGGGTTAAGGAAAGGTTCTGCACCAGAAGCTGGTGGGCATGGAACAGGTTCCCCTGTGGGCAGTGGGCATGGCCCCAAGATGACAGAGCTCAGGGAGCATTTGAACAGTGCTCTGAGACATTGGGGTTGGGTGGAGCGAGGAGTTGGACTCAGTGGGTCCCTTCCAACTTCAGGGATTCTGTGGTGGTTTGGCATAAGGATCTGGATAGGTGGGATCGAAGTTATGTGGAAGTCAGTGAGGCCAAATGAGAGATGTGACACTTGGGCCACAACAACCCCATGCAGAACTACAGGTTTGTGGCAGTGGGGCTGCCCTGTTACGTTGGAGTGGAGCTGGATGTATGTCCTGGAGCACATGGAGTGTGATGAGGGGGAATGGAGAGCAGACAAAGGTTGCAGAACTACAGTAGCTTAGAAACTGCTTCACTCACTGAGGACTGAGGGCTGGAGCTGACGTTGGGGTCATCCTGTCCCCGCTGCCCTGTTTTCAACCTCCCTTCTGTCACCCTGAGCTCCGAAACCGCTGAGTTTTTCTGCTCTTTCCATGGAGTCCTGAGAACATCAGGGAATTTTCCAGCGCTCACCAACCCAATGCAGATGCTGAGAAGGGGAAGGGCAGGAAAATCCCTTGAGATTTGGAAACCACGTGAGGAGTTCTGGGGCTGGAATTACTCGGGAAGTCCCCAGGAAGCAGTGAAGCACTGCGGGGCTGCGTTGGCAATGCGAGGAGTGCCACCTCCCGGAGCATCGTGCCCTGCTTTGGGCTGGATTAACTCTACTCCCTGAGGTTAATGTGGGGCTGTGTTTGGATTTAAGAGAAATAAAGTTGCTAACATACCGATGCTTTAGCCTCAGCCCCACTCTTCCTGCAGCAAAGGAGGGGCATGGGGCGACGTGCAGCCCCATCCACACTGCTGACCCCCATCCCCTGCCCTGTCTCGCAGTTCTGCCAGCCCAGCGGTTGGCAGCTCTTCACAGAGAGGAACCCCCCCACCTTCTTCGTGGCCGTGCTGACCGACATCAACTCAGAGAGGCACTACTGCGCCTGCTTCACCTTCTGGGAGGCTGTGGAGAGCGCGCAGGTACAGCGGGTGTGGGGCTGGGGAAGGGGTGGGGGCTTCTCTGGGTGCCCCCTTGGTGGAAGAACCTGGGATGAAGGATTGGGAAGGGTGTCTGTGCCTGAGCTTGGCCTGATATCTGTGTCACCACAGCCTCAAAGCCACCCCAGGAATGGAGAAGAGGAGGAAGAGGAATCGGCTTCTCCTGTCCAACCGGCACAGCTCTTTGCTCCCAAGAGCCTGGTGCTGGTGTCAAGGCTGGACCACGCCGAGGTGTTCAGGGTAAGTGCTTGGGGCAAGGAGAGGCAGTGAGCAGCCCCAGCATGGAGCTGGTAGTGCTGGGAGCAGCTGGAGGCTCAGCACGGGGCCGACTCCGCACCCAGCGTTGCAGAACAGCACGGCCACCCAATTCTGTGAATGCAACACCCGTGAAGAACAGCCCGTTCCTTTGGGGACCTTTATCACTGCCACCTTTGTTTTCTCCCAACTCGCTGTGTTATGTGGCTGTGACTGGTCTGGGAGGGCATGCGCTGCTTGCAGGTGGCACCAGCTGCCTTGCCCTGTGCTTGTGGTGCAAGGGATCCAAAGAAGGAGTCCATCTGGGGCATACAGAAGACTTGCTGCCATCTTGGGTGCTGGGTGAGCACCTCATGTGGAGGAGGAGAGCTCCGTCACACTTCTCCCTGTTTCCCTCCCACTGTGGGGTATTGCTTGGAGCTCTTGCTCTCAGCCTGCCCCAGCGTGGGGTGCTCCATCAGGGTGTTTAGCCACCACTGGTATTGAGAAGGACTGTCAGGGAATAATGTCACCCATTCTTCAGCCTAGAGCTGTTACAAATGTCAGGCTTCACAGGATGCTCCAATCTTCAGCCTAAAGCTGCAAACTTCAGGCTTTCTAGAAGACCAAAGGCACATCCTATGGGGACGGCTGCTCCCACCCCAGCTCAGGCACAGGGCAGCTGGAGAGGGGTGCCAAGGACCACTTCCAGGTTGGGGTTAGAGATCAGAGAATTACAGAACCATTCAGGTTGGAGAGGAGCTCTGAGATCACCAAGTCCAACCCCAACTCACCCCCAATGTGCCCAATATCCCCATGTGCCACATCCCCACGTTCCTTGAATACCCCTAGGGATGGGGACTCCTCCACTGCCCTGGGCAGTCTGTACCAGTCCTTGACTGGTCTCTGGGGAAGAAATGTTCCCAATACCCAACCTGACCTCCAGGGATGGAGGCTGCTTGGCCTCTGGGCAGCCTGTGCCAGTGCTCTGGCACTGAACCATTACACAGTGCTGTGTGTAGGTAGAATCGCAGAATCATGGAATGTTTTGGTTTGGAAGGGACCTTTGTAGACACATGGAATCATGGAATGGGTTGAGTTGGAGAGGACCTTTGTAGAGTCACAGAATGGTTGGGGCTGGAAGGGCCCTCTGAAAGCCACCAGGTCGGTGTCTCTGCTGTGCTGAGCATTCCCCATCTGGACGCAGTGCTCCTTCCATCCCCCAGCTTGTACTGACGGTGGGGGTTACTGGGAGGTGTCTGACCATGAGTTGGGCCCATGTTGGCTGACAGGGGGTCACAAAGCAGCAAGTGAGATCAGTGAGACCGACAAAGGAACATGTGAGCAGCAGAGATCTTGGATCATGAGTCCATTTTCCTTGTTGTGAGCAGTTCATTGTACGGCATCGCCACGTCTGGTTGGGGTTTGCCTCCACAAAGCTGAGATTCTCTGACATGCACAACTTGTTTGGGGTTGGAGGGCAAAGCCAGGTGAGCCAGGCTGCTGTGGGGGAAAACAGCTCGTGCTTGGGGATGATTTTGGCTGAAATTGGGTCATCTGGTTTATTGCAGGAGAAAGACATTTCCTGCAGAGGTTTGTTCTCTGCATGGCAGTGGTTCCCAGCCCGTATTACTTCACCAGCGTGGGGCACTTGGGGTCAGTGGGCACATGGGAGGTGGGCTGGGATCAAGCTGGGTGTTCTCAGGGGTCTTTTCAAATCTTCAAATGGTTGTGTGATTCTGTGATTTCTTGCTGATGCGGGGAGATGGTTTGAAGAGAAAAAGGGTTCCTTGAAGACAGATTGCTCAAATTCTTGATTGATTGGGGTGGTTCCAGCAGCCAATCCATGGCCCAAAGGACGTGCTGCTGGACACTGCCCTGTGATGCATCCTGTGCTGGTGCCAACGCTCGCTCCCAGTGCAGAAGAATCAGTGTCCAACCCTCAGGGAGAAATGGCTCCTTCCTTCATGCCCTATGTTTGAGGCTTTGAGTGGGACCTGATGCAGACCTGCAGGGACCAGGAACCTCCCTCTGCTCATGGTGACCTGGTGGGGATGGCAGGGAGGGTCAGTGTTGCTGGCTGGAAGCATAGTGTGTGCTGTATACCCCACCCCTGCTGGGAAGGGCTCAGGGGGAGAAGTTGGAGGGGAGACCTGAAGCACTGCAGCCAAGAACCATGGGCTGAGCTCCTTCTTGGGGACAGGCACTGGGCAGGGTGGTGCTGCTGGGGACCAGGAGGTGGCTGCCTCCTGCAGCGACGCTCAGCCACGCTGTGCTTCCCTCTGCAGAACAGCCTGGGCTTGATCTACACCATCTACGTGGACGGGTTGAACGTGTCCCTGGAGAATGTCATTGGGAACCTGCTGACATGCACCATCCCCATCACTGGTGGAGCCCAGGTGGGTGCCCCCAGCCTCCCTGCACTGCCTCGTTCCCAGCCCCATGGCATGGGGCAGAGCCATGCTGCGTGGCTGCGTTCTGCTCCTGCCTGTCTGACCCTCCTGCAGGCAGCAGCTCGCTGCACCGGGTGCTGGGGGATTGCTGCATGCCCTGCTGCTGGCAGGGCCTGGCTTGTGCAGGCAGCACCTTTCCAAGTGCTGTAGAGCAGAACAGTGCAGCTCCATCACCTGGAGCAGCTCAGCCTCTGGGGCAGCTGAGAGCACCTCGCCGTGGGTCAGCAGCTTTGTTCCTTCCCCCTCCACCCCCCCAGGAGCTGCGTAGATCAATTCATGCTGTGCAAATCCCTGCTGTGGTCTGTGGTCTCCCTGCACCAGAGAGTTTCCCACTGCTCTTCTTGGGCCCGTCTGAGCGCACAGAACATTGCTCTGAGTCAACAGGCACAGGCTGTGCATGTCTGTGGTCCCAAGGTTTGAGAACAGACTTAATAGGAAGGGCATTTGGGGCATAGGTAAATGGATGAAACATTGGCTGTGTCTTCAGAGCACTTGGAACCAGTGGCATGTGTTCCACTGTTCAAGTAGTTCTGAAACAGAGGAGCAGAACTGAGTGAGCTCCCATCCTGAAGACACTGATGCTTTTTCACACCCCTCTGTCCAAACTTCCCAAGCTTTCTGAGCATTAAACATTAAAGCAGCACAGTAGATGAGTTCCCACTTAGATGTCATACCTGACTCCTGGAAAAGAAGGCACAAAATGAGGTTTGGTAGCTTCTGGTTCTGCTGTGGAAGGTGCTCCCATTCCAGGAGGGCAGCAGGTGGGTGAGTGATGGAGATGGGAGAGGTGGGCAGCTCCCAGGCAGACCTTCTCACAGAAGATGTTTGAAGACAGCAGCACAGCCCCTCTGGAGTTGTTCTGCCACACTAACACTTGGAAAGCAGCTGCAGAGGTGGCACGTGTCCCTGCACTCAGCCAAAGGCAGCACTGCAGCTCTGTGCCTGCAGGCAGAGGCTCTCCCCACCGCCGAGCCCTGTGACCCCAAGGGGGTTTTTGCTCCCTGTCCCCATGCAGGCTGTTGGTTTGGGTGTTTTGTGCCGGGCACAGGCTATGCTCTCAGGCTGACCTCGTGCCCCTGGAGCAGTGCTGGCCCTGGGGCTGGCTGCCAGTCACACCTGGTGCTCTGGAGAAGCAGGCAAGCCACAGCTGAGCCCATGGCCGTGCCTGGCTGGGTGCGGGCACCCAACAACATCCCACCCCATCTGGTTCCTCCCAGCTGGAGCCCACACACAGCAGGAGGAAGGCAGTGAGCTGTGCTTTGGCCACTGCCATTTGTCACCTCCCCGTTCTGGCAGGATCCATCTGTGCCACGGGGACACACAGCACGCTGCGGGGAGGACGGTGTGTTGGTGGCGCTCCCCTCCCTGTGCTTTCCCTCTGCCCCTGCTGTGTCCAAATGCTCTTTCTCAGTGTGGTGGTGGCTGCTTTGCTTTGTCTGTGTGCACCTCTCCTCCTCTGAGAGCTCTGCTCCCCGCTTTGTGCCTCTGTCCCCCCTCATCCAGCTGTGTTTGTGCCTTTCTAACCGACTGTGCTATCTTTGTCTGTCTCTATCTCAGCCTGACGCGGACGACGAAGCAGCGGTACGCACACCTTTTCTTTCTGGGGTCTGTGTCCTCGTTAGCCCCTTCTCTTCTTCCTGTGGAAGGGTTGTGCAAGCAGCTCTGGTGCTGCCACATCCACGGGGCTGGTTCCTGCCCCATGGCATTGCTTCCCCATGGTTAGGAGGCTCGGCTTGCTGCTCGGGTGCAGCTCAGGGTGCTGGCTCAGCCCGGCCAGAAGCCTTTATTGGGAGCAGCCCCCTGAGCCCACAGGGCTGAGCGGGGAGATGGGGCACATGGCCAAACCTACTGCAGAGCAGCACGGCCCTGGAGAAGTGCTCATTGATGTGACGCTGCCCTCGTGCCTCTGGAGAGAGGCTGAGGACCTGCAGGCATCCCAGTGCTGTGGTTTGGAGAAAAACTGCCCAGGAGAAGAAGAGATGAGGCTGTGCCCGCTGTGCTCCAGCCCTGTCCTGGGGGGCACGGAGCTGCTTCTTGGGCACTGTGGTCCTGGGTCCTCGTGCTGGCCCCTTGCTGAATGCCACCCCATCACCTCCTGCATTTTCTTGCAGCGGACGATCTCGCTGGGTGCAGGGGACAGGCAGGTGATCCAGACACCCATCAATGACTCGCTTCCCGTCAGCAGCTGCAGTGTGGCTCTGCTCTTCCGGCAGCTCGGTGAGACTTTTCCCCACACCTCCTTGCCAGTGGGTCCAGTGCCAAAAGCAGCCCAGGGCTCAGCTCCAATTGCACAGCATTGGAGAGAGCTACCCTGGCTCTGCCCTCCTGCACGGGGCAGCAGTGTGCAAGCAGTGTTGCAGGGGCAGAGAATCACTGAATCATAGCACGGCCTGGGATGGAAGGGACCTTGTAGATCACAGAGCCATAGAGTAGCTGGGTTGAAAAGGTCCTTACAGATCACGGGGTCATCATTGGATTGGAAGGGACCTTATAGATCACTGAGCCATTAAATGGTTGGGTTGGAAGGGACCTCTCAGCTCTACCCCTGCCCTGGGCTGGGTCCCCCTCCTCCAAGCTCAGGCTGCTCAGGGTCCCATCCACAGCCCTGGGCACCTCCAGCGATGGGGCACCCACAGCTCTGGGCAGCAGCACCAGGGCTGCATCGCCTCTGGGTGAAACATTTCCCACATATCTGACCCCATTTCCCCTCTTCCTGTTTAAAGCCATTCCCCCGTGTCCCATCGCTGTCTCTGTGCAGAGCTGCCCTCCTCCTGCATATCAGCTCCTTCAGGCCTCCAAGTACCTTTCCAAGGGATGGGCACCACGGGTGTCCCCCTGGAGGGTGTCAGCTCCTCTGCTGTGCAGGATGTGGAGATGAGGAACAGCTTGTGAGGATCTGTCCTGGAGCACAGGAGGGGAACCCTCTTTCTGAGCACTGCTCTCTCCCTTCTCCCCAGGCATCACCAATGTGCTGTATCTCTTCTGTGCAGCGCTCACTGAGCACAAGATCCTGTTTCTCTCCAGCAGCTACCAGCGGCTCACCGATGCCTGCCGGGCTCTCCTTGCACTTATGTTCCCCCTTAAGTACAGGTGAGAGAAGAGCTTCAAGCCTCAGACTGAGCTGGGGCACTACCTGGGCTACCTAACACCCCTTTCTCCATAATTACCTGGGCAGTAATTACTTGTGCTGTACACATTGCTGGTGCAGGGTGGGCTGTAAAGGATGTGCGTGGCTCTCAGAGCTCCTTCCCTGGAGCCTTTTCTGTGTGCCAGTGCATCATTGAGCCATGGAGTGGCTGGGTTGGAAGGGACCTTATAGATCATAGAGCTACTGGATGGTTGGGCTGGAAGGATCCTTAAAGATCACAGAACCGTGGAATGATAGAGTGGTTGGGTTGGAAGAGTGTTGGTGAGCAGGAGAGCGCTGAGGGCGTGCTGTTGGGCTGTGCTCCCCCAGGAAGGCAGGGAGCAGATGCTAGGTCCTGGCAGGGCTCAGCTGGCTGCAGCAATGCTCATCTCTTGTTGCAGTTTCACGTACGTACCCATCCTGCCCGCACAGCTCCTGGAGGTACTGAGCACGCCGACACCCTTCATTATCGGGGTCCACTCCATCTTCCAGTCGGAGACACAGGAGCTGGTGAGACCCCATGAGCTGGCAGCAAGGGAAGCAGTGGGACCACAGAACTCAGAGCCATGGGGGTGTGCAGCTCCCCCAGTGCAGTGCCCCCATGCAGCTCGCCCCAGCAGCTCTACGCGGTGTCCAGGCAGGTTTGGATCTCTGCACAGGAGACTCCCCCAAACTCTCTGGGCAGCTGTGCCAGAGCTCTGCCACCCTCACAGCACACAGCTCTTCCTCACACTCACACACAACTCCCTGGCCTCCAGTCTGTGCCCGCTGCCCCTTGTCCTGGTGCTGGGCACCACCAAACACAGCCCAGCCCCTTCCTCCTCACCTCCAACCCTTCAGATACCCACCAGCACTGCTCAGACCCCCTCATCCTTCTCTCCTCCATGTGCACAGCACTGGGACTCTCAGCCTGTCCCCATCAGGAGCTGCTCCAGGCTCCAACCACCTCTACACCCTCAGCTGGGCTCTATCAGCACTTCCCAGTCTGCCTGGAACTGGGGAGCCCCACACTGGGCACAGTGCTGCAGCTGTGCCCCTCAGTGCAGAGCAGAAGGCAGGAACACCTCCCTGCCCTGCTGGCCACGCTCTGTGCTGTGCAGCCAAGGGTCCCATTGGCCCTCTGGGCCACCAGGGCACACTGCTGCCTCATGGTCAGCCTGCTGTCCACCAGGATCCCCAGGTCTTTCCCTCAGCCCCCAGCACGTCCTGATGTGAGCAGCCACATCCCAAGCCCTGCTTCAGGCAGCAGCTGAGCACTCAGCTCATGCTCATGGTGCTGTGCTGGCTGCCAGCTCAGGCTGTGCTCCACGCTGGCTGGGGCTGCTCTGCCTGGGTCAGGTCTCCGTTCCGTGCCACAGCAGCTGGGTTAACTGAGGATTTGATTTTGAAGCTCAGCTGGCAGCGCTGGTCCAAGAAGCTGTGCTGGCACTTCAGCCTGACAGACTTCAGTGTAGAAACTGAATGAAATGAAAGCGTAATGAGCCTGATCTCAAATGAAACAAGCTTTTGTGCAACCTTCTGAGCAAACTGAACAGCGCCGTTCAAGTGAAGCAGGAAGGAGTCTGTGCTGGGGCTGATGTCAGTGTGTTCCCCGTGAGAGCTCACCCAACTTGTGGTCTCCACAGCAGGCAGTGATGGGAACCCCTTACAGTTCATGTATCACAAGTGCTTGCATATTTAATAGATAAGAGAAAATAGCTGCTGAGGGCTGGAATGCTTGAGCTTGCAGTGGGCAGAGAGGAGACAGATCGTTGTTCCCCACATCCCCTCTGTTTGGCTGGGTTGTTTCTCTGTTAGCTCACCATTAGCAGCAGGAGGTGGTGGGCTGTGGCTTGGCACTGTCTCACTCCTGTCTCACCCCTTTCAGCTGGATGTTGTTATCGCCGACCTGGATGGGGGCACAGTGAATGTCCCTGAGTGTGTGCACATCTCCCTGCTCCCTGAGCCTCTCCTTCAGCAGACCCGTGAAGCCCTCTCCATGGTAAGTGCCACAGCTGGGCTCTCCCTGCAGTTCCTGTGTTGAACTGGGAAGCTCAGCACTAGATGTGCTGCAGCTGTGCCTTCCCCAGGGCAGAGCAGAAGGGAGGAGCTCCCCGTCCTGTTGGCCATGCTCTGTGCAATGCACCCTGGGCTCCCATTGTCTATCCTGGCCACCAAAGCACACTGCTGGCTCATGGTCATTGTGTGGTCAACCACTGGTCAACTGTTGGACACCCAAGTCTTCCACAGAGCAACTTTAGAGCACCTCTTTGTAATGCATTCCAGGGTCCCGTTGTCCTTCTTGGCCACCAAGGCACACTGCTGGTTCCTGGTCAGCTTTTGGTCAACCATTGGTCAACTGTTGATCAACCACAATGCCATAGGCCTCCCTGGCCACCAGGGCACAGTGCTGCCTCATGGTCATCCTGTTAGCCATGGTGACCTCCGGTGCATGGCTGTGCTGTAGGGTCCATCTGCCAAAGGTTTCTGGGAATCAGAGCAGGAAACAGCTGCAGCCTTGATGTTGATTTGCTGGCAGTGAGAGCATTCCCAGCCTGCTGGCCCTGCAGAGCGGGTGCTGGGACAGTGCAGCCAAACAGCAGCTGAGAGAATCAGAGTCTTAGAACTGTAGAATGGTAGTGTGGGAAGGGACTGCAGAGCCCCCCAATCCCAGTTCTGCCATGGTCTGGGTGCCCCCCACCAGCTGAGGCTGCTCAGGGCCCCATCCTTTGCACCTGCTGGGATGGGGCATCCGTGCTGCTCTCAGGGCAGGCTGTGTCAGGGCCGCAGCACACTCTGCCTGGCTGTGGGCAGCCCCTGGCATGGCAGAAGCCTTTCCCATAGCTACCGATTGCTGCAAGTCTGTCCATGGGTCCCTAAGAACACACGTGTGGGTCCTGCTGAGCTTCTGGGGAATGCAGCTTCGTGTGAGCACAGATCCCCAGGGCCTGAATGTGCCTTGTGCCTTTCTGCAGGTCTTGGACCCGGAGCTGGAGGTGGCAGATCTGGCATTCCCCCCTTCTACGATTTCTGCTTCATCTCTCAAAATGCAGGTGGGTGAAATGGGGCCACACAGGGCCTCGAGAAGCAGAGAGCCCAGGCACAAGGCTGCCATCTCTGCCAGGCATCCCGCACCCTGCTCTGGGATGGGAGCTTCACAAGTGACCGCAGGGCTACAAGAGCTCCTTGCAGGGCTACAAGAGCTCCTTCCTGCATGCATGCGGTCTCAGAGATGCTGGGAAGGGGAGAGCACTGGAGATCTATCTCCCACCTCCTCTGTTCTTTAGAAGGTCCCTGAGTTTCCTGCCCTGTTCACCAGAGGCTGATGCTGACACGTGAATGTGATCCCTTTGCCCCGTGGTCCCTTTGTCCTCCTGACTGCACTGTCCACCCCTTTGCACAGGACAAGGAGATCCGGGCTGTCTTCCTCCGCTTGTTTGCACAGCTGCTGCAGGGCTACCGTTGGTGTCTGCACATCATCCGCATCCATCCTGAGCCCGTCATCCGCTTCCACAAGGTACGGCCTGGATGTGGGCATGGGCCTGGCCCTGCTCCCAGTGTTGGTACTGGGAGGAGGAGGCCAGCATGGAGCTTCTCTGCTCCAGGGCCTCGTGGCCACACCATAGAACAGCTCTTCACACTGCCCTGCGTGGCCGTGGGATGACTCTTTTGGAAGTGGGTTTGCACTGAGGTCAGGGAGAGAGAATGCGTGGAAAGGGTCGCGTAAATATAGCTGTGTCTGCAAGTAAAGTCCTGTGCTTCCAGCAGGTGATTTCTGCACCACTGCCAGCTCCACCTGCATCCCTTGTTTGTCCTTGAGTGTCCCTGGGTTGTGTGGGTCAGATGCCATTTCCCTGTTTATGCCCGAGCACAGCGCAGCTGGGGCTGTGCGCCTCCTGGGCTGAGACACGGCTTTTCCCCATGCCTGGAGACAGGAAGCAAGACCCGGGGAGAGGAAACAGCAGCGCCTTGGGGCTGTTGGCAAAGCCAAGGCAGGAGAGGAGGAAAACATGGGAGGTGTTGGGGTTCTGTGGAGGAAATCTAACTCAGCAGAAGGCAACGGGAGCAGAGGGATGCAAGCTCAGCATGGCCATGGCATCAGCTCCTGTCCTGATGGTACCACGCTTCCCTCTTGCAGGCAGCCTTCCTGGGGCAGAGGGGGCTGACGGAAGATGACTTCCTTACCAAGGTGCTGGAGGGCATGGCCTTTGCTGGCTTTGTGACAGAGAGGGGAGCTCCGTACCGCTCCATCGACCTCTTCGATGAGGTGAGCGCTCCTCTGGGGTTGGGGGCTGCTGGGGATGGAGGCTGCTGGGGATGGAGGATGTTGGGGATGGGAGATGGGGGCTGCTGGGGATGGGGGCTACTGAGGATGAAGGATGGAGGCTGCTGGGGATGAAGGCTGCCGAGGATGGGGGATGGGGGCTGCTGAGGATGAAGGATGGGGGCTGCTGGGGATGGGGGCTACTGAGGATGAAGGATGGAAACTGCTAGGGATGGAGGCTGCTGGGGATGGGGGTGGAGGCTACTGGGGATGGAGGCTGCTGGGGATGGAGCCAGGGAATCGTAGGATGCTGGATCCTGCCCAGCAGGCAGCTGCTCCTCTCACCCATCTCTTCTTCCAGCTTGTTGCTTATGAAGTGAAGCGCATGCGTGCAGAAGAGGGGAACAAGCAGAAAATATTGCGGCACATTAAGGAGCTGGCAGAGAAACTTTACAAAAATGTGAGTGCAGGAGGGGAACCTGCTCTGACGGGAGGGTTGGGAGAACCTGGCTGAGAGCCCATGTCCATCTGTCCTTCCTCCACTCATGTTACTGTAACTGGTGCTGGAAACACTGTTATGGAAACTGCTACTGGACCCCAGGGTGTCTGCCTGGCCTCAGCCTCTCCCTCGCTTCCTGAGTGGAGGTATTCCTGTTTTTGGTGGTCTGGGCATTAGGCACTTCCTTCCCCTTGTTCTGGAGCAGCTGCTGCCCGTGCTGACTGGCCTAAGATGCCTTTGGCCATCCCAGCCCTGAGCTCCTAAGGGCTTTTTGCTCTTTGCTGCTGCTCCTGAGAGCAGAGTATGATGGTACTGTGAGCTGACAGCCTGCCCTCAGCACTGCTAGGTTCTGGAGGCTGCAAAGTGCTGCTGGGAGAGGAAAGGAACTGTGTTGCTGAGAGATGCCCCTGTGAGCCTGCGGGATGATGCACGACTTCCTTGTGGCTGAAAAGAAACTCTCTTTGCTGTGCCAGGAGAACCCATACCCCGCTGTGACCATGCACAAAGTGCAGAAGCCCACGGAAGGCTGTCATCTGCGCCTGCACCAGAAGCCCTTCCCACGTTTGGATGAGGGCACAGTGCAGTGGATCATCGATCAGGCCACAGCCAAGCTACAGACAGCTCCTCCAGCTGTGAAAGCAGAGAAGAAGTGCATGGTTCCCTCAGGCCCCCCCATTGGTACGTGTGCTCAGACCCACCTCGTACTTCTCTCCTCCATGCTCACAGCCCCGGGGCTCTCAGCCTGTCCCCAGCAGGAGCTGCTCCAGACCCCCATCATCTCTGCACCCTGAGCTGGGCTCTCTCTCTTCCCAGTCTGCCTGGAACTGGGGAGTCCCTCACTGGGTGCAGTGCTGCAGATGTGCCCCCCAGTGGAGAGCAGAAGGCAGGAGCACCTCCCTGCCCTGCTGGCCATCTTCTGTGCCACGTGTTGGCCTTCTGAGCCACCAGGGCATACTGCTGGCTCATGATCAGCGTGTGGTCAGTTGTTGGTCAGCCTGTTGGACTCCCAGGATCTTCTCTACAGAGCCCTTTTGCAGCGGCTCAGCCCCAATCTGTCCCGATGCTGTAGTTGTTCCTCCCCAGGTGCAGGACTCTATTCTTGCCCTTGTACTTTTGGGTAGTGCCATCATCTCAACATCACTGTCCCCGTTAACCTCTCCCCTTCTGGCTGCTCAGAGGTCCCTCAGCTCCATCAACCAGCATGAGAGGACTGCTGAAATCCCTTCAGTGTCCTCCCACAGCACTGCCTGTGTGGAGCATTGGGACACCCATTCTTCCACTCCCTGGGCTGCGACCCTGCCCTGCCTGAACTGCATCGCTTCTCTCTCCAGCAGCCATCATGGAGCGAAATGGCAACGCCTTGGCCAACAGCGCCCGCCGCCTGGAGGTGGTTCGGAACTGCATCTCCTATGTCTTTGAGAACAAGATGTTAGAAGCCAAAAAGGTGAGGAGGGCTCCTGAGAAGCAGGCAGCCACCAGCTGGTGGTGAGGGTTCTCTGCTTCTCCTCCATGGCATTCCTTGCTTGTATCCAGATCTCTGCTGGGCAGCTCTGTTTCCGTGCTCACTTGTCCTCTGAGCACTGTTCCTCCTTGTGTCCCTGGGTTCCTGGCTGCTCACCCCACTGCAGGGTCTATCCTGTGGAGGTGGCTGACCCTGGAGCTCTGAGGCTGTGCTACAGCTGCCCAGATGCTATTTATCACGTTGCTTTGATCCATGTGTGACAGCACAGTGTCAGCCAACACAGCCAGGGCGAGGTGCCCCTCCTGCACCTCTCCTTGGGGGCTAACTCTGACTTCAGGAGCTCATCTGCTCCCCATCTTTCCCTGCAGTTGTTCCCTGCTGTGCTGCGTGCCATGAAAGGCCGAGCGGCCCGGCATTGCCTGACCCAGGAGCTGAATCTGCACGTGCAGCAGAACCGTGCCGTGCTGGACCACCAGCAGTTCGACTTCATCGTCCGTATGATGAACTGCTGCTTGCAGGTAGGGAAGGAGAGCATCACCCAGTGTGGGAGAAAGTGTGGGGTGGGAGTGGGAGCAGACCTGGGCGTCCTCAAGTGGATCCTCTTGTAAGCTCTGCTCTTTTCCCCAGGACTGCACGGCCATGGATGAGCATGGGATTGCAGCCGCGCTCCTGCCGCTGGTCACCGCTTTCTGTCGAGTGAGTATCTGCAGTGTCCCGGTGTCTGGTGTGGCCCTCACAGCCTCAGAACTCCTTGGAGGCTGCAGAGACTGGGTTAGGGGCAGATTGTCCCCTGGCTGCTTCTTGGGGCGTGAAATTCTGCCCAGTATCTTTCAGCCATGCACAAGCTTGGCCGAGCTGAAACACCTGGGGAAAAGCTGCTCAGATCTGGGGATGCACTCATGTATCCGTCAGGCTAGGCTGAGATTACTGTTATCTAGGTTAGAAAAACCCTTCTGTATTATCAAATCCAACCACTGAGCTGACCTACCAAGTCCCATCACAAAACAGCGTCCCTTAGTGCTGTGTCTGCACGTCCCTTAAATGTCTGCAGGGATGGGGACTCCACCACAGCCCCAAGCACCACATTGTAATGCTTGATAAGATTCTGCCTTCTAGAAAGCATCTGTAGCATGAGGCTCTCCTGGGCCCTCAGGGTAGGTGCTGAGCAAACCTGAGAAGTGTTTGCAAGGACTCCTTGGAGGAACTGTGGTGCTGGTGTCCCTCCTGCGTGTCCAAGGGCGTGCTGCCTTTCCCGGCAGCAGGAGAGAGCAAGAATGATCTGGAGAGGAGAGGCTGGCACAAGGACTGCGTTCAGATAAAACTCTTCTGTCCATCTTCTGCTTCCTCAGAAACTGAGCCCAGGCATCACGCAGTTTGCCTACAGCTGTGTGCAGGAGCATGTGGTGTGGACCAACATCCAGTTCTGGGAAGCTATGTTCTACAGTGATGTGCAGAACCACATCCGAGCCTTGTATCTGGACAGCAGTGAGGAGAACCACACAGATGAGGTGAGTGGGGGCAGCCGGGTTCCTGCAGAGCAGCTGTGTGGGGGCAGCTCTCTCTTGATGTCTGTGGGATGGGTGGGGTGCTGGAAGCAGCCCAAGGGACTGCATCCTGGCACTGGGAGAGCCCCGTGAAGGCCGGCAGCTCTCCTGTCCATGCAGACCTCCGACACTCATTCCATCTCCTTCAGGAGGGCACAGAGGAACCCCAAGAAGCCAGGTCTGCCCTTGAGATAGCATCAGAGCAGCTGAGGCTGTGGCCCACCATGAGCCGAGAGAAGCAGCAGGAGCTGATCCAAAAGGAGGAGAGCACAGTTTTCAGCCAGGCCATCCACTACGCCAACCGCATGAGCTACCTGCTGCTGCCTCTGGACACCAGCAAGAACCGCCTGCTGCGCAGCTCCGGGCTGGGGGATGTGGAGAGCGTCAGCAACAGCTTTGTCACCAACAGGTCAGGAGGGCTGGAAGACTGCAGGGGGAGCGGAGCAGCCCAATCTGGGGACTCGGGGCTCCTTGGAGCATCCAGATTATTTGGCTTCGAGTTGGGATCGGTGAAAGTTGCACTGCCCAGGGCAGGAGTGGAAGCTCCTTTGGGTTTGGGTTCATCTCGAGAGAGGGGTCTCCCCTGGGCTCTCCTGCATAGGCAGGGCCCTCCTGCTCTGGGTTATGGCAACGGAGAGGAGCACTCTGAGCTAACTGCTCTCTCCTGCACGGCAGCATCGCTGGCAGCGTGGCCGAGAGCTACGACACGGAAAGTGGATTTGAGGATGCAGAAAGCTCAGATGTGGCCAACTACGTGGTGCGGTTCATCAACCGCTTCGTGGACAAAGTGTGCACTGAGAGCGGAGTCACCAACGAGCACCTGAAGGGGCTGCACGTCATGATCCCTGGTAATGGGCCCTGCAGCAGTGCTGGGGCTGGGTGGCCGCGTGGTTCCACCGGGGGTCCCCATCAGCTGCGGGGGCTGTACAGGAGGGGCTCTGGAAGAGGCAGTGGGGATGCCAAGAGGTGGAGCCCGGGTGATCTGTGGGACGGCTCGTGGTCTCTGACTGCGTGTTTGTCTACAGATATCGTGCAGATGCACATAGAGACACTGGATGCTGTGCACAGGGAGAGCAAGAGGCTTCCTCCCATCCAGAAGGTACTGACCTGACGTGCGACGCTTCGGGGGAATGTTCTGGTGCTGTTGTTCCAGTCTTCAGAAACCTAAACTCCTCATTTTACACCCCTGTAGCCAAAGCTGCTGCGCCCCAACCTGTTGGTGGGTGAGGAGTGTGTGATGGAGGGGCTGCGTGTGTACCTCATGCCCGACGGGCGGGAGGAGGCCGCCGGGGGGAATATTGGTGGTCCACCCCTTCTCCCTGCGGAAGGAGCCATCTTCCTCACCACGTACCGCATCATCTTCAAAGGCACTCCCACAGACCCCCTGGGTAAGGATCGTGCATGCATCACACCCTCTGTTTGCATGGGCTGGTGGCATCTGGGGAGGAGGTGGCCAGAAGCTGTCCTGGAACAGTGGCTGCAACTTGCTTTGCTGTAGGAGTCACCTCTGAGGGCCTTGGGTGTAAGACCAGAGCACTGGCTGGGGGCTTTGGGGTTCCTTCCAACCCAACTGTCCTATGGTTCTGTAGTCTGTAAGATCCCTTCCAACCCAACCACTCTATGGTTCTGTTATCTATAAGGACCCATCCAACCCAACCATTTTGTCCTTCTACCTTCCATGATCTTCAAGAACTCTTCCAACCCAACCCAACTCAACCCAACTGTTCTATGGTTCTATGATCTGTAAGATCCCTTCCAACCCAACCACTCTATGGCTCTGTTATCTGTAAGGACCCATCCAGCCCAACCATTTTGTCCTTCTACCTTCTATGATCTTCAAGGACTCTTCCAACCTAACTCAACCCAACCATTCTGTGGCTCTCTGATCTGTAAGGTCCCTTCCAACACAAGCTATTCTATTATTCAATGGCTGTAATGATTTATAAGGTACCTTTCAACCCAAGCCATTCTGTGATTCTATGATCTTTAAGACTCCCTTCTACTTAAGCCATTCTGTGATTCTTTGTAGATGATATTTTCATCATGCCCATCATAGGTTGCATCTCCATGGCCTGGCTGTAGTTTCCCTAACCCGATTCTGGCCCTCTCATCCTGTGGGACTGTCTGGTGGGGGTGTCTCAGAGTGGCAGTGGGATGTGTCCAACCCGTTCCCATTCTTCTACCCAGTGGGGGAGCAGGTGGTGATCCGATCCTTCCCCATCTCCTCGCTGACCAAAGAGAAGAAGATCAACATCCAGGCCCAGGTGGATCAGTTCATCCAGGAGGGCCTGCAGCTGCGCTCGTGCACATTCCAGGTGAGACTGTTTGGATGGTAGGGACCAAAGGCAGCCTCAGAGACAGGTGGTGGAACCTGAGGGCCCCTTGCAGGGGAGGGCTGTGGACCTGGTGCAGGACCAGCTGTGGTCCTCTTGTAGGAGCAGCATCTTGTTGGTTAGCTGGGGGCTGCTTTCCAGCTCCTGTGGGGCTGTTGGAACTGTACTCTGGGAACACCACGGCAACAGCACGTGGGTGCTGAGTGCTCTGCAGGAACACGGTGTGCTCCTGGGGGGCAGCCTCCCTGCCTGTGGCCATCACTTCTGGCCAGGATCTGAGCTGTGCCCAGTGGGATGAACAGGAAGAGGATGCTCTCTGCTTTCTCCCAAGCCTGCTCTCTGCTTGTCCCCACAGCTGCTGAAGATTGCCTTCGATGAGGAGGTGGCTTCAGACAGCGCCGAGGTCTTCAGGAAGCACCTGCACAAGCTGCGTTACCCCCAGCATGTGCACGGGACCTTTGCCTTCACTGTGGGCCAGTCTCCCAAGCAAGCCATGCAGCCTAAGGCCAAGGAGAAGAACCCCTCGCTCAGGTATGTGTGCAGCAGATCAGGGAGAGCAGCTCACAGCACATGCTCGGCCCTCGCAGGCGCTGCTGGGGTTCTCCTCTCCCTCCTCCAGCAGGGAAGCACCAGACATAGGCTCCTGGGCAGAAACGAGGGGTCCCAGAGCTTGCACAAGATCTCTGCTTACCTTTGGAGGGGAGCAGCGCTCCCTGGGAAGCATGCTGTGCGTTCAGCAGCTCTCCCTGCACAGCTGCCTGGGCTGGAGCAGAAGGAGGGAGAGACATCCCAGCGAGCACAGACGTGCAGTCCCTGCTCTGCCAGAGGATGGGGAGTGCTGTGGGGCCGTGGAAGCTCCGTTGTGCTGCCGTGGGGTCAGCTCCCACGCTTGGTGGCCAGGGAAAGCTCTGCTGTGGCGCTGGGCTGTGGGTGCTGCGGTGTTGGCGCTTGCTGTGCCCGCAGTCTGAGCTTCTCTCCGTGTATTTGTGACTCAGCTCCCAGCAGGTGACCGATATGTTCCAGGGCCTGACAGTGGGGGTCATGTCCCTCGGGCACCTTGGCCATTCGACCACGTAAGATGCCTTCACCTCTGGGCGCGAGCTTGCGAGGTGGCATTGGCTCAGGCTGCAGCCTTCACTGCTCCTGGGGTTTCTTCTCACCTGCTCTGCATGATGCCTGGGCTGCGGGTCGGTCATGCTGGGGTTGCCTTTCTCCAGGCTGTGTGTTACGTTCAGGCTTGGGGCCTCAGGAGCGGCCGTCCTGGTGCCCCAGGACGTGCTCAGGGAGCTGTGCTTCTTCCCACTAACCTCTAGAGGCCACCAGAGCTGCGGGGCCCAGCTCCTGGCCTGGGCACAGCCCTAGATCGTGATATCAGCTCCGTCACCACCCCACAGGTCTACTTCCAGCTGTGCTCCACACTGTCTACAGGTCTTGTTCCTCTGGTTACTAAGCACTCCTACTTGAAACCTGCCTCAGTACATGGCAAATTGTTCTTAGTGTTACCTCTCAGTCCCAAAGCTTTTCTTCCCTTGATAAGTTTAGGGAGCAGTTGGATTCCTCATGGTCTGCTTTGCAAAGCAAAGGAAATCACCTGGTAGTCTCGAGGTGAATTACTGGAAATCTGAGCATCAGATGAGATGTTACCCTGGGCTGGAGTCAGCCCTTCCCCTACTTCTCCTTCACTTGTTCCTCTTGGAGCTCCCTGAGATGATGATGATGTGCCTGTGGCCCTGCACACACTCAGACCATTCTTACCTTCAGGGGGATGTGTTCAAGAGCTCTGCTTCGACCATGCAGCCTAAGCACCTGCATGGTTTTGAAGATTTCTCTTCCATGCCTTCTCTGTTCTGCCTCTGGCAAACAGAGGGGTTCCCAGGGACTGAGCCCACCTTGAGATAAAGGAATTCTCCGTGTTGAGGGTGCTGAGGCACTGGACCGGGCAGCCGAGAGAAGTTGAGGATACTCCAACTGGGGAAATGTTGGAATTGGGCTGGAAGGGGATACTCACTGTTGGAAGTGTTTGGGTTGGATTGGAAGGGAATGCCCCATTTTGGAAGTGTTGGAGTTGGGTTGGAAGTGTTAGGAGTTGGGTTGGAAGGGAATAATCCATAGTTGGAAGTGATGGAGTTGGGTGGGAAGCGTGAGGTGTTGGATTGGAAGGGGATGTCCCATTGCTGGAAGTATTGGAGTTGGGTTGGAAGTATTGGAGTTGGGTTGGAAGTGTTAGGAGTTGGGTTGGAAGGGGATACCCCATAGTTGGAAGTGTTGGAGTTGAGTTGGAAGTGTTAGGAGTAGGGTTGGAAGGGAATAATCCATAGTTGGAAGTGATGGAGTTGGGTGGGAAGCGTGAGGTGTTGGATTGGAAGGGGATGCCCCATTGCTGGAAGTATTGGAGTTGGGTTGGAAGTGTTAGGAGTTGGGTTGGAAGGGGATACCCCATAGTTGGAAGTGATGGACTTGGATTGGAAATGTTAAACTTGGGTTGGAAGGGATACCCCATAGTTGGAAGTGTTGGAGTTGGGTTGGGAGCATGAGGTGTTGGATTGGAAGGGGATGCCCCTTTGCTGGAAGTATTGGCGTTGGGTTGGAAGGGAATTCTTCATCATTGGAAGTGTTGGAGTTGGGTTGGAAGGGGATACTCCATAGTTGGAAGTGATGGACTTGGGTTGGCAGGGGCTTTGGACGACCTGGTCTAGGGCACGTGGGCTGGACTGGAAAATCTTTAAGGTCCCTTGCAACACAAACCATGCTGTGGTTCTCTGATTACCCAGGGCAGTAACAGATAGAAGTGTTTGAGAGCTCAGATGTAGCAGTGCAGGTGTCGTATCCCAGGATGCTGCTCGCTCCATGGGATGCTGCTGTGGGCCTAGCCCAGCCTGTTGGCTTTATCTGGGGTTTGGAGCCCCGTGGAGCACACTCCCCTGGTGCCAGGACCTGCAGGTGACATCTCCTCTCCTGTGGCATTGACTGAGGCTGCAGATGGTGGTCGGTGTGCTCCCGTCTCTGCTTTGCTCTGGGTGTCACCGCGGGTGTTTCTCTAACCACCAGGACCCGCTGCAGTGCTGGGCTGCAGCCGCACACGGGCATCAGCCATCCTCAGCCTCTTCTCCTGTTCCAGGACGCTCTCCAAAAACCTGGTGAAAAATGCCAAGAAAACCATCGGTCGCCAATATGTGACACGCAAGAAATACACGCCGCCTGCCTGGGAGCAGCGCAGCAGCCAGCACTTCCCAGAGGACAACGAGGATGAGATCTCAGGTTCGGAGCATTCCAAAAGGAGGGAGCAGCTGGGTGGGTGCTGGGGAGGGGAAAGCTCTTGGAGAGAACAGGGAGCAGGAACAGCCGAGTCCCTGTGCGGTGGACAAAGGAGAGGTGACTGATGCCACCTGCCTGGAGTTGTGCGAGGCCTTTGACGTTGGAGCAGACGGCCTTTAAAGGTCCCTTCCAACTCAAACCATCCTTTGATCGTCTGTGCCGGGGCTGACCTTGACCTCCACTGTCTCTGCAGTGTCCGAGGAGATGGACAGGAGCACTTTGACCCCCACCACAACCATCAGACCCTCGGAGAAGATGACCATCAACCACTTGGTGGAGCGCGCCTGCTGCCGCGACTACCAGCGCCTGGGGCTGGGCACCCTCAGCAGCAGCCTCACGCGTTCCAAGAACGAACCCTTCCGCATCTCCACGGTGAACCGCATGTACGCCATTTGTCGGAGGTGAGCCCGACCACCAGCCAGGAGACTGTGCTGGTAGCCAAGGTAGCCAGCGGTGTCCTGATTGACCAACAGTTGACCAACAGTTGACCACTGGTTGACCAAAAGTTGACCAGGTGCTGTGTGTGTGCCCTTTTGGCCAAGAAGGCCAATGGGACCATGGAGTGCATTGCAAAGAGCTGCTTGGAAGCCCTGTGAAGGACTTGGGTGTCCTGGTGGCCAACAGTTGACCAATGGTTGACCACACGTTGACCGTGAGCCAGCAGTGTGCCCTTTTGGCCAGGAAGGCCATTGGGACCATGGAGTGCATTGCAAAGAGCTGCTTGGAAGCTCTGTGTGTCTTGGGTGTTCTGGTGGCCAACAGTTGACCAATGGTTGACCACATGTTGACCGTGAGCCAGCAGTGTGCCCTTTTGGCCAGGAAGGCCAATGGGACCATGGAGTGCATTGCAAAGAGCTGCTTGGAAGCTCTGTGGAGGACTTGGGTGTCCTGGTGGCCAACAGTTGACCAATGGTTGACCAAAAGTTGACCAGGAGCTGTGTGTGTGCCCTGGTGGCCCATAAGGCCAATGGGACCATGGAGTGCATTGCAAAGAGCTGCTTGGAAGCCCTGTGAAGGACTTGGGTGTCCTGGTGGCCAACAGTTGACCAATGGTTGACCACACGTTGACCGTGAGCCAGCAGTGTGCCCTTTTGGCCAGGAAGGCCATTGGGACCATGGAGTGCATTGCAAAGAGCTGCTTGGAAGCTCTGTGAAGGACTTGGGTGTCCTGGTGGCCAACAGTTGACCAATAGTTGACCACACGTTGACCGTGAGCCAGCAGTGTGCCCTTTTGGCCAGGAAGGCCAATGGGACCATGGAGTGCATTGCAAAGAGCTGCTTGGAAGCTCTGTGAAGGACTTGGGTGTCCTGGTGGCCAACAGTTAACCAATGGTTGACTAAAAGTTGACCAGTACCTGTCTATGTGCCCTTTTGGCCAGGAAGGCCAATGGGACCATGGAGTGCATTGCAAAGAGCTGCTTGGAAGCTCTGTGTGTCTTGGGTGTCCTGGTGGCCAACAGTTGACCAATAGTTGACCACTGGTTGACCAAAAGTTGACCAGGTGCTGTCTGTGTGCCCTTTTGGCCAAGAAGGCCATTGGGACCATGGAGTGCATTGCAAAGAGCTGCTTGGAAGCTCTGTGAAGGACTTGGGTGTCCTGGTGGCCAACAGTTGACCAATGGTTGACCAAAAGTTGACCAGGTGCTGTGTGTGTGTCCTTTTGGCCAGGAAGGCCATTGGGACCATGGAGTGCATTGCAAAGAGCTGCTTGGAAGCTCTGTGTGTCTTGGGTGTCCTGGTGGCCAACAGTTGACCAATGGTTGACCACACGTTGACCATGAGCCAGCAGTGTGCCCTGCTGGCCCAGAAGGCCAATGGGACCATGGAGCGCATTGCAAAGAGCTGCTTGGAAGCTCTGTGAAGGACTTGGGTGTCCTAGTGGCCAACAGTTAACCAATGGTTGACCAAAAGTTGACCAGTACCTGTCTATGTGCCCTTTTGGCCAGGAAGGCCAATGGGACCATGGAGTGCATTGCAAAGAGCTGCTTGGAAGCTCTGTGTGTCTTGGGTGTCCTGGTGGCCAACAGTTGACCAATGGTTGACCACACGTTGACCATGAGCCAGCAGTGTGCCCTGGTGGCCCAGAAGGCCAATGGGACCATGGAGTGCATTGCAAAGAGCTGCTTGGAAGCTCTGTGTGTCTTGGGTGTCCTGGTGGCCAACAGTTGACCAATGGTTGACCACACGTTGACCGTGAGCCAGCAGTGTGTCCTGGTGGCCCAGAAGGCCAATGGGACCCCACTGCAGAGCGTGGCCCAGCAGGGCAGGGAGGTTCTCCTGCCCTCTGCTCTGATGAGGGCACAGGTGCGCTCAGCACTGCTCCCTTCAGCTCAGCTCCCTCCTGCAGTTACCCCGGGCTGCTCATCGTGCCGCAGAGCATCCAGGACAACACCATCCAGCGCATCTCCCGCTGTTACCGCCAGAACCGCTTCCCCGTGGTGTGCTGGCGCAACTCCCGCACCAAAGCCGTGCTGCTGCGCTCGGGGGGGCTGCACGGGAAGGGCGTCGTGGGCCTCTTCAAGTCACAGAATGCTCCCACTGCAGGTACCCATCCCCTCACCCCCTCCTGGAGCAGTGCCCCATCTCTTCTCCCTGCCCCGGCGGTGCGGTGACGCTGCCTGCTTTCCCCCAGGCCCCTCGCAGACGGACTCCACCAGTTTGGAGCAGGAGAAATACCTGCAGGCTGTCATCAATTCCATGCCCCACTACGCCGACGCCGGCGGGCGTAACACGCTCAGTGGCTTCACCTCTGCTCACATGAGCAGTGCAGGTGAGTGGGATCGGATCGGGGGCTGCGGGAGGCTCCTGCCCAGGGACCCCCGGGGTCCGGTGCATCCCAGAGTCGGAGCTACTGGGTCCCACATCCGTGATTGAATCAGCTCTGTGGAGCACCTCCCTAAGGCTGGAGGTGGGGATGGGGTTTGGGGAACCCGTTGGCCCTACATCTGGGAGCTCCAGGTTGAATCCTGATGCGGGGGGGGTGAGCTGGGGTGGGGCAGACCCCGAAGCCAAGCTCTTGCACCCAAGCAGGAGCGTGGGGTCTGGCGCAGGATGCTATGGTAAGTGTTGTGTCCCGTGCTGTTGAACGGCTCTGGCCACGCTCCATTATCATCTGTTGCCAGTCCCTGCCATCCCACCCCATCATTGCTGCACTGAGGCCAAAGGGATCGTGGGAGCACCCAGCAAGGGGCTCCTTGCTGCAGGAAGAAAGGGAGTTGTGGTCACAGAGGGATGGTGCTGGGGTTTGGAGAAGCACCGGGTGCTTCACCTGGTCCAAAGTGCCTGCATAGTGCTGGGGCAGAGCTGCTGGGGCAAAGCTGCTGGGGCAGAGCTGCTGGTGCTGAGGTCTCTGGGTGCTGTTGTGCTGTGGCTCCTGCTTGGTGGCCCCCGGTGCAGCCCCGTGCTGTCCCGCTTGCCGCTGAGTTCTTTCCATGCCCCTTCCCCTCCGAGCTGAGGGGGAGCACAGCAAGGTGGGTCCCGCAGCATGCAGGCTGGGAGCTGACATTCTGTTGGTGCTGCAGATTTCTCCGACAAGAGGCAGCCTAAGCTGGGATCGCTCATGAAGCAGGTGATGGGAGGGAAGGACGAAGGGCCCGGTACTATTAGCCGTGGAGGTGAGGACGTGCGGTGAGCGCTGCCTGCCGGGCAGCAGCTGTAGAGTAGATGCTCCCCCCTGTGCTCCCCCAGAGCTCCAGGGTGTGGGACAGCTGCAGGGCGGGCGGGAGGGACCGTCTGCAGCCCCCCCGTGCCATCTCCATCCCATTCCTGTGTGCCATCTCCATCCCATACCCTTCTCCATCTCATCACCCCCTTCCCTTCCACCCATACCCACGCAGCGAGGGAGCGTTGGTTCCGCTCCTCTCCGCCCTCTCTGAGGCCGCTTTCATCCTGTGCCCCCCAGGGCTGGGTCACAGAGCCAGGGTCATCACCCTGTCCACCCCCAAGTGCGTGTCGCCGAAGGGCCGCGAGTCGCCCCGAGGTAGGGACCCGCCGGGCCTTAACCCCGCCGGCTGCTAACCCACCGACTGACCCACACCCCCCACACACCACTAACAACACCCAGTAACACCATAACCGCACCACCCGAGCGCGGTGCCGGCGGTAAGTACTGCCCCACACCGCCCTGCAGGTTTGCTTTGGGCTCTGCACGCTTCTGGGTGGCGGTGGTGGAGGAGAGGGGCTGGCAGCAGGGCACGGCATCGGCGCAGGGCGCTGCCTGCACATCACAGCACCCAGCAGAGAAAGGAGCGAAAGCAAACCTGCACCAAACCTGCACCAAACCTCGCATGCGTTCCGTGGGTGGTCGGGGCGCTCGGCCGTCGCTCCACGGAGAGCTGCTCACCCATTCTGGTGGCCCCGAACGTCCCGTTTCTGGGACCCCCTCAGTGACAGCAGCTGTCCCGCAGGCAAATGGGGCAGCATCCGGGCCAGTGGGCGTATGAGCAGCTATGCCCTGAATGTGGAGATCGGCTCACGGCTGGCTGGGAAGGACCTGCTGGGTGCCCAGCACAACGGCGCTCCCGCCGAGGCCAGCTTCCTGCGTCAGCACCGCGCCTCGCTCTACATCATCGGGGACAAGTCGCAGCTGAAGGTACCTCCTGAAAGGATGTTGTGGCAAAGGGGGGGTCGGCCTCTGCTCCCAGGGATGAGAGGGGATGGGATCAGGTTGGTGCACTGGGGAGGATCAGGTTGGAGATTGGGAGCGATCTCAGCTCTGGCACAGGCTGCCCAGGGCGGTGGGGAGTCCCCATCCCTGGGGGGTGTTGAAGGATTTGGGGACGTGGTCATTGGACGTGGTAGGGGTGGGTTGGGGTTGGACTGGTGAGGGCTCCTCTCAGCTGAACGATGCTCTGCGCCCTCAGGGGGTGAAGCCAGACCCGCTGCAGCACTGGGAGGTGGTGCCCATCGAGGTGTTTGACGTGCGGCAGGTGAAGGCCAGCTTCAAGAAGCTGATGAAGGCCTGCGTGCCTGGCTGCCCCTCCACAGACCCCAACGTCGCCTACCTGCGCTCCCTGGAGGAGTCCGAGTGGCTCTCACAGGTCAGTGGCTCCTGGGGGCTGTGCAGATTCCAATCCATGCCTGGCACAGGGGCTGCAGTTGGCTGCTGCAGGGCTGTGGGCTTTTGGACTCCCTTCCAACCCGACCATTCTATGGGATTTTGACCTTTGAGGACCCTCCCAACCCAACTATGGGTCTTTGGCCTTTAAGGACCCTTCCTACCCAACCATTCTATAGGTCTATGATCTTTAAGAACCCTTCCAACCCAACCGTTCAGTGGGTTTGTGGTCTTTAAGTCCTTTCTAACCCAACCATTCCATGAGTCTGTGATCTTTAAGGACCCTTCCAACCCAACCATTTTATGGGAATTTGACCTTTAAGGACCTTTCCAACCCATCCATTCCGTGAGTGTGACCTTTAAGGACCCTTCCAACCCAACCATTCTATAGGTCTGTGACTTTTAAGGACCCTTCCTACCCAACCATTCTATGGGAATTTGACCTTTAAAGACCCTTCCAATCCAACCATTCTATAGATCTATAACCTTTAAGGACCCTTCCAACCCAACCATTTTATGGGAATTTGACCTTTAAGGACCTTTCCAACCCAACCATTCCGTGAATCTGTGACCTTTAAGGACCCTTCCAACCCAACCATTCTATGGGACTTGAGGACCCTTCCAACACAACCATTCAGTGGCTCTGAAGTATAAGCAAGCCATCTTATGGTCCTGTGGCTCTGTGATCTTTAAGGACCTTTCCAACCCATCCATGCCGTGATTCTGTGAACCAAAGGCTGCAGGCAGGGTCGGGTGCTCCCTGTGGCATCGCTCAGCACAGGGTGGGAGGACACAAAGCAGGCAAGGCCACTAAGAGGAACGAAGATGAAGTGACCCAGAAAGTGTGTGTGCCAGCAGCTGCTTCAGAACTCCGTTCAGCTTCAGAGCTGTGGGTCCCAGCCCCTCTGGCTGCTGGGCTGCCCACAGCTGTGTTCTGCAGATCCTTTGTGCTCTGCATCGTTTGGCTCAGCTGTTTCCAGGAAAAGGGGCTGTTTCGCCTCGCATCCAGAAGTTTCCTGCTCCTGAGGAGCTCCTGGTTCTCTTATTGGCAGATCCATAAGATCCTGCAGATTTCAGTGCTGGTGGTGGAGCTCCTGGACACGGGTTCCTCTGTGCTTGTCAGCCTGGAGGACGGCTGGGACATCACCACACAGGTAGGAGCCCTACAGCCACTGGATGCTATGCCTGTCCGTTTTAAGCTAAAAGAGGGGAAATTTAGGTAAGATTTTAGGGGGGAATTCTTCACTATGAGAGCAGTGTAGCCCTGCAATGCTGTCTGGATCTATGGGTGCCCCATCCCTGGAGGTGCCTGAGGCCGTGGATGAGGCCCTGGGCAGCCTGAGCTGGTGGGGAATGCCCAGTCCATGGCAGGGGTGGGGCTGGGGGGGTCACTTCCAACCCAACCATTCTGGGATCCTAAGGCTCTGTGATCCATGAGATCCCTTCCAACCCAACCAATCTGGGATCCTATGGCTCTATGATCCATAAGGTCCCTTCCAACCCAACCACTCTGGATTCCTAAGGCTCTGTGATCCATAAGGTCCCTTCCAACCCAACAGTCTGGGATCCTATTGGCTCTGTGATCCATAAGGTCTCTTCCAACCCAACCATTCTGAGATCCTATGGCTCCATGATCCATAAGCATCCTTCCAACCCAACCAAACTGGGATCCTATGGCTCCGTGATCCATAAGGTCCCTTCCAGCCCAACCAATCTGGGTTCCTAAGGCTCTGTGATCCATGAGATCCCTTCCAACCCAACCAATCTGGGATCCTATGGCTCCGTGATCCATAAGGTCCCTTCCAACCCAACCAATCTGGGATCCTATGGCTCTGTGATCCATAAGGTCCCTTCCAACCCAACCAATCTGGGATCCTATGGCTCTGTGATCCATAAGCACCCTTCCAACCCGACCATTCTGTTGCCCTTTGGTCTGCAAGGACCCTTCCAACCCACACCATTCTTTGTTCCTATGATCTCAAGCCCCCATGTCCTTGCAGGTGGTCTCCTTGGTGCAGCTCTTGTCAGACCCTTACTACCGGACGCTGGAGGGCTTCCGCCTGCTGGTGGAGAAGGAGTGGTTGTCCTTTGGGCACCGCTTCAGCCACCGTGGGGCCCAGACCTTGGCTGGCCAGAGCAGTGGCTTTGCTCCCATCTTCCTGCAGTTCCTGGACTGCGTGCACCAGGTGAGCCCTGAGCTCCTCTCCCAGCTCTTCCTGAGCTCCGGCACTGCAGCAGTGCCAGCATCTCAGCCGTGCTGCTCCTTGCAGATCCACTTGCAGTTCCCCATGGAGTTTGAGTTCAGTCTGTACTACCTGAAGTTCCTCAGCTACCACTACATCTCCAATCGGTTCCGGACTTTCCTGCTGGATTCTGACTATGAACGCATTGAGCTGGGTGAGGGCAGCGTGTGGGGTTTGTGGGGTGCCATCCTGGCATCCTGCCCCACATAATGCCCTCCTTCCCCTCCCCTCTCCTCCACCAGGCCTCCTGTATGAGGAGAAGGGTGAACGCAAATGCCAGCAGGTCTACAAGTCCATCTGGGATTACATCGACCGGCTGAACAAGAAAGCTCCTGTCTTCTTCAACTACATGTATGCCCCCGAGGATGGGGAGGTGAGAAGCTCTGCCCGGCCCGGCTGGGGGCTCAGGGCACATCAGGGCACTGCCAGGAGCTTCAAACAAGGGGGGGGAACCCTGTGCTGTAGCGGTGGGTCCCCATGTCGACATAATTTGGAACCATCTTTCCATGCACAGAGAGCTCAGCGTGTGTCCCAGCAGGGAGCTGTGCTGTGCGGTGAGCTGGGGCTGCTGGCAGCAGCTTGGGCTGCTCTGCTGACAGCCCGCATCCTCACATCCCCTCTGTACTCAGCCACAAAGCATCACCCGTTGGGGAAGTTCTGTGTGAAGGGATCGAATCCCAGCACTGAGCTGAGAGCACCAGCAATGGGAGAGAAAACCATCGCTGATCTGGCTGTCGCCCCCCCAGGTGCTGCGGCCGTACAGCAACATTTCCAACCTGAAGGTGTGGGACTATTACACGGAGGAGACGCTCTCTGAGGGCCCCTCCTACGACTGGGAGTTGGTGCAGGGGCAGCCCGAGCACATGGAGGAGGCAGACAGGCAGGACACCAGCGCACCACAAACCAAGCGCAAAATCATCTGGCCCTGCTACGACAACCGCAGCCGCATGGAGCCCGACGCCATCTCCAAGCTGCTGGAGGTGAGCCGGGACCTGATGGGCCGAGGGGAGAGGATGGTGGGGGGCAGCCAGCCTGTGGCGATGGGGGGGACTTGGGGGGTTTTGGGGTCCCTTCCAAGCCGAATTGTTTTGGGGTTCTGTGGCTCTGTGCTCTGTAAGGACTCTTCCAACCCAACCTTCTGCGGCTCTGCTCTACAGGATCCTTTCCAACCCAACCTTCTGTGGCTCTGCTCTATAGGGTTCCTTCCAACCCAGTGTTTGGTGGCTCTGCTCTGTGGGGTCCCTTCCAACCCAACCTTCTGTGGCTCTGCTCTATAGGGTCCCTTCCAACCCAACCTTCTGTGGCTCTGCTCTATAGGGTCCCTTCCAACCCAACCTTCTGTGGCTCTGCTCTATAGGGTCCCTTCCAACCCAACCTTCTGTGGCTCTGCTCTATAGGGTCCCTTCCAACCCAACCTTCTGTGGCTCTGCTCTATAGGGTCCCTTCCAACCCAGTGTTTGGTGGCTCTGCTCTATAGGGTCCCTTCCAACCCAACCTTCTGTGGCTCTGCTCTATTGGGTCCCTTCCAACCCAACCTTCTGTGGCTCTGCTCTATAGGGTCCCTTCCAACCCAACCTTCTGTGGCTCTGCTCTATAGGGTCCCTTCCAACCCCACCTTCTGTGGCTCTGCTCTATAGGGTCCCTTCCAACCTATCCTTCTGTGGCTCTGCTCTATAGGGTCCCTTCCAACCCAACCTTCTGTGGCTCTGCTCTATAGGGTCCCTTCCAACCCAACCTTCTGTGACACTGCTCTATAGGGTCCCTTCCAACCCAACCTTCTGTGGCTCTGCTCTATAGGGTTCCTTCCAACCTATCCTTCTGTGGCTCTGCTCTATAGGGTCCCTTCCAACCCAACCTTCTGTGGCTCTGCTCTATAGGGTCCCTTCCAACCCAACCTTCTGTGGCTCTGCTCTATAGGGTTCCTTCCAACCCAACCTTCTGTGGCTCTGCTCTATAGGGTCCCTTCCAACCCAGTGTTTGGTGGCTCTGCTCCATAGGGTCCCTTCCAACCCATCCTTCTGTGGCTCTGCTCTATAGGGTCCCTTCCAACCCAGTGTTTGGTGGCTCTGCTCTATAGGGTCCCTTCCAACCCAGTGTTTGGTGGCTCTGCTCTATAGGGTCCCTTCCAACCCATCCTTCTGAGGCTCTGCTCTATAGGTTCCCTTCCAACCCATCCTTCTGTGGCTCTGCTCTATAGGGTCCCTTCCAACCCATCCTTCTGTGGCTCTGCTCTATAGGGTCCCTTCCAACCCATCCTTCTGTGGCTCTGCTCTATAGGGTCCCTTCCAACCCAACCTTCTGCGACTCAGCTCTATAGGGTCCCTTCCAACCCATCCTTCTGTGGCTCTGCTCTGTGGGGTTCCTCCCAACCCAACTCGACCTTCTATGCTCTGTGCTCTTTTCCAACCCAACCTTGCTGTGGTTCTGTAACTCAGTGGCTCTGCGATGAGCCCTGCGTTGGGCTGCGCCCCGTGGCCACATCCGCAGTCAGTTTTGCCCCCTGGGACGGGGACTCTCTGTGCCGACGCCTGACTTCTCCCCTTGCAGGACCTGCACAACCTGGAGATGGAGCTGGGGCAGGTCCCGGAGCGCTGGAAGGACACGTGGGACAAAATCAAAGCCTCTCAGCGCACCGAGGCTCGGCAGGAGGGCAGCCGGGTAGGGCTTTAGAGGGGCCGGCTGAGGCTTCGGCGCTGCCCTCAGCCCCCTCATCCTCACGCTGTGCTCTGTGTGCCCGCAGACCCCCAGCTCCCTGCTGATGTCCTCGGGGCTCTCGCACCACCGCCGCTCGCTGGGGGTGTACCTGCAGGAGAGCGGCGTGGGCTCCACCCTCAACCTCAGCCTCGACAGTGACACCAGCAGCACATCCACGCCGTCCAGCGGGAAGCAGGGCGGCCGCAGGAGCACCAGCACGTTGTACAGCCAGTTCCAGATGTCAGAGAGCGAGAACAGGCAGGCGTGGGGCACTGGGGGGGTGGGATCCTGCCCAGGGAGGGGGAGGCTCAGTGGGTTCCGCGGTGGGGCTGGGCTGACGCAGATGGCGCTGAGGCGCTGCCTGGCCCCGCAGGTCCTACGAGGGGTCTTTGTACAAGAAGGGAGCCTTCATGAAGCCCTGGAAGCCTCGCTGGTTCGTGCTGGATAAAACCAAGCACCAGGTACCCAGGGGTCGGGCAGGGGGGGGCGAGGGGAGGCCGGCAGCGCTCCGTCCCTGGGTGCTGAGCACGACGTGGGCCTCTCCCCAGCTGCGGTACTACGACAGCCGGATGGACACGGAGTGCAAAGGTGTCATTGATCTGGCCGAGGTGGAATCCATCACGCCTGGAACCCCCACCATGGGAGCCCCGAAGACGGTGGATGAGAAAGCGTTCTTCGACGTGAGTGCTGAGCTGGGGGCAGGGGGCTGTGCAGCACCCACTGTGCTTCTCTCAAAGGACCACAGAACGGGTTGGGTTGGAAGGGAGCTCAAGGATCACGAAGCTCCAACCCTCCTGCCTCATACAGGGCCCCCAACCTCCCCATTTCACAGCAGCCCAGGCTGCCCAGGGCCCCATCCAACCTGGCCTCCAACACCTCCAGCCATGGACGGGGCATCACAGCCTCTCTGGGCAGCTCTTCCAGCACCTCACCACTCCCATAGCAAAGAACTTCCCCCTCACATCCAACCTCCATCTGCCCTCCTCCAACTCCCAACCATTTCCCCTCGTCCTGCTCTCATCTCCCCTTTCCAAGACTTGACTCCCAAGTCCTCTTTATAGGCTCCCTTTCGGTACTGAGAGGTTCACCTCCTCTTCTCCCTCCTCCTCCTCAGCTGAAGACGACGAAACGCGTTTACAATTTCTGCGCCCAGGACGTGCAGTTGGCCCAGCAGTGGATCGACCGCATCCAGAGCTGCTTGTCGGACGCATGAGAGCGGCTCAGGGAGCCCCGATCCCACGCACGGCCGCCTGCGGCACCCCGGCAACGCGGAGCAGAGCCCTGAGCCGGGGCAGAGCAGGAGATGGAGCCGGGGGGAGCAGCTCTGCACCCTGCGGTGGCAGGACTTGCGTTGTGGAGGACGGCGCCGAGCTGAAGCGGGTTGTGGCACCACGGCGTCGCTCTGCCCTGCGGTTACCATCGTCTGCAAGCCTCGCCCTGCTCTGTGCAGCAGCAGCAGCAGCAGCAGCGACGGCAGCGTTGGACAGAGTGCTGCTGCAGGGCTGCTGTCCCCACGCCTGCATGAGCAGCCGCCAGCCCTCCGTCCTCCGCCCGTCTCTTTGTGCAGGGGGGGCCGACGCTGAGCCCAGGCTGGGGTCCGGCTGAGCCGCAGCGGCGCCGGGCGATGACGCAAAGGCTGAGCGGAGCCGCCGAGCGCTGTGCAATCCCTGCAATCCCTGCTCCTTTTTCCCCCCATGGCAGGCAGTTGGGGAGCAGCACCGTGGGCTTCATCCCCCCCCCCACCTCCCCAGGGCTGCGCTGAGCTCACGGCACCGCAGAGCTGCCAGGCTGAGCCTACAGGACTGGGGGAACCCCCAGCTTTGTGCCCCCGCTGCCCCACAAACCCCCCACCCCCCCCCCTTATTGCTGTTCCCGGCATCAGTGCAGAAAGGGGGGGGAGGGAGGGGGGGGGGGGGGCTCTCGGTACACAAACAGATCCTGCACAGGATTTGGGGTTTGGGCTCAGCTCCCCCATCCCGCAGCTCTGCTGCCTCCCGACCCGTCTTGTTTTTAAGAGTACAATGTTTTATTTCGGCGCCCAGGTCTTTGTACAGTCTGAACCCCCCTCCCCAAATCCCCTTTCTGACCCCCCTCCCCCCCTTTTGTTTTATGGCCCCACGATGGCCGGTAGCCGATGTCACCAGGAGGTTTTTGTAACGTCGCGGAGCAGTTGTAGATTATTGACGTTTCTGTACATTGTGTCAAACATGACAGAGTCCTTGTATTGTATTGTGCCTAGAGGAAAAACACAGACAAAAAAAGGTTATTCTATAAGAAGAGGAAACTAACGGAGTTTAATAAAAAAGAAAAGAAACAAAAAAAGGAGGCGTTTCGAGGTGCCTCAGTGCTGTGCTGGGGGCTGAGGACCCACACAGAACCCCAAGGGAACCCAGCACCGCCAGCCTGCTTTGAGCTCTTATTGATGGACAGTTGGGATTTACAGCCTGAACCCGACAGCGGACAGAGATGCAGATTTCTGTTTGGTTTTCTATTTATTTTTTTAGTTTCCGTCCTCTTTTTTTACCAAACCAAACCCAACCGAAAACCAAAATGACCCAAAACCACCAGCATCCGTTTGGGGGTTTTTTTTTTGGTTGGTTTTTTTTGCTTTTTTTTTTTTTACAATATAAAAGTTTCTGACAGTAGAGAGGCTAAAAGTACATCTGGAATTACTCAGGAAAAATAATAATAGTAATATATAGATATAAACAGGGAGCAAAGGCAGTCGTTGGAAAACCTGTCCCTCGTATGTGCACACAGCCATTGCTGACAGAGACCCGGCTTTGATGCTTAAGGGCAGCGTGGGGAGGAAGCGGCTCCCCCCTCTGCCATGGCATTGCACCGCCTGCACCCCCTCCCCTCTCCCCCCTTCCTCCCCCCAGACCTCAGGATTCCCTCTGTGATTCTTATTGCTGTACGCAGTGCAGCCGGTGTGGGGCTGAGGAAAATGAAGGCCTGTAAGCAGGGGGGCATTGGGGAGAGGCTGCGGGGACGCTGCGAGCCTGGGCTGGGATGGGGAGGGGGGCTGTAAGGGGTGGGGGCTGAGCCTGGGGCTGCTGGGGGGTCAACAGAGGGATGGGAGCACGATAACAACAGGACTGATGTGCCAGCACCCAAGTGGGGAGCAATGCGGTGCTGAGAGTGGGGCTGCCGTGGGGTCAACAGTGGGGCTGAAATGGGATCAACATTGGGACTGCCATTTTGGGGTCAACAGTGGGGCTGCCATGGGGTCAATGCTGGGACTGCCATGGTGCCAACACCATCACCACTGCAGTGCCAACAGTGGGGCTGCCATGGGGTCGATGCTGGGGCTGCCATGGGGTCAACATTGGGACTGCCATTTTGGGGTCAACAGTGGGACCACCATGGTGCCAACACCATCACCACTGCAGTGCCAACAGTGCGGCTGCCATGGGGTCAATGCTGGGGCTGCCATGGGGTCAACAGTGGGGCTGCATGGGGTCAATTTTGGGACCGCCATGGTGCCAACACCATCACCACTGCAGTGCCAACTGTAGGGCTGCCATGGGGTCAATGCTGGAACTGCCATGGGGTCAACAGTGTGGCTGCCATGGGGTCAATGCTGGGACCACTGTGGTGCCAACAGTGGAACCACCACGGTGAAAACATCAAGACTGCCATGGGGTCAACACTGGGTCTGATACTGTGCCAACAGTGGGGCTGCCATGGGGTCAATGCTGGGACTGCCATGGTGCCAACACCATCACCACTGCAGTGCCAACAGTGGGGCTGCCATGGGGTCAATGCTGGGACTGCCATGGGGTCAACAGTGGGGCTGCCATGGGGTCAACAGTGGGGCTGCATGGGGTCAGCAGTGGGGCTGCAATGGGGTCAATTTTGGGACCGCCATGGTGCCAACACCATCACCACTGTAGTGCCAACAGTGCGGCTGCCATGGGGTCAATGCTGGGACTGCCATGGTGCCAACACCATCACCATTGCAGTGCCAACTGTGGGGCTGCCATGGGGTCAACAGTGGGGCTGCCATTTTGGGGTCAACAGTGGAGCTGCCATGGGGTCAACAGTGGGGCTGCAATGGGATCAACAGTGGGGCTGCAATAGGGTCAATGCTGGGGCTGCCATGGGGTCAATAGTGGGGCTGCCATGGGGTCAATGCTGGGACCGCCATGTTGCCAACACCGTCACCATTGCAGTGCCAACAGTGGGACCAACACGGTGACAACACCAAGACTGCCAAAGAGCCCAAACCTCCACCAGCACGGTGCCAACACTGGGACAGCCGTGGTGACAACGCCAGGAGTGCCGCTGTGCCAATGCTGGAACTGCCACAGTGCCACCACCGTCACCACCCCAGGATGGCAGTGGCTCTCAGTGCCCCACGGGGCGATTGATCCTTTTGGAAACGTTGTGGGTCAGTGATTTGAAAGCAGCAATTTGGGTCCTGGCAGCGGTTTGGGGTCCTGGCAGGGTGCAGAACTCCCAGATTGTGAATTGGATGGAAGAACGGCTCTGGAGCGAATGGAATTCAGAATTCTCCATTTATATCCACGTCAAGGGTCCCTGTGTGCACAGCTTGGGGTGGGGGAGAAGGCATGGAAGCGTTTGGGTGCTCCCCACCTCACGTGGCCCCACAGCCAGGGTGACCCAGCACCTCCATCCCCATCCCTGCACCTCCACACACAGCACGGAGCTCCCAGCACAGCTCCCATCAGCACAGAGCTACAGCCCACTACTGCTTTGTCCCACCCCAGTAGACCTCCGTCCCATCCCAGTATGGCTCTGTCCCATCCCATCCCAGTATGGCTCTGTCCCATCCCAGTACGGCTCCGTCCCATCCCAGTATGGCTCCATTCCATCCCAGTATGGCTCCGTCCCATCCCATCCCAGCACAGTCCAGTCCCACTCCCACAAAGCTCCTCTCCATCCCAGTTCCATCCCATCATGGAGCTCCATCCCAGTACAGAGCTCCTCTCCATCCCCGTTCCATCCCATCACAGAGCTCCACTCCAGCACAGCTCCATTTCAAAACAGAGCTCCAGCACAGCACAGCACAGCACTGCCCCATCCCAGTACAGAGCTCCATCCCAGAACGAAGCTCCTCTCCATCCCAGTTCATCCCATCACGGAGCTCCATCTCATCATGGAGCTCCATCCCAGCACGGAACCATCTGAGCACAGAGCTCCATCCCATCCCAGTACAGCTACATCCCATCATGAGGGCAGTCCCAGTCAGACACCCACCCCAGCACAGCTCCATCCCAGCACAGAGCTCCATCCCACCCCAGTTCATCCCATCATGGAGCTCCATCCCAGCACAGAGCTCCTCTCCACCCCAGTTCATCCCATCATGGAGCTCCATCCCAGCACAAAGCTCGTCTCCATCCCAGTTCATCCCATCACGGAGCTCCATCCCATCATGGAGCTCCATCCCAGCACAGAACCATCTGAGCACAGAGCTCCTCTCCACCCCACTTCCATCCCATCATGGAACCCCATCCCAGCACAGAGCTCCAGTCCACCCCAGTTCATCCCATCATGGAACCCCATCCCAGCACAGAGCTCCAGTCCACCCCAGTTCATCCCATCATGGAGCCCCATCCCATCATGGAGCTCCATCCCATCATGGAGCTCCATCCCATCATGGAGCCCCGTCCCAGCACAGAGCTCCAGTCCACCCCAGTTCATCCCATCATGGAGCCCCATCCCAGCACAGAGCTCCAGTCCATCCCAGTTCATCCCATCATGGAGCCCCATCCCATCCCAGCCCCATCAGCGCAGGCTCTGATGCCGAAATTCGGCTGCGTACCATGGAATGTCAGAACATTTCCACTGTTCTGCTGCTGAGAGAGAAGCTCAACTGCAGCTTCTCAGCATCGTTTTCTCTCTGTTCTACAGCAATAACAGTCATAACCTTTCCATTACAAAAATCAGGATTTGGATGAGGAATATTTATGTTTGATAGGGGAAAATGTTTACACGCAGTGTGGACAAATGAGGTGTTTGGTTTGGTTTTGTTTTGTTTTTTAATTTAAATTACAAATTGAATAGCAATGAAATATTTCCTATGAAACACTGCTCTATTCCAGCACACGACGACGCATCATTGGATTCTCAGGAGTGGAGCAATGAAGGCAAAGGGATGGGGTGAGCAGCCCAAAATGGGTGATGATGAAGACATGGGTGTGATGTGGGCACCCCAAGAATATGGGGGTGATGAGAGCACCCCAAAATGGGTGATGATGGGGACATGGGGGTGATGAGAGCACCCCAAAATGGGTGATGATGGGGACATGGGGGTGATGAGAGCACCCCAAAATGGGTGATGATGGGGACATGGGGGTGATGAGAGCACCCCAAAATGGGTGACAATGGGGACATGAGGGTGATGTGAGCACCCCAAGACCATGGGATGGGGTGAGCACCCCAAAATGGGTGATGATGGGGACCTGGGGGTGATGTGAGCACCCCAAAATGGGTGATGATGGGGACCTGGGGGTGATGTGAGCACCCCAAGATCATGGGGATGGGGTGAGCAGCCCAAAATGGGTGATGATGGGGACATGGGGGTGATGAGAGCACCCCAAAATGGGTGACAATGGGGACATGAGGGTGATGTGAGCAGCCCAAGACCATGGGGATGGGGTGAACACCCCAAAATGGGTGATGATGGGGATGTGGGGTTATGTGAGCAGCCCAAGACCATGGGGATGGAGTGAGCACTCCAAAATGGGTGATGATGGGGACCTGGGGGTGATGTGAGCACCCCAAGATCATGGGGATGGGGTGAGCAGCCCAAAATGGGTGATGATGGGGACCTGGGGATGGGGTGAGCACCCCAAAATGGGTGATGATGGGGACGTGGGGGTGATGTGAGCACCCCAAGACCATGGGGATGGGGTGAGCAGCCCAAAATGGGTGATGATGGGGATGTGGGGGTGATGTGAGCACCCCAAGACCATGGGGATGGGGTGAGCAGCCCAAAATGGGTGATGATGGGGATGTGGGGGTGATGTGAGCACCCCAAAATGGGTGATGATGGGGACATGAGGGTGATGTGAGCACCCCAAGACCATGGGGATGGGGTGAACACCCCAAAATGGGTGATGATGGGGATGTGGGGGTGATGTGAGCAGCCCAAGACCATGGGGATGGGGTGAGCAGCCCAAAATGGGTGACAATGGGGACATGAGGGTGATGTGAGCACCCCAAGACCATGGGGATGGGGTGAGCAGCCCAAAATGGGTGATGATGGGGACCTGGGGGTGATGTGAGCACCCCAAGACCATGGGGATGGGGTGAGCAGCCCAAAATGGGTGATGATGGGGACATGGGGGTGATGTGAGCACCCCAAGACCATGGGGATGGAGTGAGCACTCCAAGAATGGTGGTGGTGTGAGCACCCCAAGATCATGGGGATGGTTTGAGTGTTCTGGGGACATGGGGACAGTGTGAGCACCCCAAGATGGGGGGACGGTGTGAGCATTTTGGGGACGTGAGGACGATGTGGGCACCCCAAGGATATGGGGACAGTGTGAGTGAGTCCTGGGGAGGGAGGCAGAGGAGAAGAGTGAGATGAACCACGATACCTCTCGTTGGATCCAGGGTGGTCATAAGGCACTGGGAACCACAACGGGGTACTCGAAAATGACTCTGACGGCACGGGATCCTTCTGGGCTCTCTTTCACTTTGCTTCTTGGGTATCTGGAGATGAGAATTGATTCCAAAAGTGATTCCGGAGCTGGGAACGAGAAGCAACCACTTCCAAACTCGAAGAAAGGCACTGATGTTCTGCCTGTTATTGCTCTCCCTGCAGCAGGACAGGGCCGTGGTGGGAGGGAAGGATGCGACCCGGTCCCAAGAGGTGTCCCTAAACCCAACGTGAGGTGCTGGGATGACGGCTGCGAGAAGCAAGGAATGATAGGATGCTCTCCCACCCCTGATGCCTTCGCTCCCAATCACACAACAGAACCCAGTGCTGAGCCATGAGCTGATGACTGCACGTCCCTCTTTTGCGTGCTGTGCCCGTATCCAAGCCATCTGTTGTTACAAATGGGGGTAATGAATGGTTCTCTGTTGCTTTGGAGCGAAGAAGTGACGTGACATCAATGTGCCTTAAGGGAAATGGGGCATCCTCCATGTGCTGAGTGACACCGGCAATGCCAGCTGAGCCAAGCTCCACAAGGACTGGCCCTGTGCCACTGGGAGCCACTAAGAGCTAAAAGGGGCCACTGGCAGCTACTGGGAGCCACTGGGAGCCATTGGGAGCCACCAAGAGCCACTGGGAGACATTGGGAGCTAAGAGGGGCCACTAAGAGCTAAGAGAGGCCACTGGGAGCCACTGGGATCCACTGGGATCCATTGAGAGCCACTGAGAGCCACCAATAGCCACTAAGAGATGAGGGGCCACTGGGAGCCACTGGGATCCACTGGGATCCATTGGAAGCCACTGAGAGCCATCAATAGCCACTAAGAGATGAGGGGCCACTGGGAGCTACTGGGAGCCACTGGGATCCATTGGGAGCCATTGAGAACCACCAATAGCCCCTAAGAGCTAAGAGGGGCCACTGGGAGCTATTGGGAGCCACTGGGAGCCATTGAGAGCCACTGAGAGCCATCAATAGCCACTAAGAGCTGAGGGACAACTGGGAGCTACTGGGAGCCACTGGGATCCATTGGGAGCCACTGAGAGCCACCAATAGCCACTGAGAGCTAAGAGGGGCCACTGGGAGCTACTGGGAGCCACTGGGATCCATTGGAAGCCACTGAGAGCCATCAATAGCCACTAAGAGCTGACGGACAACTGGGAGCTACTGGGAGCCACTGGGATCCATTGGGAGCCATTGAGAACCACCAATAGCCCCTAAGAGCTAAGAGGGGCCACTGGGAGCTATTGGGAGCCACTGGGAGCCATTGAGAGCCACCAAGAGCCACTGAGAGCTAAGAGGGGCCACTAAGAGCTAAGAGAGGCCACTGAGAGCCACTGGAATCCACTGGGATCCATTGGAAGCAATTGAGAGCCACCAATAGCCACTAAGAGCTAAGAGGGGCCACTGGGAGCTACTGGGAGCCACTGGGATCCATTGGAAGCCATTGAGAGCCACCAAGAGCTACTGAGAGCTAATAAAGGGCACTCTGAGCTACTGGGAGCCATTTGGATCCATTGGGAGCCACCAGAGCCACTGAGAGATACGAGGGGCCACTGGGAGCTACTGGGAGACAACGGAAACCACTGAGTGATTGAGAGTGAGAGCCACTGGGAGCCACCAAGAGCTACTCAGAGTTATGTGAGGCCACTGGGAGCCACAGAGCACAACTGAGAGCCACTGGGAGCAACTGAGAACCACTGAGAATCACTGAGAGCCATTGAGAGTCACCGAGAGCCATGGGGGGCCTTTGGGAGTCTGAGAGCAATTGAGAGCCACCAAGAACCACCAGGAGGCACTCAGAGCCACGGAGAGCCACTGGGAGCGACCGAGAGCTACAGGGTGGGGGTGGCATTGGGAACCACTGAGAGCAATTGAGAGTCACTGGAAGCCACTGGGAGCAACTGATTGGTATTGAGAGCAACGCAGAGTCACCGAGAGTCACTGAGAGCGATCAAGAGCCACTGAGAGCCACTGTGAGCTATGGGAGGGTCATTCAGAGCCATTGGAAGCCACTGAGAACAACAGAGAGTCACTGAGAGCCACTGGAAGCCATTAAGAGCAATTGAGAGCCACCAAGAGCTACTTTGGGCCACTGAGAATGACTGAGAGCCACTGGGAGCCACTGGGAGCGATTGAGAGCCACTGAGAGCTATGGGGAGCCATTGGGAGTCACTGAGAGTAACTGAGAGCCACCAAGAGCCACTGAAAGCAATTGAGAGCCACTGAGAGCCACTGAGAGCAATTGAGAGCCACTGAGAGCCACTGAGAACCACAGGGGGCCATTGAGAGCCAGTGAGGGCCACCAAGAGCTTCAGGAGGGCAATGGGAGCCACTGGGAGCAATTGAGAGCCACCAAGAGCTACTGGGTGCCACTGAAAGTGATTGAGAGCCACTGGGAGCCTCGAGAGCCACTGAGAGCCACTGGGAGCCACCGAGGGCCACTGGAGCCACGGAAAGCTGCCAACTGCCTTTCAGAGCCCCTGGGAGATGCGTGGCTCCATCTGGGATATCCCATCCTGAGTTTGGTTCCGTGAGGGCCAGCGGTGTTCTGCATGAGAAGTCACTGTTATGAGAACCCACCGACAATGGGAAATCCCTACAGCACGACCAGGGCAGCTTTCAGAAAGCTCTGAACAACCATCAATGAGAACAGAGCCGCCGAGAAAAGGTTTTTAATAGTTGACATCTGTCCAAACAGATGAGGAAATAATAAAGAGATGGGGAAGAATGCGCCCTTTACAAACAGCCCCGCAGCTCCACGGAGAGATACAAAAACACGTTTTGCACACAGTGCATCTCACCAACATCTTTATATGCAGGCTGGGAAAGGTGACAGGTAACAGTCATTGGGAAATGGTCAATTTTTTGTACAACACTTAATGGAGAGGTCAGAGCAGCGCCGTAACGGCCTTCCAGCAGTGAGGTGAGTGAGTTCTGGGTGAGACAAGTGAACACATCGGAGCTTGATCGTTTTGTTTTCCCTGCTTCCATCCGGCAGGAGGTTTCTATGCATACGTACACAGCAAATGCTGCTCAGGTTCCTGGGAACGTCCCATCAGATGGCACCGTCGGCAGCTGCCACGGAGGGAAAGCATCACCCAGAGATCACCTCCTCACTCCCTGTGACCTGGGAACTTCAGCCACGTCGAGTCCGTCAGAACCGCATCGAACCCAAAGAGTCTCAAAACGGCCACCGGGATGCATTGCAGAGATGGTTGGACACGTTGTGTGTGTGCTTCTGGAGGCTCCCACTTCAGCTCAGACCTATAAAAACGGTGCATAACCCCGGAGATAAGCTAAGGCACTGTCCGTAATTAGCTAACGACGCACGGCCGCCCCGACCAAAGGTTGCTTTTTGTCGTTGTTGTTGTCGATGCCACGCAGAGGTAAATCACAGCCCAAACCTCATTGCAAATGGTTTTTAACCCGCCGACCCTGTGCTCAGAGCTCGCAGCACCCAGCTGGGCCGTGGCATGCTGTCATCTGAGGGACTGATCCCCTGCGTGTGGGTTTGAGGCCCTCGCCTCTCGAGGACAGCAAAGGAATTCCAGCCCAGGACTCAATGCCGCATCTCGGTACGAAGAGGGAATGCAGCACCAGCTCTCTGCCTTCGCTGCTCTTAGTGTGCAGCAAGGAAGGATTCAAGCACGAGGTCCAATTAAAAACCAAAGCAAAGAGAAATGTTGATTCGACCCCCCTACTCCCTCCACCCCGTGTTTCCATCTCGCTCTCAGTCCACATCTCGCTGCTCCAGCTTGCAATACCCAACTGCATGTGTGCTGAACGTACCTGGGACCACACACACTGCAGATTTGCACCCGGAGACACGCTCACACGTGTTCAAAACCCAAATTCTACATGCCACACAGACATGGACAAAGTCCAAACACTGCACGTAGAAGAGGAAGGACAGGGCTAAGTCTGACTTTGTTGTTTCCTGATCAAACTGCACAGGTAGGGGGGCTTTTCTTGTGGATGTAGTTGGGCTCTGGGTCTGTTCTGCATTGCAGAGCCCCAAATCCAGCAAGGAGAAACCCTCTGGTTGGTGCCGAGTCCCTCAGTAAGTTCAGCTGCACTACACCTGCAGTCTGCTTACCGCTAGGTTTGAAATACATCATCACGAGCTTCCCTTCAGACTTACAGACTCAAAGCCAAAAGGTGGGAGAGGGCAACGGAAGGCACAGAGAGAGAAATCCTCGCACACCTCTGCAGCTCTGCTCCCAAAGCCAGGCCCAGCACAGCAGAACACGCAGGGACAGCGGAGCAGGGCTCCTGTGACACCAGCCAACACTGTGCTGCAAGGGTATGGCAGCATCTCGTGCAAAGATGGTGTGTCAGCAGAGCAAGGGAGCTGGAAACACCTCACGATGGGAGGGAGATCCCATCCTGCCTGCTGCCGATGGGCCTGAGCAGGCTGGGCACGGCTGCAGCACGGCAGAGCTCACAGCCACTGGTGGGACTGTAGGTGGGAAGGGACCGGACAAGCACACTGTCACCACCTGGAAGTTACTGGGACTGAGCCCCATAGCAGCCTTCCATCAGCTGCAGAGATCAATGTTTGACGAATGCTTTCCTATAGTATCGTTTTTGGGGTGTTTAAAGAACTCCCTAACCTGGTTTCCAGAAAATCTCTAGCACCAATCCTCTGAAAATTAAGACTTCATCAAACACGTTGCCAACGAGGAACTCCAAACTACTCATCCTGGCCAAGAGCGGGACGGCTCTCTAATGGGCAAGCAGGGTAACAAAGCAGGTGAGAGTTCTCCTTCCAGCACAAAGCATCTTTAAATTCTCTCTTTTAAGTTACGAGGAGGAGGAGGGGGAAAGAGTTCCAAAACAACGGCGCTGTGCCACGCGAGCACCCAGGGATTGCAGCAGGCACAAATGGCAGCCATCAGCAGCTCACAACCCCAGCGCATCGCTTTCACACCGCCTCCCGCGCTCCCATCTCCAGCCCTGGTGCTCTGAACCAACACATCTTCCCTAAGAGCAAAAAACGGAAAGGTGTAACGCTTGGGCAGACAACAGCCTCGTGCTGCAGTCACCATCAGACAGCGACCCTGCGGAGCACAATGACTCCAGCAGTGAAAGCACTGTGTTCACCTCACCCCCAAGGCGCACCCGGTGGTTGGGCAAATCTCATCTGCACTACACACAGATCACAGTTGGAAATAAAGGTGGTGTTTTCCTCGGAGCCCCAAGTCTGGCTCGGATGCCCTTTGCTCAACAACAGGTGGGAGCGAGGTACTTTTCATACTCACAGGGTGAAGTCTCTCGTGGTGCACAGGTGAGAATACATTGGAAAAGAAGCTATTTGGCTACCTACGTGTCGAGCTTCATGCTTTTATTCCAAAGTGAACGATTTTCCAGCTCAGATCTACTGAAAGAAGCAGCGCTGGATGCTGATGGGTGTCAGCACACGGCTTACACACCAGGCAGGTTGGCAGCAGACGGTGACCCCGGGGCTGCAGCAGCCCAACAGCTACACCTGTGTGATCTGTGTGCACGAGTCCATCTGGCAAGGAGCTCAACGCAGAGACGGGGGACAAAAAAGCAGAGCAGAGCTGGCACGGTCCTCACAGGATCGGGTCCTCCTGCCTGCACGGCAGGTCCTGCGCTGTGTGGGCAAGCAGCCATCTGTAACTGACCTTGCTCCCAGGCAGCGTGAGGTGCAGTCCGGTGCTTTGTGCTGCTGTGCTCAACCATCCCACGTCCCCCAGCTCACTGCCTGCCCGGGGTGGGGGGTGTAAAGTAACAGCAGGAGTCCTGTGCTGGGGCCATTTCATTCTCCAATGTTGTCGCTAGGTACAAAGTGCAAAAGTGTTGCTGTTCCTGCATCCATTAAAAAACTTTAAAAACAGAACGAAACAAACAGAAGAAAAAACAACGAAACAACAAAACAACAAAACAAAAACAAAAACAAAAACAAAAAAAAAAGGATTTTTCATAATAATCATTTGAAAATACAACAGTCTCCAAAAAAGCCAGCAAACACCTGATAACCTGTTTGTGCCATATCTGCTCTTGCTCCTGCACGGCAGCAGTCCGAAGCATCGCTCTCCTCTCGGTCGCGTTGCCTCCTTTGCAAACTCCGCAGCCAACGGAGGGCATCCGGGAGGTGGAGCTGTGATGGCTCAGACAGCAGAGGCCGGCTGCCGGCGACCTGAGGTCCTGCAGTGAACCAGCCCGCCTCTCACCGGCAGAGCACGGAGCTACGAATTCAGAGCCTGGCCGCTTCTCGAGACAGTCCAGCACGACAGCAGGTTGGCTACCTGGCCTCTGGCTCGGGACGACGTCGGTGATATCCCTCCCATCCCACAAAAAAAAAAAGAAACAAAAAAAACCCTCCCTGCCTCGTCCCGTTTAAAGTGTTTGCATCTTTTTTCCTCCTATGAAATGTTTCTGATAAGGCTTTATTGCTATACAAAAGCGGTGCAAACGCTGCCCAAAGGGCAGCTCCATCAGGAACTTTGGTCACACGACTGTGGGACTGCTGTGTGCTGTCCGTGTCCCAGCGTTAGACCTGCTACCTTTCGGAAGAGAAGCTGAATACTGTGTGCAATAACACTAAGAAAATAGGACTGAACCCCAGATACAAAACAAAACCAAGGGAGAGAGGGAAGGGGACAGGAATTGAAGTTAGGCAGAAGGCTTGCTTGGGAAGAACCCCATCATTCCTGTGATGACTAACTGATGGATGCTACATTTAGACAGTGCGAGTGTCTTTCAGAACAGATTGTTGGTGTCGAAACTCCGTGTCTGGTCCTGAATGCCAGCTCTCTCATCAATGCAGCATTTATTAAAAAATAAAATTAAAATGAAAAAAAAAAAAAAAAAAGGAAAAAAAAAAAAAAAAAAAGAAATTGACAAATTGCATCACCAGGTAGCAGCCTGGCCTGGATCACACACGTCCCATTGCATCTGTGTCATCAAGCAGGGCCATTTAATGTGGCTTCAGCACAAGGCAAGGCTTCTTCTTTCCTAAGGACAAAGCCAAACAGCGACATTAGAGACACACAGCACCGGGTCCTCCTGCTCCTAAAGGTTAATTCTGGATACTCTCCTCTACAGCAGCACCTGAACCATCACTTCTCTACTTCTGCTGCTTCTGCTTGCTATAAAGCAATCAGCTTCTCCAGTCAGAACCTCTCCCAGACCCTTCACAAAATGCTGCACTCCTCCATCAGCAGAGGGGTGGCAGCAGGGACAGGAGGGGATTGTCCCTCTCTGCTCTGCCCTCTGAGGCCCCATGTGCAGCACTGCATCCAGGTGTGGGGCCTCCAGTGCAAGAAAGACAGGGAGTTGTTGGAGAGGGGCCAGAGGAGCCACAGAGATGAGCAGAGGGCTGCAGCACGTCCTGCAAAGACAGGCTGAGGGAGCTGGGCTTGTTGAGCATGGAGCAGAGGAGGCTGTGGGGTGACCTCAGTGCAGCCTGCAGGACCTGAAGGGAGCCTATAAAGAGGACTTGGGAGTCAAGTCTTGGAAAGGGGAGATGAGAGCAGGACGAGGGGAAATGGTTTGGAGTTGAGGGAGGGCAGATGGAGGTTGGATGTGAGGGGGAAGTTCTTTGCTATGGGAGTGGTGAGGTGCTGGAAGAGCTGCCCAGAGAGGCTGTGATGCCCCGTCCATGGCTGGAGGTGTTGGAGGCCAGGTTGGATGGGGCCCTGGGCAGCCTGGGCTGCTGTGAAATGGGGAGGTTGGGGGCCATGCATGCAGCAGGAGGGTTGGAGCATCACGATCCTTGAGGTCCCTCCCAACCTGAGCCATTCTGTGTGATTCTATGTGAAATCAAAGCCCAGACCCCTCGGTGCTCCTCTGCCTGCACTGCAGCTGCAGTCCTGCTGCCTTGCTTCCCTGCCCTATCCCAGGACAGGGATGCATAGGGCCAACACTGGATGGTTCTGCAGGGCCACACACCCTCACCAAACTGTGGATTCAAATGCTACAGTTCCCCTGCAGTTCCTGTGCGAGCAGCAGTGTTGCTGATATCCAGAACAGATGCGGAATTAAGAGGACTGGTGGCACAAAGCTCAAAGCACTGGCCTGAATTCCTTCTCACACCACAGGTATCAGCTGCAGGTTCCATAGGACAGCCCACCTGCTTGGCTTTGTCACCTGGGACTGTCTGACGTGGGGCTCTGGTACGGGCAGTGCTGGTGGGTTGGACCAGCTCACCTGTCTTTCGTGGCCATTTCTGTGACCGGCGCCGTGTTCTGGTGCTCCTCTGGATGCTGGGCAGCATTGTTCAGTGGTTTGGATGCTTTGGTCGTTCCCATGTCTGTGATGGTCAGCTTATCAATCACCATGCAGCCTGAATCGCTGTGAGGGGAGAAGTTAAGGTCATGTTAAAGGGTCAGTGAATGGGGTTTCAACTCTACCCGAGAGAAAATACGTTCCTCCTTCTCCTCCTCTCCTGGCACAGGCCACAGAATTGCCATAAGGAAAGAAGAATCAAAAATAAAGTGGGATTAAAAAGCATTATGTTATGCATATATGATCCCAGGGATGGAACAGCTGTCACAGGACAGGCTGAGAGCTGGGGCTGTGCAGCTGGAGAACAGAAGGCTGTGAGGTGATGTGAGAGCAGCCTGTATCTAACAAGGGGCTGCAGGAAAGGAGGGGGCAGACCCTCGAGCAGGGTCTGTGTTGGTAGAACAGGGGGAAATGGCTTCAAGTGTGGAGAGATTTAGGTTGGATCCAAGGAAAAAAAGTCTTTCACAGGGAGGGTGGTGAGGCAGTGACACAGCTTGCCCAGAGATGTGGTTGGTGCTCCATCCCTGGAGGCTTGGAAGGCCAGGCTGCATCAGGCCCTGGGCAGCCTGATGGAGCTGTGGTTTTATCTGGCTTCAAGAAGGCTTCTGACGCCTGGAATGCCTTCGTGTTGCTTTAGACAAGAAGGGATTCTCTGCAGAGATTCAGGTGCTACAGAATGGCTGCCCAACCCGTTCTGCTCTACTGCCAAAACACAAAGCTTCCTCAGGCCAATGAGAGATTTCTCCTGCGAGTGCCTGGAAAAACAGGGCTAAAACCCATCCACAAGTCCATGGGTGCAGAAGTTGCCACAGAACCACTCTATGGCAAAACTGATGCCCAGACCAAATGAAGCAACATGCTGCTCTCTGTGTGAAGACAACAACATCAGGAGCTCACTTCCCTTCTGACAGCTCCTCAGCAGGTTTCCCCTGGCTTTGTGGAGAGCGTTTCAGCATTGCACTTCTTTGGGCACCTCTCTCCTGCTCAGTTTCAGCACTCACTCCTACGATACCATGCAAAACCCACAGCTTCTCCTTCTGCCCTGCCTCAGCTCTGACTGCTGGGAGCCTCTTGCATCCAGCAGGAGCCTCTTGCATCCAGCAGGAGCACTCACACTGCAGCTTGGCTGGAAATCCAGCTGTGCCATGAAGGAATCCACCTGACAGCACGTAGTGCTGCTCCTGAGGTCACATGCAATGCTCATCTACATCTCACTACCAAAGGATCTGTAAGGAATTCAGGCTGCAGCCATGAATGGGCTCTAAGAACCTCAGGAAGGGTTTGGTGCTGCATGGAACTGCCTCAGCTGGAGCTCAGCCCTACCCACCTCTGGGACTCCCTTCAGATATCCTCAGCTCTGATGGGGAAACAATCAGTGTCACAGACAACGAAATGCTGTGAAGGTGCTCCAGGAAACACAGAGGTAGGATGGACACTGGAGCAGGATGTGCATGAGGAGCATGGCTGAGCACAGCTCACGCTGAGCCCTCCTGGAGCAGAGCACTGCATGCACTGTTGGTGCTGGGTAGGCAGCAGGTGGATACGGGGAGGTCTGGACACCAAATTCACATGCAATCTGCCACTGGAAAGGCCAACATGTCCACAGGAAAGATCCCATCTGTGCCAACTACTGCACGAAATGTTCACCTCTGGTTGGAAACGTTTCCTGGTGAAATTGGACCTCGGATTAAGTCACTGCACTTTCACTCTTCTCTCTGGATAGAAGAGCACTGATGTTCTACAAGAATGCTGCAGGCATGCTGCATGCTCCATGCCACATTCCATGCTCTGTGCATGCTTGTTCCATTCCATTCCATTCCATTCCATCCCATCCCATCCCATCCCCAAAAGGAGCTGCAGGCACACAGCTGCACCCCAGGCCGTGCAGGATGGATGGGCAGCAGAGCAGGCACAAAGGAAAACACATCCCAAATGGGAGAGCTCAAAACATCCACTGTGAGCACGTAGCTCAGCTCAGGGCTGGGACCAACTGCAGCAGCTTGCACTGCTGTGGGAAGGAGGATGTTTCACCCCACAGCTGTGTGTGTTCAGAAGCAAGAGGTGATTTCTAGCACAGTTAGACAGAAATGCAATGCTCGGTCCCATTTTGGGCACCTCACCTTTTAAGGGACATCTGTGCAGTTCAGCAGTGAAGCACTTGGAAAGCACCAAGTGCAACAGCTGCCCTTCAACTCCAATGCTAAGAAGAGCTGGCAGCAGGGCATGCACACACCTGCATTCCTTCAGCAAGAAGCACAGCCTGGGATGCAGCCCTTGGGAACAAGCAGTGCGTGCTCAACTGCTTACAGAAGAGCCTGAAAAATGTCCAAAGTTGTGAATGACTGCATTAAGAGGTTTAATAGCACGTGCCATAAGGAATCAGGTTTTCAAAGCGTTGCATTTCTCTGAAGCCTCTGGGGATGGAGGTGATGCTGAGCTGCATTCCCTGAGTGCTGCCAGAGAGGTCAGCTCCTGTTCAGCACACACCTCTCCTTTCTGGACATGACAGCACAGCGTTTCCCTTAATGTGCTCTTAGGACAGCCTGGAGATGTGCAGTGATGTTCTCCTTTTGCTCTCTGATCTTATAGAAATCACAGCAGTCTTGCTTGCTTGTACAGCAGCTGGGAAACCTGGTTTGCATGGGTGAGCTTCAGAAAACAACTGGTAAAAACCCCCAGTTTAAAACAGAAAGCAAACTTCATACAAAAATACATATTATTTTGTAAAAAAAAACCAACCCATTTACAGATGTGACAGCAGATAGCAGACAGCAGATAAAACATCTGCTCTTGTTGTGAGAAAGTCTGAGCATGTGGCTGCACCACGGGCAGAGGAAACCACGCTGCAAACCACAGCCAGCAGCAGAGCTTCCCTTTGCAACTGCAAAACACATTTCCTCTCTGCAGGAAGAGCTGACAGGGGAGGAATGGCAGAAGCTGGAGGACAGGCAGCATGAGCGAGCACCACGTTTGGTAGCAGGCAGGCCGGCTGGGAGCATGCTTGACAAAGGACAACACACACCCTGGTGTTCAGTGCTTGCAAGTGCTCTTTCTAGGATCTGTTTGAACTGATTGGGAAATGCTGAGGTTTCCCAGCGTTCCTCTGCTTCTGGCCCAGCATGGATTGAGAGCAGCTGTGTGTACGGTGGATGTTTGGAACCCTGAGCCATACGTACCCTCTGCCTGCAGGTCTAAAGACTCTGAGCAATGCCCACCACGAGAGAGAGAGGCAGCGAGAGGCAGGACAGGGAGAGAGTGAAGGAAGGGAGAGAAAGAGAACAGTAAAGATGGCTGGAAAAACAGACAGAAGAGTTCACTTTGCAACCTTAGCCCCAGGTGGTTCCTCCCAGGAGAATGGGCAGGAATGTTCCAAAGGGTTTCAGAGCGTGCAGCCACTGAAGACTGCGCTTCCCATGCAATGCTCAGACCCGTATCCAAAAAACCACAAGACTCAACACCCCATCATGAGCATCTTCCTCATGCCTGGCACGCAAACTGCTCAGTTATCACAGATCTGGAAGCTCTCTGGTCAGAGAAACTTCTGCAAAATGACTTCTTTGCAAGAAGCAGCTGAAAGGTCCCTCCCAACCTGAGCCACTCTGTGAGTTTCCACAATTAGGGATGGGAAGCCAGCTAACTATGCCTGAAACGTTTTCTTTGCATGTGATTTTTAAGCTACTGCCACGTCGGCTGCCTCAAGCAGAAGTGCCACTGAGCTGTGCAGGGAGATGTAAAGGAGGGCTCAGGGTGTGAGGTTTGGGCAGGGAGAGAGCACCAGCATCGTGGTCATGGAGTGCTCTCAGAGGCGTGTGCTGCAGCACTGCAGCTTGCTGGGGATGGTGGAAAAATAGAGGAAGATCTGTTTGTACAGAAGGAGAGGGTTTGTTGGAAGCTGAGTGCTTTCAGGAGAGAGAGAGAAGTCAACTTTGTTTCAACTGCGTTCTTAAAAGCAGATTTAAGGCACCCAAACTTGAAACCTGGCACGGCAAAGTTGGCACCAAAGTCAAAGCAGAAATTGGGTCTGAGAACTGCTGCATCCAGCTGTGGAGCTGTGACAGCACGAGGCTACCAAGACACAGAGCCAGAGTTGGAGTTTTGCCACTGGAAAGCCTTCAAGAACGACATGTTCAGCTTTTAGTACAGCTCATCTACTCGGAGTCGGTCAGGAACGTGGTGAGAAACAAGCATAACCTCAGCTGGCCATTGGGTGCCACCACATCTGCTGCAGGGAAAGATGGACAGGTCTGGGAGAGCGGAGGCCACGGGAAGCTTCCACTGCCACCACTGGTCAATAGCTCAGACACTATGAGAAACTCAGCAGAGCTGGAGCAGCTGAAATCACAATCTGTGCAACAGGTCCTGTCCTCCCACAGCTTCTATTTCTGCTTTTGGCTGCGGTTACAGCAGGGAAAGGCTGCAGACACCTTTGAAGTGGAGACCGTGGTGACTCCAGCACGTCATTTCTTTGCCAAAATGGAATTAATTTTTGCAGAACTGCAATCATGAAAAACCAGGCAGGTTCTGGAGGCCTCGTGCTTACTGATAGATGCACTTCTTTGGAGAGAAAACCATTCCGAGCGACGCTGCGTGAAGCAGCAGGTGCAGCCTGCAGCAGCCAATCAGCCAAATCAGAAACCACCATCCCTGCTCCTGCTAGGAAATAAATGAGAGACCTCAGAACATGCCAAGTAAAATTTACACTGCTGCTGTGAGTCAAGACAGGGAGCTCCACGTGTAACACAAGTCCAAACCACCGTGTGGTGAGAGGAGCAACATCTGGAGCAGTTCGTTTCAGACAGCAGAGCCAGTGGATTTAATTAGAAGCAATGCAAACTGAACACTGGAAAAGCAGAGGCTGCTTTGAGCACAGCAGGCAGCGTTCTGCTTCTCCTTCATCTTCCATCCCTCGTGCAGCCAGTCTGCTTGGAGGTGCCACCTCTCAACAGTCCAACTCCATTTACCATAACAGCTGCAATTACAGTGAGCACAGCTCCAGAATCTCACTCACTGCAAGTACAACAGAGTAAAGGCTACTCGAAGCAGACAGCAACAATTAAAGCTGGTGTCCTCATTAAGAAATAAATTCAGAGTTGCTTAAACCTCTGGTTTACTTCCTTCTCCCAGAACATTACCTAGTTCTGCAATCTCACTTCTGCTGCTCTGCAGCCCCCAGCCAAGCAGGAACTGACATCTTTTGGGGGCACTGTGCACCACTTATCTCCTATTGTTTGCAATAGATCACTTTGAGAATGAGGGAACAATGACAGCTGGAGGCATGTCAATGCTCTCCTCCACAGCAGCACACAACCTATGTCAGACCCTGCACCAACCCAGCCATTCCTTGGCTCTATGGTCTATAAGTTCCCTTCCAACCCAACCATTCTGTAGCTCTGTGGTCCATGAAGACCCATCCAGCCCAACCATTCCATGGCTGTATGATCAACAAAGTTCCTTCCAATCCAACCATTCCATGGCTTTATGATCTACGTGGTCCCTTCAGACCCAACCACACTCTGATTCCGTGGTCTGTAAAGTCCCTTCCAACCCAACCACTCTGTGGCTCTATGACCTTTAAGGACCCTTTAGACCCAACCCAATCCATCCTCTGGACCTATGATCTTTAAGAACCCCTCAGACCGAACCCAAGCCATCTTCTGACTCTATTACCTTTAAGGACTCTTCCAACCCAACCATTCTATGGCTCTATGATCCATAGGGTCCCTTCCAACCCAACGGTCTGCAAGGTCCCTTCCAACCCAACCATTCTGTGACCTCATGGTCTATAAGGTTCCATCTAACTCAACCATTCTATGGCTCTATGATGGACAAATCCCTTCCAAACCCACCATTCTGGGGATTCTATGATCCTCACCACCAGCACAGACCTGAATCTCCTACGCAGCAAGGAGGACAGATGGGTGGCATGAGCTACAACGAGCCACGCACATTTCTTACAACAAACCTGCAATAAACAGTTTCTTAAAGCAGAAGCCCTTCAGCAAGGAAGCCGTACGACATCCTCACTCAGGACATTTGGGATCTACGAGGAAGATGACACCAATCCCCACCAACACAGTGGGTTAAGACCGCTCTGAGCTCCCCCTGAGTGACTCCATTCCCACCTGGTGAAAACAGCCTTCTCGTTCTTCGCATCCATCGTCAGCTTGACTGTTTCCTGGCCTGCACCCGTGCTGATGGTCTCTGTGATGGCATCTCCTTTCTCATCCTCATCCTCGCTGTCTGAGCCGCCCGAGGAGCTGCTGTCTGAAGCCACCAGCGGCGCCTTCCGCGTGACGCAGACGTTCCAGACGCAGGGAGAGGCCGTGCTGACTGTGGGGAGCAAATGGGGCACTGTGCAGAACCAACAGACCCAACAGCAACCCCCAGGTGTGACCTTGAGGATGCACAGGGATGCAAAATGCAGTGCGTGAGGTTAATTCTTTCTATCAGCAGAGGGGTGGCAGCAGGGACAGGAGGGGATTGTCCCTCTCTGCTCTGCCCTCTGAGGCCCCATCTGCAGCACTGCGTCCAGGTGTGGGGCCTCCAGTGCAAGAAAGACAGGGAGCTGTTGGAGAGGGGCCAGAGGAGCCACAGAGATGAGCAGAGGGCTGCAGCACGTCCTGCAAAGACAGGCTGAGGGAGCTGGGCTTGTTGAGCATGGAGAAGAGGAGGCTGTGGGGTGACCTCAGTGCAGCCTTCCGGGAGCCTATAAATAGGAGGGGAGTCAAGTCTTGGAAAGGGGAGATGAGAGCAGGACGAGGGGAAATGGTTTGGAGTTGAGGGAGGGCAGATGGAGGTTGGATGTGAGGGGGAAGTTCTTTGCTATGGGAGTGGTGAGGTGCTGGAAGAGCTGCCCAGAGAGGCTGTGATGCCCCGTCCATGGCTGGAGGTGTTGGAGGCCAGGTTGGATGGGGCCCTGGGCAGCCTGGGCTGCTGTGAAATGGGGAGGTTGGTGGCCCTGCCTGTGGTGGAGGGGTTGGAGCTTCGTGATCCTTGAGCTCGCTTTCAACCTGGGCCATTCTGTGATTCTGTGTTATTCTGAGATTAATTTTAAAAGGTAAAAAAAAGAGAAGAAATCAGCATTCTCCATCGAGAAAATCCCGCCAGCTCATGTCTACACTCAGCACAAAGAGCAGAGAGTGCTCTTCACTTATGGCACAAAGCTGACACCCCACAGGGCCGTGATGCCATTCAGAGAGAGCTGGGCAGGCTGAGAGTGGGGCAGAAAGGAACCTGATGGGGTTCAGCAATGGCACTGCAGGGTTCTGCACCCGGGGAGGAGCAGCTGCAGCATCAGGACAGGCTGGGGGCTGAACTGCTGCAAAGGAGCTCTGCAGAGAAAGCCCTGGTGGTCGTGGTGGCCAGCAGGCTGACCATGAGTCAGAGAGCAGTGTGCCCTGGTGGCCAGAAGGGCCCACGGGATCCTGAGATGCTTCTGCAAGTGGCAGAAGGATGCGCTGTGCTCTCCACTGCAGTCCCATCCACCAAGCACAGAGCTGAGTTTGGTCCCATCAAAGTCCTTCATTTTAACTCAGGAAGGAGGAGGGAAGGCAACCAGGCTGAAGTTAACCAATGGACGTGGCACAACTACTGATAAGTTATCACATCCTTTTAATTTTTGGTAATTTTACAATTAAACACACAGTTAAAAATAGGTTTGTTTTTTTTTTTTTCTGAATAGTTGACAACTAAATTGCCTCTGTGACATCAATTCTCACTGACTCGAAGTTCATCCTCTCCTTGCTGAACCCCAACCAACATTTGGGATTTCTGAGTCACCGTTTTCCCTGACTGAACAAAAACAGCCTTCGAGAGAGGGAAGGCAGATGGTGCAGGTGGGAAGCTCTCCCCAGCAGAGTGCTTCAAACAGCACAAATAATGCATCTCCTTTGCAATGTTCTCACTTACAGTTCTTGTCCTGACTCTGCTTCGGGTTGCCGTCCGAATCGCTGCTTTCTGTGTCTGCAGGAGAGCTGCACCGTGGGCCCGATTCAGAGCTGAGTGGAGAATGGGGAAAGGGGAAAAACACCTTGAGAATGAAGTCCAGAAATCCCAGCTACGCTTCCAAGAGAGCCAGAAAAAGGCTTTAGGGCACTGTTCCTTTCTGACATCTTTGTAAGTGTGAAGAAATGTATTAATTCCCCTTTATTTTTTCATTCTTTGTAGTCTTGGTGTAGCAGTAGTTATGGGATGTGTGCTGCTCCTGTGCTCAAGGCACGTGTGCTAGCAGTAGTTAGAAGGATGGAAGGTAAAGGGAAGCATGGTGCCCCGATGCAGAGCCCTCAGACAACATTAAAATACAAAACAGGCAGCAAAGGAAGGGGGGAGGGGAGGAGAAAAAGATTCTGCTCATCACAGCTTCACGTATTTTTTTCATTCTGATGTTAAAAAGAAACCAAAAGAACTGCACTTTACCAACAGAAAGGCTGGAAGTCTGTGAACTTGGCCCACCCCTTCTCTGGAGCAGCGTTCTCCGGGGCCGCCGAGTCCCACACGCTGGATCCAACATCCATGGCCACGCAGGGGGTGGGGGGCTTCGAGCTGACAGGCTCAAACACTGCTGTCCACCCGGAGCCTGAGGGCACACAACAGCACAATGCAGCTTCCAGAGCATCAGCTGCCCCCAAATACACCCCAGAGCCATCCCAGCAATAAAGGAATTCACCAGACCATCCTCAGTCCTTGGGAAGCTGCAGCTTGCAGCTCAGAAATCCGATTAATATTAATGCTATCCACAAGAGAGAGGCAACAATTAAGCAAAACGAATTTCTTCCTTCTTCTCAGCTGCAAGAACCTCAGTTTCTTGTCAGAACCTCAGCAGTGAGGTTTCCAACCATTTCAATCACTCGAGCTCAAGGAAGGAACCGATGCAACGTTTGGTATCACAGAAGAGCTCTCAAGTAAAACTAAGCGCGTAACGTGGAGTTTCAGATCCCAGTCTGCTCTCTGTTCATGAGAGTCTCTTTTATTCCTATCTACTGTTCCTGTAGCGTCAAGACGAGGGGAAATGGCTTTAAAGTACAAGAGGGGAGATTTAGAGTAAATATCAGGATGAAATTCTTACTGTGAGGGCAGTGAGATGCTCTGTTGCCCGCAGGGGTCGTGGATGCTCCCAGCTTGGAGGCTGGATGGGGCTGTGAGCAACCTGGGCTAAGAAGGAGGTGTCCCAGCCCCTTCTATAGGCAGGGAACTACATGATCACAAAGGTCTCTTCCAACCCAAACCCATTATTCTGTAATTATTATTCTGTAATAATTTCCACAAGGCATTTTTCATCCTCTTTTCTCAAGAAATAAAAGGACTGCAGAGGTCTGGATACAAACCCGTGCACCTGGAGCTGATGACAGGAGCAGACTGTGCTCACTATCACAGATACAGAGATATCACCTAGAAAAAGAAACCCTTTTTCTTTTTTTTTTTAAACAGAAAAGATCTGCACTGACAGCAAATAAAGAACTGCTGGGAAAAAAAACATTCCTGTCCCTTTATTTCTGTTGGCTGAATTTCTTCTGCTGATAACACTGCGTCCCACGAATTTACACAGCCACACTTGCATCGTGGTAGGGGAAAAAGTGGTTTATTTTCAGCCTTCTGGGCTGGGCACCCCAAGGGGGGGCGTTAGAGGCCAAAAACAAAGACTGAATTACACTCTTCTCATCTGCACAGGTGAAATTATGGAACAGCCGTGTAAAAAGGCAACCAGCAAGCTGCTGTGTGGCAGAGATGGTTGCAGATGTCACTTCAAACAGGACGATGCTGTTTTAAACTCTTTACCTTCAGAAGAGTCGGACTCCTTCTGCTCTGCAGCATTGCTCTTGTTGCTGTTGGCTGAGGAAGAAGGCACCTGCTGTTCTGTCTCCTCCTCTTCTTCTGAGTCCACGCTGCCATCGTGATCTCCGTTCTCGAGATCACTTTTAGATGAGCTCTCTGAGGCCTGAGATGCTCCAAACCTGAATCAGAGAACTCAAGAGTCAGTAAAGCCCTGGCAGCAGCCAATTCATCCCTCTCCCGCCCCAGGGAGAAAGCAGAACCTGGCTGCTGACCAAGTGATGCTAAATCCCTTCTATAGAGCTCAGCTCCCAAAAAGATGCAAGGCTCAGCTGGGCACTTCTTAAGATATTTCCTCTAATGGCTCTGAGTGCTTTGCTTGTCAAAACCTGTTTGCAGAGTCCTAAGGGGAATTAAGCTGCAGCGATGTCTCAGGACAGGAGAGTGATAGGAGCAGACAAAGGGCAGCAAATGAGAGGAGCAGAGGTTTGGGACCATTTGTGTGCCCTATCAGGGCAATCTGATTTTTAATGCTAGGCAAATAACAGCCATCGGCCTCGACCACTCGTCCTGTCTCATTTAATCATATTTTTGGATTTACAGTTGCAGAAGTGACTTTAGGTAGTCACTGACTGCAACAAAGGGATGAAAAGCTGACAGTGATTTGCAGTGCCACGGGATGTCACTCATTCTCATGCAAAACACCATTTGTCTTCTTCAGACACTTTCAACAGCAATGTTCTGCCTGTTACCCTTCCAATGCTTCCAACCTCCTCCTGCCCCCCAGGTGAGGAAAGACCCTTCCATTTCTCCTCACCTCGTCCTGGATTTCACTTGTGTTGCATAGGTTATCTCCTTCTCTTCCCAGATATCTTCTTCTTCCTCGTTATCATCAAATTGCTGGATTCGCTCATTGCAGCAGGCTTCAAAGAGGGAAGCATTGGGCTGAAACAGTATGATAAAGAGATCACATTCCATTCAGTCAGTGGAGACAGAAACAAGAGCTTTGATGGTAACAAGCTCGTTCAGCACACAAGCAATACCAGGAAAGCGTTCCTTGTCTGCATTTAACCTTAATCTCACGCTGTGTTTGCATCCCAAGCAGCCCTCAGAAGTGCAACAGCACTGAAGCACAGCCCAGGCAGAAGCAGCAACGGCAGGGCCATGGAGAAGGACACCCAGCAGGGTCTCTCCAACACTGCCCCAAAGCAAAGAGGACTCTCATTTCCAGGTGGTGCACTGCCTAAGGAATGGCTGTGCTGGAATTCCACCCTGCACACGATTGCCTTCTCAGAAGCTAGCAGCAGCTCCTGGGGGCTGCAGCCACAGTTCCACCAAGAAATCAGATTTTCTGTACCTACAGAGCAATGCCTGTGGCAGCCAGAGGGAGAACACTGCACTAATGGTACAGTGTAAGTGAAATAGGAAGATGAGGACACCTAAGCCTTAGCACTGACCAAAGCAAAGCTTAGCCAGGTGAGCCTGGAACCACCTCTGGAAGCCACTCCCCAGCTTCTTCCATGGGTATGCAGGCCAATAAAGGAGAAGAAGCAAAACACAGCCCAGAAATATTGAGACCCATGACAACCCCAACCCTCTACGTGCAATGTTTCCTAATCATGTATGGAAAGATTATCAAAGCAAGAACAGGGACAGCAGGTTTACACTGCAGATAGGGAGAGAATGCAATTCTTCTGACATAAAGAGGACTGGTTTTGAAGATCTGCACCAAGGCAATGAACCAGGAGGGCTCATTTCATGCCCTGAGATCCTTAACTGCATGCAGCCACTGGAGCACCTTTGCTTTTCCTGCAGATATTTTGATCTTCAAAACACCACTGGCTGATCCAGAGGTGAACCAACTTGCCAGAATGCATCCCATTACACAGAACATCCCCAAACATCCACTTACGCTGTCGTCGTCTGCATCTATGTTGAAGTTTATCTCTGCAATCCTGTCAAAAGGAGCACTGCAAAAAGAAAGGGGAGAGCCTTCAGTGATGGCAGGGAGCGATGGCAGCACTGCTGCAGCCCCAGCAGGAGCCAGAGGGCAGCTTGCCCCCTGCTCACTGCTTTATTCAAGGTGATGCTTTCTGCTTCTTAAGATGAAAGATTGTCTCCATCTTTTTGAATATCTGGAAATAAAGTAACAATACTGATGTGGGATGTTCAATCCTAGTGATTGCTAAGGCTAAGTACCTGCATGGCACCTCTGGCAATGTCTGGCTGTTACTCTGCAGCTCTCAATGTCACTTACGCAGCACAAAGGCAGCCTCAACGTTTTTCACAGCATCACAGATTTTTCACTTGAACTGAATCAAAGCTGATATGAAAACACAACAGAGCCTCCATTCATTAACAGCAGACGGAGCTGCATCCAAGTGCTGTGCAACTCCAGTCCTACATTCGCCAAGGATTCCTCAGCATGAGACAAGACCCAGGGGAGGGACTGGATCCTACACAGTGGGCACAGCCCCAGCCATACCCAGGGGGGCCACACCTGCCTGTTTTTAGCATAAATCCATGAACCTCAGGGAATCTGATTGGTTCCACACCCCTGACTCACGACTGGGGCACAAACACCGCCAACAAATGGCATCACATAACCCAGTTTCCCATCGAGACCCAGGAGTGTCTGCTGTCAGAACAGCAGAGGGTGCTGCAGGTCAAGGAATTGCACTCTGCTGTCACAGCGTGGGCCCACGCAGTTCTTCTTTGCTCTATTTCTACATTCAGACAGTGCTGTTTTCCTTTCCAGAAGGCTGATCAGCAAAAATCCTCGTCACGCACGTCGCCAGGACGTTGAAGCTTGATTCTTAGCTCTGAAAATATGCAGGTTTGTATCTGACAGAGTGTTTGACTGCTGGAATGCAGAGGGCATGGAGCAGCTGGGCTGAAAGCTGCCTACGGAGCACCAGCATTCCTTTTGGATGGGCTTTTTGGACAGCAGACCCTGGAGATTGCTGACCTGCACCAACTCAGGATCCTTCTGGAGAGCTCTTTTGTCAATCAATGCAACAGCAGAAGCTCAGAGCTTCAGAATCACTGTGGGCAAACAGGACAGCTGCAGTCTCAGTCAATTAATTCCTCTGCATCCTCTGTAAGGTGAGAGAACAACGCTGCAGCTTTGACCAGGTTGCAGCAGCTCTTCCACAGCAGCAGCAGCACCTCTGAGCGCTCCGTTCAGCAGCCATGGAACATTACACTCAACCCAATCTGCCTTCTTTGAGCTGCGATCTGCTCCCAGCTCATCCACGTTCCCTTATTCATAAGGGAATAAATGGCTACTTTTTTTTTCGGTGGCTATCATTAGAACACCATTCCTCCACTCTTAATTTCAATGAGGACTTAATGCCACTGGAGAATATCTGTGTAATTGCCTGCAGTGAGCTCTAATGCTTCGCTTTTCCTATGATTCCATTTATTCTAGGACGTGGCTGGGTAATAACTGCATGTTTTATTAAAAAGGTTTCTCCTCAGAATGAAGAAGTGCTTCTGCACGGTGCTACAAGCACTGCTGGGCGACTCCTATCAAAAGAAACGCTGTGAAAAAGACGTCGGGTGTTTCCCAATCTGCTGATCACACTTTGGTTTGTGTGACAGCAAACAGGGTGCAGAGCCAGCTTCACTTTAAAACCAGAAGAGAAAAGAAAGATGAGAAGCAGAGAGGTGTCAACGCCAGACTGAAGTCTCTTGAAGCCGTGTACACTTACTTGATATTATCATCCTGGTCAGCAAACTCCTCGTCATTAAAGCCAAACTGATCCACGAAGTTTGCTGTCATCTGCTGGATTTGGTACTCAGAGAAGGCCTGAGAACAGAACCCACAAAGAGCTACTGGGCAACTGGAGCACCTCAGGCACACCCAGAAGGCACTTCTGTATCTCACAGCTGCTCAGGCCCTCTGCCCTCCATCTCTCAGCCAGGCTGCCCAGACATTGATTTGGTCACATTCTTGCCTACTCATCCACACCTCATTCTCCCTTCATGAAAACAATTCCTTTTTCCTCTCTGTAGAATCTCCCACTTCTGTATTTCTCAGCTTGTTTCTCCTACTGAAGGATAACCCTGCATGCTGCAGCTCCAGCTGAGGACCCCCAACGACCCCACAGGTGTGGGGAAGGTATCTGCAAGGGCAGTGCAGCCAGCAGCACGATCTGGACAGAGATAACAACAATCACAACAAACTGCTTTCAGATCTTTTTTTACCCTTCACATTTCACGCTGTGATTGTCTTTCTAACCCCCAGCAGCAGCCTCCCACTAAACAGGTTGAAACTTCTATTTTCTGTCAATGCTCTTAATGGCAAAAGTGGCAGGGAGGAGCTTGCCTGAGTTCTTCAGCCTGGAAAACTGCTTCCAAATGATTGATGGCCCTTCATCACGCTCTGAGGAACCTGAGGTCTTTGCTAAATTCAAGTGAACCCTCAATTTCCCCCATTTCTTTTTAATTCAAGGCTTTTTACTGCTCCTCTTGCTCTTTTCTCACTTAATCTTAGTATGGCTCTTCCCATTCTTTAATAGAAGTCTTTGCAGCTCAAGGGGAAGCAGAAAACCTCTCCCAGCTCCAATTCCACTGCAGGCAGCTGACAGAAACCACCTCACTGGCTGGGACCTACAGCAACGAGCTGCAGCTCATCTATAGAATCAGGATCACTCAACCCACTACTGTGCAGAGAACCAGGGAAAGAGAAAGAAATATGCAGTGTCTGACAGAGATTGGAGACACATCCTGTATCTGGGACTTGGATGCAGCCTGAGCCAAATTTATTCCTGGCTGGAATCTAGCTTGAAGTCTGCCATTTAACTGACTATAATGGAAAGATGCTGAAAGGCTGAACACACTGACAGTGACTGAGTGAATGAAGCTGCTCCATAATAGGAAGGATTAAGGGAGAATTGGAGAAGCAAACTCCCTAGGAGCAGCAAGGAATGCATTGTCAGCTCACCTGTTGGAGAGAAAGTTCATTGGGAAAAGCACTCTCAATGTCTTCATCCTCACTGGAAGAGTGCAGATGGTGAGTGCTCACCTGAAAGAAGCAGAGAGAACAAGCATAAGGGAAAGCTAAGAAAGCTCAAAAACCACCATGCAAAAACAGTCAAGGACAGAAACAGAGGACGGTGAGTAACACAATCACAGAACAGAGCTTGCCAACACGTGTGAAGGCTGCTGCATGGCTGCAGGACATATGTTCAGACACAGTGCCTCTGTAGAGGCAAACAGAAGAAGACTGGCAGCACTGTTCCTCTTTTTAGTTAAAGACAACCCAGAAGACAGCAGACCTCACTGAAACGTGCATCACTGCTCTCACCAAATCCACCGTATTCCTCCTGTTTGTTTCCGTCAGCGTCTCTTCTACAAAGCTCTCCCACCTCCCTCTGCAGTCCTCAGGTAGCTCTGGGAAGAAGCAATCTTTGTTACAGCGTGGTCACCTTCAGCCTCCAGGTGTAAAAGCAAAGTTCTGACCGTTTTGAAACGATTGCACGAAAACAAAGAGCAGCTGAATTTGGTTTGAAATGCTGGTTTGTTTTGGGACCTTACGGCGCTTGAACGAGAAAGCCTTTTCTTTCATAAAAAGGTCCCCTCACAAAGTAAGGGGCAGTGATTTCCCAGTTATTTCATCGAGGACAAACCAACAGAGCACAGGGTTGTACCTTTGATGAACTCACTGATCTGGGTGTGCATGGGGCCCTTCTCCATGTTCTGCACCACGGCGTTGGCGATGCGGGTGAGGTGGCCCATGTTGCCTCGCCTCATTCCCCCTTCTGCCCTGCAGAGAAAAGCACAAAGGTAACAAGAGACCCCAAGCAGCAGTAAGAATTCATACTGAGACCACAAACAACATGGCTGGGTGGGAACTGAAGCTCAGGAACACAAAATCCTCACGAGGAGCTTCCAGCTAACGCTGCTGTGTCTCCAGCTTAAAGCAAAGCTTCCTTCCTAGCTGCTCACACAGCACGGAATGCTTCCAGTTCCCCAGGGATGCTATGAGATGGGGATTCATTTTGAGCTGCTGCACTGCGCTCACTGAAGTAACAGAATCACAGAATGGCTTGGAAGGGACCTCAAGGATCACGAAGCTCCAACCCCTGCCACAGGCAGGGCTGCCAACCTCCCCATTTCACAGCAGCCCAGGCTGCCCAGGGCCCCATCCAACCTGGCCTCCAACACCTCCAGCCATGGACGGGGCATCACAGCCTCTCTGGGCAGCTCTTCCAGCACCTCACCACTCCCATAGTAAAGAACTTCCCCCTCACATCCAACCTCAACCTTCCCTCCTTCAACTTCAAACCATTTCCCCTTGGCCCTGCTGTTATCTCCCCTTTCCAAGAGCTGATTCCCAAGTCCTGTCCTTGCTCTGAGATCTGTGTGCAGTACCCAGAGCTGAAGGAAGAGCAAAGCTGTAACAGCAGTAAGGGTACCTCACTGCAGCAGGGGACAGCCCTCCAACCTGCACCCCAAATTCGGAGTGTAGAACTATTCACATGAGATTAACACCTGGAAATGAGTTTCTAGAGTGAAGCTACAACCCTTTGGATGCAGACCTGTGGTTTCACACCCCCAGCCAGCAGACAGCAGCAACCTCCTCTTCCTCCCTATAAACTGCTGCTTCCTATCCGTGCTGACGAGCAGACTGCACTGACTTTGAATTACTGAGGTAACATCTTGTGGGAATATTCAATGCTTGCAGCCTTAGAACATGGCACTCTGAGACCCAAACCTTTTACTTACTGTATTTTGTCGTTAGCTTCCCAGGCATCCAGTATCCTTTGCACTAAGCAGCACTTCTGGAACAACTGAAGGAAAAAAAGAGATAGGAGTTCAGAAGTTTGCCATAGAAAGACTGAATGCCTTCAGAAATCTGTACTGAACTGCAGTGACTTCTGTCCACTCCTTCACTGTGACAGAGCAAGAACTTAAAGTTCAACACTTATCTTTCTCAAGAGCTCAAGTTTCTTCTTTCTCCCTGTTTCTTATGCAGAGGAGCCAAAGAAAACAGCAAAACCTACCAACAGCTTCAGTCTGTTCCGGGCTTCACAACAGCAGCAATGAAGAACATTGCTGTCATTTCACAAATACAACAAGAAGTTTTCATCATTAGGACCACATGAGAGAAGCTGAAATGTGGTCAGCTAGTTGCAGTTATCATTGTTTTCTTGTGTGGGCCAATTTTATACATGCCTTTATTAAAGTGATGGAACAAAAAAGGGATTCAGAGCCCATTACATGAGATGGGTTGTGTGTTTATTTTGTAACTGGATGCTAAAAGACATTCAGAAAAGTCAATGCAGTTCCCACCAGAACTGACAGAACTAATGATATCTGAACGCTTCTAAATGAATTCTGTGCTCTTGGACAGTTTGTCACATCATCTCCTTCTTAATGCAAGTTCTGACTGCATCTACCAGGCTGCACTTTGGGCTGGAGGAATCCCAGGCAGCCCTACAGACTGGGAGGAGCATCCTTGAGAGCAGCCCTGCAGGGGAGGACCTGGGGGTCCTGGTGGGTGGAAAACTGAACGTGAGCCAGCAGTGTGCTCTTACAGCTCAGAAAGCAAATGGTATCCAGGGCTCCATCAGCAGAGGGGTGGCAGCAGGGACAGGAGGGGATTGTCCCTCTCTGCTCTGCCCTCTGAGGCCCCATGTGCAGCACTGCGTCCAGGTGTGGGGCCTCCAGTGCAAGAAAGACAGGGAGCTGTTGGAGAGGGGCCAGAGGAGCCACAGAGATGAGCAGAGGGCTGCAGCACGTCCTGCAAAGACAGGCTGAGGGAGCTGGGCTTGTTGAGCATGGAGCAGAGGAGGCTGTGGGGTGACCTCAGTGCAGCCTTCCAGGAGCCTATAAATAGGAGGGGAGTCAACTCTTGGAAAGGGGAGATGAGAGCAGGATGAGGGGAAATGGTTTGGAGTTGAGGGAGGGCAGATGGAGGTTGGATGTGAGGGGGAAGTTCTTTGCTATGGGAGTGGTGAGGTGCTGGAAGAGCTGCCCAGAGAGGCTGTGATGCCCCGTCCATGGCTGGAGGTGTTGGAGGCCAGGTTGGATGGGGCCCTGGGCAGCCTGGGCTGCTGTGAAATGGGGAGGTTGGTGGCCCTGCTTGTGGCAGGGAGGTTGGAGCTTTGTGATCCTTGAGGTCCCTTCCAACCCAGGCCATTCTGTGGTTCTGAAATTCCCTGGTGATGTGACCTGACTCACATGAGTAACCATGATATTCTCTGTGTTGTTTTCTGGAGTTTCTTGGTTCTCTGTGGTCACGTTTCCATTCAGCACCTCTTCTCTGCTTTCTGGGTCATTGGCAGTAGTTCTTCCCTCTTGCACAGAGTGTGAGAGAATAGCTGCTATGGACAATTCCACTTGGAAATGCAAAAAGTTATTCCACGTGTATTTAAAAAATAAGTCCTGGAACAAAACGGGAAAGGAACAAAAAAAAAATTACTCTGGATGCATCTTCCCACTTTTGGCAATCAAATGATGTCAGAACAGTGCCCCATTCACTGCTTGGTCACCTTCCTTTATCATAATAGGGACATAACGTGATCAGCACACATGGCACAAACCACTCTGTGCCCAACAGATCAAAAGGGAAGCAAAAAACCTCTCAGCCTGAAGCCATTCCCCCCCCCTCACCCCTCGCAGTGCCACGCTGTGTTACTCACAAGTAATAAATCCATGGTACTGAGTCTGCATAGTTCCTGATTAATACTGGGAGTGTTTGTGTGGAGCAGAGCAGCAATCAGGCGAGATCCGTGAAGACGAGCGTTGCCCAGCGGCTCCTCCAGGACACCAATGGTCGTCAGGATTGCTGCTTTCTGTCAGAGAAAAGGAGATGGAGAACATCAGTGAAGGTCAACGCTTCCCCCAGTGCTGATGCACAACGGTTTGACTAAATAGAACCGCCTCATCTTCTTACATAAATGCTCTCTGCAGGCAAACCTGCGGCATCGTCCCTCTCGGCAGCGTCCTGGGAGCACTGCGAGGTCTGAACTTCACAGACTGAAGAGATCAAAATGCTCACTGACTCCAGGTTCCCTCCTCTGTGCCCCCTCACCACTCCCACCAAAGCCATCAGCCACATCTCTCTGCTTTTGGCTTCACTTGGATGCACTGCTGCCTTCCAAGTCCCACTGCCTACTTCACAGAATGGCTTGAGTTGGAAGGGAGCTCAAGGATCACGAAGCTCCAACCCTCCTGCCTCATACAGGGCCACCAACCTCCCCATTTCACAGCAGCCCAGGCTGCCCAGGGCCCCATCCAACCTGGCCTCCAACACCTCCAGCCATGGACGGGGCATCACAGCCTCTCTGGGCAGCTCTTCCAGCACCTCACCACTCCCATAGCAAAGAACTTCCCCCTCACATCCAACCTCCATCTGCCCTCCCTCAACTCCAAACCATTTCCCCTCGTCCTGCTCTCATCTCCCCTTTCCAAGACTTGACTCCCAAGTCCTCTTTATAGGCTCCCTTCAGGTCCTGCAGGCTGCACTGAGGTCACCCCACAGCCTCCTCTGCTCCATGCTCAACAAGCCCAGCTCCCTCAGCCTGTCTTTGCAGGACGTGCTGCAGCCCTCTGCTCATCTCTGTGGCTCCTCTGGCCCCTCTCCAACAGCTCCCTGTCTTTCTTGCACTGGAGGCCCCACACCTGGACGCAGTGCTGCAGGTGGGGCCTCAGAGGGCAGAGCAGAGAGGGACAATCCCCTCCTGTCCCTGCTGCCACCCCTCTGCTGATGGAGCCCAGGTTGCCATTTGCTTTCTGAGCTGTAAGAGCACACTGCTGGCTCACGTTCAGTTTTCCACCCACCAGGACCCCTAGGTCCTCCTCTGCAGGGCTGCTCTCAAGCACTGCTCCTCCCAGTCTGTAGGGCTGCCTGGGATTCCTCCAGCCCAAAGTGCAAAACCCTGCACTTTGCTTGAACTTCCTAAGCACTCGAATTACAAACCTGAAGCTCGAATCCTTCTTGACAAGATTTTTGGTAGAGTTTGCCTGGCCAGCACGTGGTGCTTTCAGAAAAAAACCACAAAGCCCACGAGTAAGGATGAGGAAACCCCCACGTGCAGCCAGCAGCTGTTTGCTCCTGAGGAAGGCTGAGCCGCGTTACCTTGGGAGGGCTGAGCAGCAGCTGGTGGAAATCTTTTAGCCTCGGTTCAATGCCATGTAAGATGCTGCTATTGACAGTGTAAGACCTTTCAAATCCCTGAGTGTATGAGTCCATCAGTCCTTCCACCCTGTAACAAAGAAAACACAGTCAGGGTTTGAGCAAACCTTACAAAGGTCTCCACTCACACTGCCCATGTTGGTTATTTTCTCTTGAAAACTAACTCTGAATGTGAAGAATAACTGACAGCCACCGAAGCTAAGTGCATAATCACAGTATTAAGTTATTTGCAAGATGATGTTCACATAATCAAAATTGTGAATGAGATGAGTGGGAAGGCAGAGGAGAAGCTGTCTGCAGGGCTGACAAAGACAAACTGCCGCAGTGCTCTCAGGGCTCTCAAACTTCATAGATATTCAAAGAATAAATTGTGCCAGGGAGTGTTTATAAACATGTGTTAAAAATGGTATCAAGCTCTCCAGAAGTGCACTGAAGGACACTAACCAAGCAGTCGGGCTCCCATCTCTGCTGCTCAGCAGCACACTGTGACTACCAGCAGTTCCTTCCAACCTCAACTGGAGGTCCTTCAACCTCAACTCCTCAACTTCCAGCCTCACGTTGGAATAAGAGAAATGCTTTCATTGCAGCGAGGCACCAACAGCCTCCACGGCACCCCTACATCTGGAACTCAGGAACCCTCAGAGATGCAGGGCACAAGGCACACAGGATGCAGCATCTCAGCTTTTCAGCCTTATCCAAGGGTGGTGAGGCATTGGAACAGGTTGCCCAAAGAGGCTGTGGGTGCCCCAGCCCTGCAGGCATTCAAGGCCAGGCTGGATGTGGCTCTGGGCAGCCTGGGCTGCTGGTTGGTGACCCTGCACACAGCAGGGGGGTTGAAACTAGATGAGCATCGTGGTCCTTCTTCCTTTTCAACCCAGGCCATTCTATGATTCTATGAACTGCCTAACAACTTGTCAGCCCGACGCCATCTCCTGTCTGTTTCTCCCTCTGTTCACTCTTCCTGATCTTCCATCACCTCCTTCACTCCTCCTCATTTCCTCCTTTTTAAACAAATGAGATTCTCAGCGCCTCCCTTCCTCCCCAGACCTCTCCTTTGCTACATCCTTCATTCAAACTAGATTTGAATGGCTAAAATTGTTCTGCTCAGGACTGAAGCTGACTTACCCAGAGCGCCTGGTTTCCAGCAATGTCAGCAGAACCTGCGTTCCATTCACTATGCAATTCTCAGTCTGCTCTCCATCAAACATATTCTTCAGGAGCTGCTCCACACATTCCTGCCTGTTGGTCAGCACAGATTTACACTGTTAGTAACATTCAGCAGCTGCTTTAATCACAAAAATACCCACTTCTGAGTTTTCTTGAGCTGAAGTTTGCACTCAGTAAAGACAGAAATGGCTTTACACGAGGTTTAGGAACTTGCTTCCTCATCACTAAGGCAAGAGCTCCTTATAGACATTGAGACTCCAACCCAAAACCCGGTATCAACAAGGCAAAACTCTTGTTATACACTGGAAGACAACCCAAGTATTAACTTTGTTTGTTTAATTTATGAAAGACAACAAGAAGCTATGAGCTCACAGTCCAAAATTATCCACCAGAATCCCAGGAGAAAGGCAAAATGCACTGGAAGCTGACCTGTGTCATCTGCCAATGGCACAGTGGGATCCAGGACCCAGCAGAAGCAAACTGTAAATGATTTGCTTCTTTTTGTCAGTCTTAGCTTCCGCTCCCTCCAAATATTCAAAGCCATTCACCATTTCTTTGAGCCTTTAAAGCAGGGCAAGATGCCTACCAAAGCCTGAGAGTGTCCAGGGAAGGTGGGGGAACCCCCAAGCATAGTACTGGCAAATGCTGGAGTCACAAGGAATGACAACAGTGGACTTTTCTGGCATTTAAACACCATTCTGACACTCAAAGACCACCCTGAATTACAAACACAGGGTAACAGCCCACTTTCCTCTCTGCTACCTGCTGCATTCTCTAAGTTACAGACAGGAGGAGCAGGAGGGGTGTGGGACTCCGGCCACGGCTCCGGGTGGCCTTAAGTGATGGTTAATTTACCATTCACAGATGAAAAAGGTCACTGGTAATGGTTGGAAAAACTCCCTGGGAGAAGGCATGAGCCACGTGACAGCTGGGGATCATCAGCAGAGTGGTGCAGAAAAGTCACTTCTGCTCAGAATGTTTTTCCTCTGAAATAACGAAGCGGCGTAACGACTTTCAGCAAAGCTCTTTGAAAGAGCAAAACCATTTCTCTTCATCTCGTGGAAAGGCAGGTGGTGAATGAAAATGTGACAGCAACAAAGAAAACCACAGGGGAGGGTGATTGGGAGAGAGAAGGAGGGAGGTGAAGCAGCTGCTGAAGATGCTGTGAGTGCAGCGTGACCCAAAGCTCCACCTGTAGCAACCCCTGTGCAGCCCAGGACCTCAGATGGAGTTCTGCCCCAGAAGCTCTCACCATGAGCAGCAGTGTCCTGCCCCAAGCACAGCTCTGTGTCCCTCTGCTGAGCTACTGAGAGAGGAGGAGGTTCACATGAGAAAGGAGAAGACCCAGAGTGAGTGCACCATGGCACACGGTGCAGGCTGTCTGTAAGCAGCCCAGCAGAGAAAGGCTCAGCCCACAGCTGAAGGGCTCTGGAGCCATTCAGTCCTGATGAGGTTCAAACCCTGATCTGAGGTTCAGTCCTCATGACGTTCAGGCCCTGATGACGTTCAGTTCTGATGAGGTTCAGTCCCTGATGAGGTTCAGGCCCTGATGAGGTTCAGTCCTGATGAGGTTCAGGCCCTGATGAGGTTCAGGCCCTGATGAGGTTCAGGCCCTGATCTGAGGTTCAGTCCTGATGAGGTTCAGGCCCTGATGAGGTTCAGCCCTGATGAGGTTCAGCCTCTGACGAAGGTTTCCAGGCCTTGAGATATGCAACTGTGGTGATGGATGGATCTCAATCCAATGGTCACAAGTGATGCTCCCCAGGCATTCGTACTGGCCCTGTTTAGTCTCTTCACTGATGATCTGGATGAGGGGGTTGAGATGAGCCAGCTCGTGCCATGGCTGCAGTGGGGGTGGGCTGGGGTTGAACTTGATGATCTCAGAGCTCTTTTCCAACCTTAATGGCTCCATGATTCTATGATTCCACCTACACCAACAATCCCACCCTGTGTTACCCGACAACAAACCACCACTCTGAGACAAAAGATCAGGCCTACCTCGTTTCTGCAGGCGCAATCAAGGAAGGAAATGAAGCATTTAAGAGCAGCTCCTTACAGAGTCAGGCTTGTATTTCAAGCCTGTGGAAGGTCCAGCATGTTTTCCTTCAGCTGTCAGTGACTGCATGCAGCACATGAGCTGTCTGCACTCCACACACCACCTCAGCCCTCTGTGCACAGAACTGAGCTCCAGATCAGGAGAAGCAGACAGCAGCATCACAGAAATGAGCAAAGCTCTGGGCCAACAAGACTCACAAAGCAGAATTTTTAAGCCCCACTTACAGGTGCTGTCTTATTTCCTTCAAGTCTGTTTCACCTCGTTCCTATAACAAACCTTTAGGTCTAAAAGAACCTTGTTTGAGGTCACGTTTATGTTTGTTCTTACAACAGCTCACAACCACCAGTTTCCAAATGATGGAACTCACTGGATTCCTGTGATCACTGAAAAGCTCCCAAACCAAAACGACTCTTCTGCTTTTTCCTGTCAAAAAAGGCCTCGAAAGGGATGACAGCTCTGTTCACAAACCCTGCCTGCCAAGCAGAAGCCAGGAAACGACAAAGCCAGTTCTGCACCTTCGTGTCAAAGTCGCACGTGGCACCAATGAAGAAACGTGGCCACGCTAAGAGCTGCCCAGGTGGCTTTTCCCTCAGCTCCCACCACCACCCCTCAGCTCTCCCCACATTCGCTGCGAGACCTCAGCACGCTGACACCGACTGCTTCCGTCTCCAGCTGTGTGCTTCACAGATCAGCAACCCCAACCCTGTGCTACAATCCCAGGCATCTCAGCAGAGGTGGCCAAGTGACACCCCAGCTTCGAAGCCACGTTTCGTGCTTGGGATAAACGTCAGCAGTTCAGCAAGGGCTTCATGGCGACCTCCCACAGCCGACAGGAAATGACAGCAGCTGGTTTAGCAACGACCCCCTGAGCGCTACTTACGATTCCAGTGCGGTGAGAAGTGGATCAGGCTCAGGTATGTCCTGCAGCTGATTGCTCTGGTCTCTGCTCAATCTTATGATATCACACAGGGTCTGGGAAGCGTTTGATTGCCTCTGTCAATGACATGGAGCACACGGCGGCGTTAGCTTCTCAATTTGTCTCATTCTGGCCGTCAGAGAAACTAATGTGACTGTATGAGTGCCACCACGCTCTGAATTATTCATCTGCTACACGTTAACATTGAATTATTAGAAGCTTTAAGAGATTTCAAAACCTAAGAGAGGATCTTCCTGAGCAGAACGGTGAAGTTCAGTCAGAGATTCCATAAAGTGAGGACTGCATTTCATAAAGTGACGACTGTATTTCAGCTTCCTGACCGAGTGCATTAACTTGTGACTTTCAAACACAGTACTTCACCCTTCCTTCTCACTGCCTCCTGCACAAAGAAAACTAAATGATTTCATAAAGCCCTTTACCTTGCAAGACCCACTGCCCACAGACACAAAACACCAGTTCTTGCCATACTCACATCCTCATCCTGGCTTGAATGGATCAGCTCCACCAGTCTCTGAATAATTCTTGCTTCATTAAGCCACTGGAGGGAAAGGAAGGGAAAAGAAAATCGTTGTATTGCAGCATTCAAAACAAGAGGATCCTTGAGAAGCTTGGCATAACACAGAGTCCTCTCCTTCTATTTCAGAATCAAAGGCATGGAACAATACCTATAGGCACAGGTCACAGAAACCACACGATCACAGGCTGGTCTGGCTTGGAAGGGACTTTAAAAACCATCTTGTTCCAAACCCCCTGTCAGACAGAGATGTCTTTTAGTTACCATCAGAATCCACGCCCTGCCAGTGTGAGTTCTAAACTAAAAACTTAAACACCTTTGGAAAATATGATCAGCCACAAACAGATCAGCCACAAACGCCATCTCACCTGAAGCAGCACAAGCATAACTATCAGCATGCTCTTCTGCTGCCACTTCCTACCCTTACAGCCACTGTTGTTTACACCAAACAGCTCCAACTCTGCCCATGCTGTTATTACAGCTCATCTCCCTGCCCCATCCCACACCACAGACTTCCTCCTATTAACTCAAGCTATCACTTCACCCCAATTCCCCAACCACACGCAAACAAAGCACAACCACCTGCAAGGAACACCTTCCAGTTTCCCTCTTCCCAGTTCCACCTCCAAGCTCAGCTCCTCAGTCCATCTTCAGCCCAGTTCCTAATGGCCTTCACCCCAGGCAAATGGCCGAGTGTGTAACATCACTCACACCAATCACTCACATCCTCCATAATGCACTCTTACTTCCTTTGGAAATGACTGACCAAACCATAATTAGAAGGAAAATAACTTTGGAGGTTTCTGCAGTGATGTTATCTTCCATCAGCCTTCAGATGAGTCACGGGAGAAACCAACAGCCTCCCACCTTCACAAGAAAGCTCTGTGCATCTCCCCTTCTACAGTGTTTTTTATTACCTGGTCCCACAGCTTCAACCATCACAGAACTACAGAACAACTTCAGCTGGAAAGAGCCCTCGAGATGAAATCCAGCCAACAAAAGCTCATCCAGTGGAGCTGATCCCTGCCATGCCTCCATGTGTTGCCTCCCCATCTCCATTGCACTGACAAGGCACCTGTCCATTCCCCATGTACTCACTTGGCCTACAAGCATCCCTTCTCATCTCCACGTGCTTGGATACGCCGAAATCCTTCTTCCAAACCCTAAGCCTCAATCTCCCCATGACAGCTAAGGCAGCTCTCAACTGGCAATTCACCGAAAGGTCAGCGAGGTTCACAGCATCACAGAACTGTAGGGGTTGGAAGGGACCAGCAGAGCTCATTGAGTCCAACCCCCTGCCAAAGCAGGTTCCCTACAGCAGGTCGCACAGGCCGGCATCCAGGCAGACCTTGAACATCTCCACAGAAGGAGACTCCACCACCTCCCTGGCAGCCTGTTCCACTGCTCCGTCACCTCACTGTAAAGAAGTTCTTGCACACATTCATGCAGAACTTCCTATGCTGCAGCCTGTGGCCGTTTCCCCTCATCCTGCCTCCATGCACCACTGAACAGAGCCTGGCCTCACCACTCTGCCCCCCACACCTCAGGTATTCATAACCCTGGATCAGGTCCCCTCTCAGCTTTCTTTTCTCAAGGCTGAACAGACCCAGTTCACTCAGCCTTTCCTCATAGCAGAGATGCTCCAGGCCCCTCACCATCTTGGTGGCCCTCCGCTGGACTCTTCCCAAGAGATCCCTGTCTGTTTTGTCCTGGGCAGCCCAGAACTGGACGCAGTGCTCCAGGTGAGGCCTCAGCAGGGCAGAGCAGAGGGGGAGGATCACCTCCCTCGACCTGCTGGCCACGCTCTGTGCAATGCACCCCAGGATGCCATTGGCCCTCTTGGCCACAAGGGCACACTGCTGGCTCATGGCAACCTGTCGTCCACCAGGACACCCAGGTCCCTCTGTGCAGAGCTCCCCTCCAGCAGCTCATCCCCCATCCTGTACCGCTGCATGCCATTATTCCTCCCCAGATGCAAGACTCCACACTTGCTTTTGTTGAACCTCATCCGGTTTCTTGCTGCCCAGCTCTCAGCCTGTCCAGCTCTCGCTGAACGGCAGCACGGCCTTCAGCCAATCCTCCCAGCTTCGTATCATCACAGACTCGCTGAGGGTGGCCGCCATCCCCTCATCAAGGTCACTGATGAAGATGTTGAACAAGGACCCAGCACCGACCCCTGGGGGACAACACTGCTTACAGGCCTCCAACCAGACTCTGCACCGCCAACGACGACCCTCTGCGCTCTGCCACTCAGCCAGTTCTCAACCCACCTCACTGCCCACTCGTCCATCCCACAGCTTTGTTATAAGGACGGCTTGGGAACTGAGGTTAATGAGAATCTCCTCATTTCTAACTTAAAACAACCAGAAAAGAAAAAAAAAGCACAATAAAACCTGCCCAGCAATGCCTCCAGCAGCCCCTCTAACAATGACACTGCTCACCCCTGTGCTAGGGCTGCATGCTCCGTTTTCATCACCACTTACACAGCCCAGATTCTGACTGCAATCCCTCTGTATTCCCACAACAGGAATACACTGCTGACTTTGAGAATGAAAACTTACATTCCTTTTTCCTGCAGGTTTCCTTTCTTCATGCATTGGCCTCTGTAGATGTGGCACAGTGGTATTTCAGCCTATTCTTACTGCATGCAGAATCCCTGCCACACCAATCTCTGCTATCACAGGAACTTTTACCCCCTTATGAGTTCCAAAGTCCAGGGGTTGGCTGTAATGGGGGGCAGGCAGGGATGGGGGGGCCTGGAGGCACTGCTAGAAACTGCAAGGACTCCCAGATCAGGGCAGCCAGAGTGGTGATGTGCAGGTTGTGCAAAAGTGCTGAGAAGACAATGTTATGAATTTAAGCAGGTTTTTTTTTTGGCAAAGCTCAGTGCTCCCTGGATCATCATTTTGCATGGAAGAAAGGAGAGTCAGGCCCTGCACAGGAGTCAGATGGAGGTTGCCATCCTGGAAGCTGGCATAGGAGGAGAGAACTCTTCCACCTCCATGGTGATATTATCACTAAAAATCAACCCTGGGGAGCAGTTCTGCTAAAGCTCTTCATTGAAGATTTAGAAAAAGACCTTAGCAAGTTCAGGAACATGCAATTGTAGAATCACAGAAGAGACCTTTGAGATCACATAGTTCCGACTCCTTGCTATGGGAAGGGACACCTTCCACCAAACCAGGCTGCTCAAAGCACCACAGCATCAACTTGGGAGGCAGGAGCAGACATGCAGGAAGGGAGAGCCATCACCCAGAATGACCCAAACCAAGTGGAGAAGGTGGAAGAAACCTCAGCAAGATCAACAGAGGTAAAAAGCATCGAGGATGGAATAACCCCAACAGCAGGAGCGAGGGTCAGGAATCGCCTGGGCTGCTGTGGGAGGTGCCAGGATGGGACAAGAACCCCAAGATGTCCAAGGGAAATTCCAACTTGATGCCAGGGAAAGAAATCTCCACAAAATGCAGTGAAACAGCGGATGAGTGCCTGGATATGTCTCTCCTCTCAGAGATATTGGAGACTCAGATGGACAAGGCCACGAGCAATCAGCTCAGAGGTGGAAGCCGACCTCCGCAGGGAGCATCCAACCCATCCAATCAGCCAATGCTGAGAAGAGTCCATTGGATCAGGACTTCAACAACACTCCTTCTTCTGAAACCTGCTGAAAATACACCTGGTAACAGCATGACTTTGGCTTGGCTATTCCTCACGAGTCACAGCACCAACAACAGCACACAGCAGCATTTGTTGTGTGCTACCATGGCTGCCCGCATCAATCCCTAATGGAAAGGCTGCACGATGCTCCAGGTGCAAGAGGTGAGAAGATGGGTACAAAACCATGCAAGTCCCTCAGCTGGGAGAGCTGCAGTGCCTGGCTGCTCCTCAGCACTGCCCAGAGAGAAGGAACCCATGGGGGACCAGCAGATTTCTCCTCACATCCTACCTACTACCACGGAAACCCAGCTGTGAGCACCAGGTGGAGTTTGTCCTTCAGACCCCAGCTGGGGAAGACAGACCAGTTCTCTTCTGTGAAGGTTATAAAGCTGTACTTTATACTTCAGCAAGGATGAGGACGTGAAGGGTGTGAGAGACCTGGAATTACTGTATCTGCTTCACATCAATTCCAAACACATGCCACCAGTATCAGATGTGGAAGCCTCTGCTAGGGACCCTGCTTGCATTTTTCCAGGTAAGATTTAAGATGGAGGACAGACTCCTCTGATGTCACTTATCTGTGCCAGTATTTAAAATGCTTCAGGAAGCAACCTGTATTTAAGTCTTCCTCCTACCTCAAAAGCAAATTATTTCTTTCTTTGACAAATCTGGAGACATTCCAGGATCAAATGATGGCGATCAAAGAAAATCTGCACCCTTGTGCACAATGCAGGCTTCGTCTGAGGATACTGGCAGGGAAGTGCCTGAAAGACCAGCCAGTGGAAGGACCTCTTCAGAGCTTTCTGACAAAGACTCCTCCAAATATTTCCAGCTGTGAAGGACCTGGGGAGCAGACAGGTCTGTGAAGATGCCATGCAGACAACAGATCACTTACATTGCACTTACCCTGAACCTGGAGGTTCCCCTCACACAGTGCTGCTGCTCAAACTGAGAAGTATGCAGGAACAGCACATCCTAGCAAGGCTTCCTCCTGTTGGCACAGCTCTCCCAAACAACAAAACCTGGTCTGTGCCAACCAAGCACTTTTCTATCAGGTGGGGAACAGAAGGAAGCTGATAGAGAATTGTCATTTTGCCAATGTAGGCTGCATGCCCTCAGATACAGATGAGGGAAGAGAAAGGGAATCATCATCACCCCAAGTGCTCTAGGAAGGTATGAGGTGGCACTGCCAACCTTCTCCCTGCTGCTCATCCACTTCTGCTCCCTTGCAACTCCCTTACTACGGTATGAGGCGGTGCAAAAATGAAAACCAAGAACACAAAGCAACCAACCAAGGAAGAGATCTGGCTTCAAACAATCCCAAAAGGCAAAGAACACAAGTAAGAGAGAGGTGTTCTCTGCTGGATCTGTTCCCAGCTCCGTGTCACCCTGAAGCCACAGGAAGACTTCAGCTGGCAGAGGTTCAAGAAGAGCTGGATGGGCAGAACACGCATGAAGGGGCAGAGGAAGGAAAAGTGCCTCTTTTTGTGGCGCTGCCAACCAGAAATGCTCGTGGGATTGCTGGCCCAGCTCCACTCGGCTCTGGAAGCCAAACGTTTCTACTAAAGACAGAGAAAATCTCCACCCTGGCCAACATTGTGCAGAAAGGAGCAAACTTCCAGCACACATCTTGGAGGGTTCACCCAGCAGAACACACAGCACAGAGCCACCAGCACCACCCAGCCATCCCACAATCTCTAAAGGTGAGGGCAGGGAATGGCAGACCCGCATGCAATCACCAGGGAGTTCTCTGATCTGCTGAGATGACAACGTGAACATTAAATCCACAGTGAGATGCTGTGAGACCTGTTCCACAGAGCAGCACGAGTTTGGGCTGTAAGGGACCATCTTGGTAAACCTGATGTTGTAAAACACACCCAAGTGAAGCACAGCGAAAGCTTTCACCAGCACTGCAGCACTGGCTGGAGAAGTGGTGTTTTCACACCCACCTGATGTACCCTCGAGAGCAGCACTTCCTAATGGCTAACAGAAAACACCTCTCAAACTTTTCTTGGACCAGATTTCCAGCTTCTAAGTCACACAGATACGTGGTAGAAGGCATTTTGTTGGACAGATGGTTCTCACAGGCCACTGGGGAAGCAGCTGGAACACAACCTGGACATCCTGGGGTAACATCAGAGCTCCCCAAACCAGACAGCTCCAGATGTGCCCTCCTAAATTTCAGTATTGCTGTGTTACTTTCTGCCCTTCTCAAGTCTCTGAGGCATCACATTTTAACCTCTCCAGGACAACACTCACATTATGGCCATTTGGAAAGAAATTCAGCAGCATCTCCAGCACCATACGGTATCTTTAATCTGTTTTCTTGCTCTTTTTTCGACTGTGTGAAATCTTTCACAGGTGGAATTCAGGTAGCAGGAAGGGTTAAAACATATGTGGCTGCTCAGGGATGGTTGTTATTTGGAAGCCTGGATGTTTGGAGGTTTCCCAGATGAAAGCCATCCATCCATCCACAAAAATGCTGCTGAGTTAAAACGTTACTTTAAGATCAGAAGGAGAAATAATCACATTATCCTGGTAATTGCTACGCTTTGCTACTGCAAAGCTGTTGTGCAGCTCTGCAAAGCACACTGCTAAGCTCTGATGTCTCAGGGCTCTGGACACGGAAGGGCTGGGAAGCAGAGCTTGCCAAACATACAAAGCCTGCTGTGGGCTTCAGAGACACGGTGCAGATTTCCACACGGTGCACTGCTCTCTTCTGGTGCAACGCCAAGGAGCCAAAGAGGGCTGCACTCCTCCAGCCCTACAAAGCTGCTCCCAACACAGGGCACGAGGCAGCCTCACCCAGGGAGACAAACCTGCCCTACCTGTACAACAGACAGCACCTCACTGAGGTTCTTCACAAGGGAGCACGTTAGAGAGGAGGGGGGAGGAGATATCACCTCCAGAAGTCACGCACACTCTTGAGAAGAGCGGAGAATTAAACCCATCTCTGCCCCAAATGATTGCTCTGAAATTCAGAACACTGGGAAAGATTACAAATTTCCTTTGTGAAAGCTCTACAGCAACAGCAACTGAAGTAAACAGTGGTTGCTATATGGAAAAAGGAGCTGGAATCCTTTCCTGCTGGGGGCTCATCCTGCTGGGCAGGCCTTGGGCGGGCTGCAGGGCCAACACACCCAGCACACCGAGCCCAGCATCCAGTAAAGCAGCCCTCAGAAGAGCAGATCCAACTGACAAACAGAACGACATCCCTCCAACAACCACCCAACCCTGATCCCAACGTGGAAAAGAAAAAAAGCAGCACGTTCTCACGTTCAGCACTTCCTGCCGTAGCGTCGCGGGCTCCACGCAGCTGATCAGACGAAGCAGGAGGTCCATCATGGCTGATGTGTCTATATGCTTTAGCACCAGGCTAATGAATTTGTCTTTTTTCCTTAGAAATGCAATCACCTGAGAAACAGAAACGTCATCATCAGCTGCTACAGCAACAAAGAGATGCGACACCGCCACGTTTCCTATCCTCTGTGTTCTGGGCTCAAGCAGCAGGCTGAGAGCCTCTCAGAGGGGACTGGGACAGCATTCCTGCTTCAAGGTAGCATGAAATGAAATCTTTCTAGCTCTCCTTTTTTTCCTGTGACACAAACAGCACAAGTGAGTGAGTTTGCACAGAATCACAGAATGGCTCCAGTTGGAAGGGAGTTCAAGGATCACGAAGCTCCAACAGCCCCACCTCATACAGGGCCACCAACCTCCCCATTTCACAGCAGCCCAGGCTGCCCAGGGCCCCATCCAACCTGGCCTCCAACACCTCCAGCCATGGACGGGGCATCACAGCCTCTCTGGGCAGCTCTTCCAGCACCTCACCACTCCCATAGCAAAGAACTTCCCCCTCACGTCCAACCTCCATCTGCCCCCCTTCAACTCCAAACCATTTCCCCTCGTCCTGCTCTCATCTCCCCTTTCCAAGACTTGACTCCCAAGTCCTCTTTATAGGCTCCCTTCAGGTCCTGCAGGCTGCACTGAGGTCACCCCACAGCCTCCTCTTCTCCATGCTCAACAAGCCCAGCTCCCTCAGCCTGTCTTTGCAGGACGTGCTGCAGCCCTCTGCTCATCTCTGTGGCTCCTCTGGCCCCTCTCCAACAGCTCCCTGTCTTTCTTGCACTGGAGGCCCCACACCTGGACGCAGTGCTGCACATGGGGCCTCATGAGGGCAGTGCAGAGAGGGACAATCCCCTCCTGTCCCTGCTGCCACCCCTCTGCTGATGGAGCCCAGGTTGCCATTTGCTTTCTGAGCTGTAAGAGCACACTGCTGGCTCACGTTCAGTTTTCCAGTGTCAAGTTCTGCACCTTGGGCACAACAACCCCATGCAGTGTTATAGGCCTGGGGATGAGTGGCTGGATGAGTGTGAAGAAGAGAAGGACCTGGGGCTGTTGGTTGATGCTCAGCTGAACATGAGCCCACAGTGTGCCCAGGTGGCCAAGAGGGCCAACGGCATCCTAGCCTGCATCAGAAATAGTGTGGCCAGCAGGAGCAGGGAGGTGATCATCCCCCTGTACTCAGCACTGGTGAGGCCGCACCTCGAGTGTTGTGTTCAGTTTTGGGCCCCTCACTACAGGAAAGATGTTGAGATCCTGGAGCGTGTTCAGAGAAGGGCAACAAAACTGGTGAGGGGTCTGGAGCACAAACCTTATGAGGAGCGGCTGAGGGAGCTGGGATTGTTTAGTCTGGAGAAGAGGAGGCTCAGGGGAGACCTCACTGCACTGTACAACCTCCTGAAGGGAGGCTGTGGTGAAGAGGGATTTGGCCTCTTCTCCCAGGCAACGAGCAGCACACGGGGCAATGGCCGCAAGTTGCATCAGAGGAGGTTCAGGTTGGACATAAGGAAGAACTTCTTCTCTCAGAGTGGTCAGGCACTGGAATGGCTGCCCAGGGAGGTGGTGGAGTCGCCGTCCCTGGCAGTGCTCAAGAGGCGTCTGGACGACGTGCTGCGTGATGTGGTTTAGTGCTTGTGGTGGCAGTGGTGATGAGGAGACGGTTGGACTGGATGATCTTATAGGTCATTTCCAACCTTGTGATTCTATGATTCTATGATTCCACCCACCAGGACCCCCAGGTCCTCCTCTGCAGGGCTGCTCTCAAGGATGCTCCTCCCAGTCTGTGCCTGGGATTCCTCCAGCCCAAGCGTAAAGCCTCACACTTTGCTGTGTTTAACCTCATTAGATTCACCCAGGCCCACCTGAGGTCCCTCTGAATGGCATCCCTTCCAACCACACCACTCAGCTTGGCGTCACCAGCAAACATGCTGGGAGTGCTCTCAATTCCATCACCCACGTCACTGATCAAGCTGTCACAGAGCACGTAAAGCCCTGCATGGAACGGGTACCTGCTCTGTTTTCCTCGCGATGAGATTCCCGATGGTCTTGCTGAAGAAGCTGGCGAGCAGTGGGTTCAGGGGCGGCTCGTGATCCAAGAAATCATAGAGGATGTTGAGCAGTGTCTCATCCCCCCCCAGCTTGTCGTTGATCTGGGGCACGTCGGAGGTCAGCAGCTCGCAGGCGGTGTTGGGGTACCTGTGGGCACACAGCTACAGGTGAAATGGAAACTCCCGTGGCCATGGGCACTGGTGGAGGTTATGGAGCAGCACTGCCCTTCGTGGGGTAGAAAACACCATGAGAATGAGGGCAAAATGAGGGTCATTGGGGCATCTAAGGAAACGCTGTCCCTAGCATGTCATGTATGGCTGTTTTACCACTGGATTATGTATATGATTGAGCACAGATGGATCCCTTCCTTCTCCTGGCCTTGTTTCTTGCTCTTCCAGGTGGGCTCGTCAGAAACATCCATGACCAGGAAAGATAATGATGTGCTTATAATTAATAATGTGTTTATAATCAAGCAGGTGACACAGAGGAAAGACAAAGCCCACCCACTGCTTCTCGAGCTGCTGTCTGCAAGCAGAGCAGCTCATCTTCTGTGTACTTTTCAACAGCAAAACCCATATTTGCTACATAATTAAAAACTCCTATCCAATTAATAACACGAGAAACCCCACAGAACAGTGCTGCAGCAAATGTGTGTTCTTCAGTGAATGGTGTCAAGCCACAGGACACAAAGCCAGCACAATTCCCACTTGTAGTGTAGTAGTCTATGTAATGTGTGCTCTAACTATGGCTCCTAACTATGGAAATATAAAACAGTTGTACCAGTGTGGCAATCTCTACAGCCCAAAGGGAAAGCTGTAACGTCTGCTGCTGCCAGGGATGGGAAACATGGAGAGGCAATCCTCTTCTCCATCCTCCCTCACCAACAGCACAGGACTCAGGTTAGGGCGAACGCAGGAAGCTGAGCAGCCCACCTCTCTTCCTCTCCTTCAGCAGTTACTGATGACAGAGCCTTTCTTCATCCTCCCACAACCTCTGATGAGGTTGCCCACCTTTGCAGTGCACATTTCCCATACCGTGGGCTTTGCTGAATCCATCAAAGCCCTTCCTGACGACCCATGGAACCTGACTTCCCTCAGCTGTTCCCTGCACTGTTTGATGGCAGGAGCCAGCCTTGGCTACAAAGCACAAACAGATCCCTTTTTTGGGGGGGGCAGGGAGCTCCATTTGCACGATGCAGAAGCCACATGTACTGGTTCAGACATCACCCTGGAGCCTCTTAAGAACTCTGCTGTATTTTCCACTCTGTTCTGCTGTTTTTTAGGCTGACCAGGGGAGCTCCTTGGTACTCAGATTCCTTTAAATCACACAGCTGAGCACCAGCCTGGCATCACTTCCAATGATTTCCTCCCAAAGCCATTTCCCCACGTCCTTCCTTTGGTGAGGGCATACCTTCACCTGCAATGGGTGATTCGTCTCTCTTTAACTAAACCAGCTTCCTACTACTTAAAACATTCTTCATACCAGCTCTGCATGGATCAGGAGCGACTGAAACGTTTCCAAGGCCAGCTGTGAGCTTCTCAGCCTTCTGCAGCTCCTGACCAGCTGCTCCACGTGAGTGCAGTTCTGATTCTTCCTGCTATAAACCGCGTTATCATCAGCTTGGGATTTGGTTTTTATGTCTTTTTCGCTGCTAGAAGGATGGTAAATTTGAGTACATTATGGTTCCTGTTACAAAGTGATTTCACAGCAGTCACATTTCTTACAGCTCTTAAGGTTACAAGGAGCTATTCCTCCTTTTTTTTTTCCGGCTCACTGCTCCACGTAAAAGGCATTTATGATTCCTATGAGCTCACACGCTGTGCCTCCCCGCAACACACACCCTGCCACCAGGCAACAAGTGAAATCACTCATTATTATGGGGTGTTCCACTCTTGCAGGCCTTTCCACCTTCAAGTTTCACAGCCAGGCTGAATGCTGCACCCCTTCCATCGAGGCACCACCCCCCAACCCACTGCATTTCCGTGCTCTGGGGACTCGTCCCCTTGCTCCACGCTCAGCTCCTGGCCACGCAGCCCAGCCTGACACAACCACCACCTGCTGGGCCTCTCCTGTGAGCAGTGCTCCTCAAGCAGCACGCGCTCCTCGGGTTTGAGAGACACCCTGGTATGCCAACAAGTTAATTATAAATGGTAATTACAGTTCCAACAGTTGAATGTGCCGCTTGGATTGCTGCAGCCCTTCACCTGGTTGCTACGTTCTGCCTGCCGTGCTTCCACGGGGATTTAAAGCTGAGCTGCTCTCTGCAATTCGTGAACTCTCACCTTACTGGCAGCTGGTCAGGAGCTGGCACGGGCTGCCTGGGGGATGTGTTCCATCCCTGGGGGTGTTTCAGAACACTGGAGATGTGGCACTTGGGGACACGGTCCGTGGGCATGCTGGGATGGATTGGGGTTGGACTTGGTGACCTTGGAGGCTTTTTTTTCCCAACCTGAATGACTCCCACGATTCTGTGATTCCAGGACCAAAGCGCTGTGATGATTCCAGCCCTGCAGCATGCACCACTCCGAGCTGCACATCCTCCTAAACCCAGCAGGTTTCTCTCTCCTGCTCCAGTTCAGAAACTTGCCTAGCTTTTTTCTAAGAGCCAAAAACTGGATTCCTTTTGGATTTAGAGTTTATTCCTCCTGCTTAGGTGTTATCTATCCCCAAAGCCTCCTCAGTTTGTAATGAGCTTAGACCTTCTCCCCTCTCTCTGGTGTCTCAATGTGCTTTGGAAATGCTTCTCTACCCATTTGTGTGCAGAGCTGGAAGCATCTCCCAAAGCAAACCTGCAGCTGCCTGAAGCACACACGTATCCTTAGAGCCTGCAAAAGGCACGTCCTGCATGTGAAATTCAAGGCAGCTGGAAGTTAATGCTCATGCCAAGCCACATCTTCTCATCCTTTACCTGTTTGGCACGGATGACAAAAGGTTTCCAGCTTACCCCACAGCACAGAGGACCAGAGATGTGAACTGTCTCAAAATCTCAAAGGAACAGGACATACAGAGATGGCCTGGTTAACAGCAGTACGGGGTACCTGCAGTGCAAGGGGCACTGTGTGAATAAGCACCAGAGGGGCACTGGATCCCTCTTTCTCTCCTCCTGCACAAGATGGGCACGTTCCAGGAAAGGGACACAAGTCTCACATCATTCACCATTTCCTCAGCTCGTTAACTTTCACTGCAAAGGAAAATATTATCCATCCTCTCCAATAAGGACAACAGTGTAACACAGACCCTCCTGGTGCCTTCTGGAAGATCACCTGGGTAGGAAGAAGCCTTGCAAAGTCATGCATACAGTGCTCCACTTTCCTGCCATTTGCTTACCTACGCATCCTCACCTGCACAGACCTGATCAACTGCTTCCCCAGATGAAGCTGAACAGCCCCATCCCTTCCGTGTACTGCCAGCAAATGCAGCACCAACCAGCACTGACCACTCCCACAGCATCCTGCTGGTTTATTTAGACACCAGGCAGCCTTTCATTTTTATGTAAACTCAGCAAAGAAAAACCAAACTTCCCAAATCCGAAAGGCAAATATTTTCAAGTGTGCACTTGGGTTTAAATGCATAAACACAATTTGGTGTGAGAAATGCACATCCAAGAGTTCACCATCAAAAGGAAGGGTGGCTCTGCCCTGCTGGATGAATAATGAAACCAAGAGGTTCTGCATATGCAGCGCACTGAAAACATGACATCTTCTATTCACAGAACAGCTTGAGTGCTTCCACGGGTCGACTACTGATGGAGATCAGAGTTGTAGCTGAGCAGAATGCTTATGCTCTGCTTGCAATGTTGACTGGAATGCACTGAAGGCACTCTGGAGATACTGATAAACTCGTGTGCGATGTTCTGAGCAAGCAGCAAGGCACCGTTTTCTTTTTGAGGCAAACTGAATGAAAAGCCACCAAGAGCAGAGAAACAAACCTCTGAAAGCCCCCTACAGACGCTGTGGTATCTCTCACTTGAGTGCTTGAAAGCTCCCCTGCAAAACGACACGGCCACGAAGCCACTCTTTCTCACATCCAGACTTTTTAGTTTCTACTAAAGACAGAGAAAATCTCCACCCTGGCCAACATTGTGCAGAAAGGAGCAAACTTGCAGCACACATCTTGGAGGGTTCACCCAGCAGAACACACAGCACAGAGCCACCAGCACCACCCAGCCATCCCACAATCTCTAAAGGTGAGGGCAGGGAATGGCAGACCCGCATGCAATCACCAGGGAGTTCTCTGATCTGCTGAGATGACAACGTGAACATTAAATCCACAGTGAGATGCTGTGAGACCTGTTCCACAGAGCAGCACGAGTTTGGGCTGTAAGGGACCATCTTGGTAAACCTGATGTTGTAAAACACACCCAAGTGAAGCACAGCGAAAGCTTTCACCAGCACTGCAGCACTGGCTGGAGAAGTGGTGTTTTCACACCCACCTGATGTACCCTCGAGAGCAGCACTTCCTAATGGCTAACAGAAAACACCTCTCAAACTTTTCTTGGACCAGATTTCCAGCTTCTAAGTCACACAGATACGTGGTAGAAGGCATTTTGTTGGACAGATGGTCCTCACAGGCCACTGGGGAAGCAGCTGGAACACAACCTGGACATCCTGGGGTAACATCAGAGCCCATGCAGGACAGAAAAGGAGCACCTACTTGAAGCGGACCTTCTCATCCATGTCCATGGGGGGTTCATGTGTGATGAGGTTGACCAGCTCCTCCATGCAGTGCTGCTGGCAGAGGAAATCCAGCAGCTTGCGGTTCTGAGCCTTGCACTCCTGTAAGATGTCATCTTCATCCATCAGCTCGTGAAGTGTCACATCTTCTTTATCCAGCAGCTTATCCACGTGCGACGTCGTGTTCAAATCAAACTTCCAGAACATGATGGTGGGACACACCTAGCTGGAATGCAGAAGAATATCAGTCAGTTTTCAGCTTTCGTTCGTTATTCCTCCTTTATAATGGCTTTAAAGTAAAAGAGGGGAGATTTAGCTGAGATACAAGGAAGAAATACTTCATCATGAGGGTGGGGAGGCCCCTGGAGGTGCCCAAGGCTGTGGATGGAGCTTTGGGCAGCCTGTTCTATGGGAGGTGTCCCTGCCGTGGCAGGATGGGCTTTTAGGACCTTGCAGGCAAGGTCATCCCACAGTTCTGCAATCAGCAGAGCGTAGAGACTCGTGGTTTGTATCACCTGAAGGCTGCAAGGCTGGGCAGCCAAAATCCAGGCTGCAAAATAAGTTCTGTTCCCAACCATCCTGAAACAGACGATGCTCAACAACCTGCACGTGTGTCAGCCCAGGGGCTCCACATTTCATAGCTGTTCCAACTGGGACTTACGGCTGTTTACCAATAAGAGAAGTGGCAAAAGGTACTAAAAACCAGAGCCAAACATAGCAACTGAAGTCACCATTTCCTCCTACACGTTCTATTAAGTATTTGCTGCAAGGGAGCCATCCTCACCATCCTCCTCCTCCACAGAAAGCTTCACGTGGCCATTTTACATCCATCTGCAGCAGAGCAGAGCCAAACACCAGGACGTTGCCTTCAAGTTGTCACTAAATTGAGAGCTTTGTGTTTCTCACTTTCAACCCCATCCCTTTCTTTCATCCCAACCACTTGCCTCCTGGTTATCCTGACCTTTCTCTATGGGAGCTGCACCAATAATAGTTGCTTTTTTCAGCTAGTTTCCCCAGCACACCTTCACAGCTCATTCATGATGCCAGAACAAGGCAATGCCCAGATCCATCCTTACCAACCTCTTCTCGAGGCCCTCCTCCAGCTTCATGCTTCCCCTCACAACTCTGCCCCATTCACCAGCTGGCTTTGGACTTCAGCATTCTGAGGCAGGGATCCCACATCTTACGAGAAGCTGAGCTTGAAGAAGGCTCCAAAGAGACTTCACTGCAGCCCTGTAGTACTTAGAGGGAGCTGATAAACAGGACAGCAGCTCTGTACACGGGCAATGGGACACAGGGGAATGGCTTTAAACTTCACCCAGAGGCAGTGCAGCCCTGGCACTGCTGCCCAGAGGGCAGCCCCAGGGTGCCCCAGACCTGGAGGTGCCCATGGCCATGGATGGGAACCTGGGCAGCCTCAGCTTGGGGGCACTGAGCTCATGGTGGGGGTGGGGCTGAGGGGTCCCTTCCAACCCAACCATTCTATGACACCATGATCCATAAGATCCCTTCCAACCCAACCATTCTACAGCTCTATGATCCATAAGGTCCCTCCCAACACAACCATTCTACAGCTCTAAGGTCCTTCCAACCCAACCACTCTATGGATCTAGGATCATTAAGGTCCCTCCCAACCCAACCACTCCATGCATCTATGATCATTAAGATCCCTTCCAACTCAACCATTCTATGGCTCTATGATCATTAAGGTCCCTTCCAACTCAACCATTCTACAGCTTTACGATCATTAAGGTCCCTTTCAATCCAACCATTCTATGACTCTATGATCATTAAGGTCCCTTACAACCCAACCACTCCATGGATCTATGATCTATAAGATCCCTTCCAACCCAAACATACCATAGTTCCTTACTCTTTAATGACTCTTTCAGTCCAAGCCATCCCAAGATCCTACAAATGCACGGGCTGGATCCCATCAGAAACAGAAGCAGGATCTTGACCACGCATCACAGCTAGAAAACCACAACACACATAGAAATCTCCCTTCAGACATCCAGGATTGGCCATTTCAGCCGAACCCGCAGCATCAGGCTGCTCAGACAGCCACACAGGAGTACCAGGCCAGGGGTTTTGCATGGAACTGGCAGGCCAGGAGCTGTGCAAACAAAGGCTGAGCCTAGAAACCTGCCCAAGTGTCAGATTGAACAGTGTGGGCTGATCCCAGCCTTTTGGGAACAAATCCCCTGCCAAAAATAGCCCCAGTTCTGGCAGAAAGAAGCAGTTTCTAATCTAAGCTTTCAATATTCTTGATATTAAAAAAAAAAAAAAAAAAGTTAAATTTCAGCATTACAGCAATAAGCAAAAGCTTCTGCATCTGCCCCATCCAGCTACTGAAAATGCTCTTAAATGAATTTCTGAGTTCAGAGCAGCCATCTGCGTTTCCAACCTACGTGACACCCTCCCAGCAACGCTGCTTGGCCGTATCGTGTGTTCATTACAAACTGTTCTTCAGATATTTTTAACTAACTGTGCTTAGCTGTAAATTCATCGAGAGAAAAGCTGACATAAAAGGCCTTCATCTGAGGAATGTTTGGGTGCACAGCTAACCTAAATATGTATACGTTCCACGTATAAAATGTGAAACGCTGATAAAAAAGCCATGAAACCACGACAATGCCTTATGTGTGCATGGACAACACGTGTAAATCCTACCTTTGGAAGATCAGCCCTTTATCAGTCAGTCCATTCCACCTTTTTTCCCATAACTTTCCATGGTTCTATTAAGAAAAGCTGTCCAAGTCACAGGGGAAGCCAAAGGGCTGCCCTCTGCCTTCGCTGCATTCTTCTTCCTCAACCCTGAACCTGTCCAGAGCAGCTTTGAGCTACAGGGCTGTGCTGCTTGGATATTTAGAATGCTGTGTCTGGTTCTGGGCTCCCCAGATCCAAAAGAGACAGGAATCTCCTAGAAGGGGTCCAGTGGAGGGCCATAAAGATGATACAGGGCTTGGAGCATCTCCTGGACGAGGAAAGGCTGAGTGAGCTGGGGTTGTTTAGCGTGGAGAAAAGGCTGAGTGGGGATCTGGTACCCACTGTAGGGCACCTCCTTTAGCAGACTCAATGATCTCTTGAGGTCATGTGGACTGATGGAACAGAAGTGCCCCTAAGAAATGAGACGTCCCCAAAGAGAACCTGAGCTTCACTGAGGAGCACAGCAGCATCTGCTGCTCAGCAGGACCCCCAGGCACTGCAGCCATCCCATGTGGAAGGGATGGGGTGGCTCACAGAGCCAGGATGCAGAACAAGAAAGAGTCTGTTTCTGGTGTCAGGAAATGAACCTATAGAATAGGAAACAAAGCTGAGGAACTTCTAAATATCATAATGCTAAGCACTAAACTCACTGCTGAAGTTAAGGAAAGCAAGGTCACCATAGATCAGAAGAAGCAGAGGAAGATGGGGAGCCGATGAGAAACAAGAGGAGCATCCTTCCCTTGCTCCATGTGGCACTGCACAGCCCAAGAAAGGAAAAGCAGGGAATTAAATCAAACTGGGGCACCTTACACCTCTAAAGGCAAAATACACAGATTTTCAGGAATGAAGACCACAGAGAAGGGGATTCTGCTGATTTTAAAACGTATAAAGCACGCAGTGCAGATCTGTGCCACAGCTTTGGGGTTTGGACGGGGCTGGTTAACACAACCCTGTGCTCTCACAAAGCTGAGGGCTCTCGGGCTCTTCCATCCAGCACAAAGGGCTCTCTGCAACTGAAAGGCACACTTCACTCTTGTGCAGAGGCCACTTTTGGAAACATCACATCAAACAGAGCCACGTAGGGAAGTCAGTCATGGGAGGTGAGGAAAGGAAGCACAGCCTGCTCGCCACGAGGAGCTCGGTCACTGTGAAAGCCAACCGTGCACAGCTGTAACTGAATGAGGACAAAAGCAGAAGTGGGCCTTTCTGGAGTCCAAGCCTCTTCCTCAGAGGCCAGGACACTATTTGCTGCTCAGAGCAGGGGAAGGAACAAACCCATGTAGGCTGAATAATCACGTGGTCTGCTTGTTTGTTTCCTCTTGCAGAACTGTTGAATCTTCTTACAGAGCTCAGCTTGGTCTCTGCAGGAGGGAACTGTTTTTCACGTGCATGCTTTGCTGCTGAGGAAGTCCCAGTCTTCAGGTCAGCAGGCCTTCACTGGTGTGTCCTGAAGCCTGAAGAACAGCACTGTGTTCACCATTCACCGAGCTACAACACCCAGACCACCTCCGTTTTAGGACAGACAGACATCAGCTCAGTAAAGGGATGGACACCAAAGGGACGAATCAGTTCCTCTTGCCTTAGCGTAGCAAGGAACTCAAACAGTTTTTAACCCTACCTCCTAACTTCCCAGGTACAAAACTCTGCTTTAAGAACGGATATTTCCACTCACTTTTGGTGAACTGCCCCAAGTTTCTCCACTGAACCAGCTTGCTGCTCTGTCTTCAGTACCTAAGATGGGTCCTGGGACTCCCAGATCCTCAGGTGGAAAAGCAAGACTGTGGGAAGGATAAACCCCCAGTGAACCTCAAACTTGTGCAGGATTTCTGCTCCAGCTGGATGGGTGTAAATCTATGGGGCCCAATGGGATTTATTCCAGGGTACTCAAAGAGCTGTCTGATGTCATCATGAGATGATTCAGAGAGGTCCCAGTCGACTGGAAGAAACACACAGATGTGGCAGTTAATGACATGGTTCAGAAGGCTTGGTGGGGACAGGCTGACAGTTGGATCTGACCTTAGAAGTCTTTTCCAACCTTAATCACTCTGTGACTCTATAGAAGCTGGCAAACATCGGCCCAGTTTTCAAGAGGGGGCAAGAAAGAAGACCCTGGTAATTAATTACAGGCCTGCCAGTCTCACCTTGGTGCCTGGCAAAACACCTGGAAGACAACGCAGTCATTGGTCACAGCCAACATGGGTTCACGAGGGGAAGGTCCTGTTTAACCAATTTAGCCTTCTTACACGACGGGTTGCCCACCAAACTGACCACGGAAAGCCAGCTGATGTCATCCTTTTGGGTTTTAGCAAGGCTTCCCAGCATCCTTCTGGATAAATGGCCCGGCATACAGCTAGCCAAAAAAGTGACTTGGTGGGTGAGCAATTGGCTGACGGGTTGGGCTCAGGGTTTTGTAGTCAGTAGGGTTACATGAAGCTGGTGGATGGGGTGGATCACTCTGCTGGGTTTCTGCAGGGCTCCATTTTTGGGACAGTTCTCTTCCATGCCTTCATCAATGAC